CTCAAACTTTTTCTTTGACGAACCAGAAGTGATTTCCACGAAATCTAAAAGGTCTGAAACTATGAGCAAATTCAATAATTTCCACATAGGTTTGTTTTATTATACATACGTGTGGAAGGATTGTTTTAAAGTACATATTTCTTTTAAAGCAGAGCCTCCCTGGCGGTCCAGAATGATATGATTAGCTCTGCAGTCCAGAGTCTGAGAAGCCAAGGCATAGAATCAAGTATAAGAACATGCCAGAGGGCGCTGTCGTCCCTTTCCCGAATATACATTATACAGTCTCTCACTTATACAGCTTCAAGGTTAATTAAAATTCCCAAACAGTCTCTGAGCTTTAATAATTCTGACATAATTCATTTTTACAATATCTGCTGAAATAGCGAATTACTTTACTTTTCAGAATGTTTATCTTAAAAGGTTAAATATATCACCGTATTTACATGTTTGAAATATGACCCAGATAGTTGATAAGTTTGGACCAAACTTGCATACCACAAGCCGATTTCTGTGTGCAGTGTATGTGATTTTCAGCAAGATGAAGTCAATTTATTTTCATTCTGATCATTTCGAACCTCGCATTAAATTTCAATTCTCATATTCTCTGTTACCAATTATGTTCTGTTCCTTCTTTCCAGTTTCTTGCAATGCAATGACAGGACCTGGGCCAAGTAACACAACGTTAACTTAGCAATTGATTGCTATTTTGCAAATGACCATGATTTAAACACAGTTGGCTGTACGATGAATCAATCGCACAATCAATTACTAAATGTTGTGTTACAGGGGGCGGATCTCAAATTTATCTTGACTTTCTGTCCAGGTTCACGGCTCTATTGGTGCGACGCTTACCTGGACAAGATCGAATCCTCAGACCTCTCTGGCAGTGACCGTAAACTCCTTCTAGATAGTTCCCATGGTACGCTCCATCCATTTGATATTATTTTCCACCATGGAACTCTGATGTGGACCGATTGGCAAATTAATGGTATAGGAGTAAATGAAGGATCTCGGCATTCATGGCCAAAGACTTATATTTTACCAGTGGGCTTTCTGCGACCTGGAGGCTTCCATGTATTTGAGGGTAAGAGTAGAATCATATCGAATTGTGTTTTATGTTCTAATTGTGTATTATGTATGTGATATTTAACACCTAATCGTTTACTTTCAGTTTTGATTAATGTGTTAGAACTGTACATTTAATGAAAACACCTGTTTCACCGAGTATAACATTTTAATCATACAGTGTTATGTAGAGATGTCATGGTCTAGTGGTTTCGTCTTCCGACTGTGGATCACGTGGTTTGCAGTTCTAGACCTGCCACGGCACCCATGTCCTTTGGCAAGATATTAATCTGCATTTCCCACCCTTTACACAGGTGATGTCAATGACTACACATTAGGTATAAATACCACGAATGCCAGAGCGTCTTATTTAAAAGTATATGAATGTTACTACAAATATTATTGTTATCATACAGATTATTATTAGTAGTTCTTAAATGAATGATAATGATATTGATAATGATTATAGTGATAAGAAGAAATATAATGTATTAAATTTGTATAGATCATTACGTGAATGCTCCAATGTGCTATTACAAAAATATAATAACCTGTGGTCTTTGGATTTCAAGCTCGCACACAAGTGTGCACCATCTTCACTCCTCGAAGATTCTCTAAGGTTTTGCACAGTTCACATAATATATGCAAGTTCTTTTGTTTATTATTTTTAGATTTGGAAAATTTACTTTCAGAATTCAACGAATGTGCCAGTCGTGCATGTCCAAACGGTGCTACCTGCAATGACTTATTTAACATGTACAATTGCACCTGTGCGCCAGGATATACAGGCAATTATTATGAAGCATTTAAAACGACCCCAAATATTCTGTGCCATTTTCAGCTAAACACACATTGTTTTAGTAAAAGACACTGCAGGAGATCGGGTCTTTTTTAAAGTAATTTACAATTGGAATACATATTATGGATATGTTACATGTGTAATACCATTGGTAGACTTACTTTGGACAACATGCCATACTTTTAGAGAAGAGTACAGTAAAAGTAAGAGCGAGAGCTTAATTTAGAGACCGTAATGAAACTATAAAGCCAGAGAGAAAAATGGTTATTGTCTAATGTTAATAATCCCAGAATTCTTCCTCCTAATTTACTTTCAGAAATCGACGATTGTGCCAGTCGTCCATGTCTGAACGGCGCTACCTGCAATGACTTATTGAACACGTACACTTGCATCTGTGTACCCGGCTATGTAGGACACACTTGTGATACAGGTAATTTACCTTCGAAATTTAACGGAATTCTCATCACAAATATCCATATTCATGAGGGGAAATTGCAACAAAACATTAACATTCTAGTATGACATAATTGTACTAGTAGCTTACTATTTAACATGAAATCATGCATTGTGGTGTATTTTCTGAAAAACATGATGCAATGGTGGATCATGTTCTGGTGGTCTCAACTCCCTATAACTGTCCTCCTAGTTAAACTGGAAAGCAGTGTTCAATAGGTAAATGTTAAGCTACGGTCACAAAGGTTCGTATGAACGATGCGTTCGTACGAATCTCCCTGTTTTTCCATGGTCTTCCCGAATTTTCATGGTCTGAAAAATCGATCGTACGGCGTTCGTAATGGCATTTGTGATTCAAACGGTTCCTATTATTTAGAATACCGACAAAGACAAACATATTGTCGCAATGAAATAAACACAACCCTATGGAAAACTATATCATAATTTTTTTCCTATTAAACCAATTTATTCATTTATCTCATTTTATGACAAAGATAAATATCATTGTAATTAAATACACATAATTAATACTATGGAGGAATATATCGTAATCACTTGTTTGATGACATAGTTGTCCTCTGACCTAATCTCGTCACCATTTTGTATTTTTGGGAAGAAAACTATATTTTTCTTCATATAATTCAGTTTAGCTCTTTTAGTTCAATGTCATATAAGATGAAGAGAGTTGGAGTAATATCCCCTTCACATACACCGATTTTTCTTAAAAGTCCTTACGGATCGCCAACTCGTAGTCAATTGCAAGCGTCTGTAATACCCCCTTCACATACACCGATTTTTCTAAATAGTCCTTACGGATCGCCAACTCGTAGTCAATTGCAAGCGTCTGTATAACAGGGCTCCCACTTCGCCGAGTTGTATTGGCGAGTTGGTATCCGTAAATAACTCGTCACAACTCGCCACCTTATGAAGAGTGCAGCGCGAGCTTGTTACAGGTAATGCGTGTATATTACAAGGGTAGGCGAGTTCACCTCGAATTGCAACGAATCGGGGAAATTTTTTGAACATATTCAAAATTTTGGAACTGCTCGCGACTTCGAGGAGAGTCGTGAAATGTTGTAAAGAGTTACGCTAAGCCATAACGAATTATTCGCGAGTTATTGCGAGTGCCTCTTTAAGGCAACTCACCGTAACTCGCCATAACTCGCTAATACAACTCGGCTAAGTGGGAGCCCTGCTTAATGATCCGTGAAAGGAGAGGCAAATTTTTTGACATGTCAAAAATCTTCTTGCGATTGTCCACGGATTGATTTTTCTGTAAATAACTCGTAAATAGCTCGTAACAATTTGTGAGTATCGTAAACTGCTCGCAATAAAAGGAGTAGAGAAAGAAATTTTTACCTTTAGAAAGCATTGAATGTGCCAGTTGTCCATGTCTAATCGGCTGTACTTGCAATGACTTACCTGTGCACCTGGATATAAAGTAAATTATCGTGAAGAATTTAAAATGAGTCCAAATATTCTGTGCTATTTTTAGCCAAACAAACTTGCCTTTAGGAGAAGAAGCTGCATGGTGGTTGAGAAGAGATTGTTATTGAAAAAAAAAATAAGAACAAGAGAGTGATTTAGAGACAATGATGGAGCTAAAGAAGCCACAGAGAGAGTGGAGATTCTGAGTAGCTGTTGTTCTTAAATTCCATATTTTCTACTCCACATTTTCCTGTAGATATGAACGACTGTGACTCTGACCCCTGTACCAATGGTGGTACGTGCATCGATGAAGTCAACATGTTCACTTGCATATGTGTATCGGGCTACACAGGATTGATTTGTGACATAGGTAATTTACCTTAGTGATTCAACACAATTTTGATCACAAATATACATATTCTTTAAGAGCAGTGGGAACATATCACTCACATTCTGTATGACATTTAGAACTGTTGTTTACCATTGAAAAAAACACATGATGCACTGTGATTTGTTTTCTGAAAACACGACTTTACTTTATCATTAACCGAATAACCTATTAAGTGTAGTTGAAGATTTAACGATAAGTGACGTTTGTCCCTTTGGTTTAGCAGGCAATTTTATTTTTCTGAAATTTTAAACAAAATTTCCCTTCAGATATTGATGAGCAATGATCATTTAACTTTGGTATTCATAGCTGATACACTGACTTGAGAGTGCGGGAGTAAGTGTGATAGGGGGAATAAAAAGAGTAGAAAAAAGAGAATTTTACCTTAAGAAAGCAATGAATGTGCAAGTTGTCCAATGTCTAATCGGCTGTACTTGCAATGACTTAACCGTGCACCTGGATATACAGTAAATTATTGTGAAGAATTTAAAACGAGTCCAAATATTCTGTGCTATTTCTAGCGAAACAAACTTGCATTTAGGAGAAGAAGCTGCAGGAGATTGAATCCATATGGTTCATACCACTTTTTTAATTCAGAATTTAGAATTGGATTACAATGTTATATTATTTCTAAGTTACATGTATAATACCTTGGGTATATTAACTTTGGACAACTGGCCATGATGGTAGAGAAGAGATTTTTTTTTTTTTTAAATAAGAACGAGAGAGTGATTTAGAGACCACAATGGAGCTAAATAAGCCAGAAAGAGAGTGGAGATTCTGAGTAGCTGTTGTTCTTAAATTCCATATTTTGTACTCCACATTTTGCTGTAGATATGAACGACTGTGACTCTGACCTCTGTACCAATGGTGGTACGTGCATCGATGAAGTCAACATGTTCACTTGCATATGTGTATCGGGCTACACAGGATTGATTTGTGACATAGGTAATTTACCTTAGTGATTCAATACAATTTTTATCACAAATATACATATTCTTTAGGAGCAATGGGAACATATCATTAACATTCTACATGACATTTGGAAGTTGTTTACGATTGAAACTAGATGGAATTTTGACTGCGCGCAGTTGAAAATGATGCCTCCGCCATAGAGCAATTTAAACAAGTTTGGAGTTTAAATCTCCAGTGGTTCTTGAGATATCATGATAACAATCTCAATGTATGGAATTTCATAAGTTGACCTCTGTGACCCTTGACCTTTGACCTACGTGCTCCAAAATCTAATCAGATTGTCTTCCTATGGTGATACACACTATCATTAAGTTTGAAGTTTAAATCTCCAGTGGTTCTTGAGATATTATGATATGGTGATACATACTATCATTAAGTTTGAAGTGAAAATTCTCCAGTGGTTCTTGAGATATCGCGATAACGATCTCAATGTATGGAATTTCATAAGTTGACCTCTGTGACCCTTGACCTTTGACCTACGTGCTCCAAAATCTAATCAGATTGTCTTCCTATTGTGATACACACTATCATTAAGTTTGAAGTTTAAATCTCCAGTGGTTCTTGAGATATTATGATAACAATCTCAATGTATGGAATTTCATAAGTTGACCTCTGTGACCCTTGACCTTTGACCTACGTGCTCCAAAATCTATTCAGATCGTCTTCCTATGGTAATAAATACTATCCTTAAGTTTGAAGTTTTTACATCTCCAGTGGTTCTTGAGATATCATGATAACAATCTCAATGTATGGAATTTCATAAGTTGACCTCTATGACCCTTGACCTTTGACCTACGTGCTCCAAAATCTAATCAGATTGTTTTCCTATAGTGATACACACTATCACTAAGTTTGAAGTTTAAATCTCAAATGGTTCTTGAGATGTCGCGCTAACAAACTCAATACAAGGAATTTCATAAGTTGACCTCTGTGACCTGTGACCTTTGACCTACGTACTCCAAAATCTAATCAGATCGTCTTCCTATGGTGATAAATACTATTCCCGAGTCTTAAGTTTTAAAAAGAGAATTTTACCTTTAGAAAGCAATGAATGTGCAAGTTGTCCAATGTCTAATCGGCTGTACTTGCAATGACTTAACCGTGCACCTGGATATACAGTAAATTATTGTGAAGAATTTAAAACGAGTCCAAATATTCTGTGCTATTTTTAGCGAAACAAACTTGCATTTAGGAGAAGAAACTGCAGGAGATTGAATCCATATGGTTTATACCATTTTTTTAATTCAGAATTTAGATTTGGATTACAATGTTATATTATTTCTAAGTTACCTGTATAATACCTTGGGTACACTAACTTTGGACAATTGGCCATGGTGGTAAAGAAGAGATTGTAATTTTTTAAAAATAAGCACGAGAGAGTGACTTACAGACCATAATGGAGCTAAATAAGCCAGAAAGAGAGTAGAGATTCTGAGTAGCTGTTGTTCTTAAATTCCATATTTTCTACTCCACATTTTGCTGTAGATATGAATGATTGTGACTCTGACCCCTGTACCAATGGTGGTACGTGCATCGATGAAGTCAACATGTTCACTTGCATATGTGTATCGGGATACACAGGATTGATTTGTGACATAGGTAATTTACCTTAGTGATTCAACACAATTTTTATCACAAATATACATATTCTTTAGGAGCAATGGGAACATATCATTAAAATTCTACATGACATTTAGAAGTTGTTTACGATTGAAAAAAAAACATGATGCACGGCGATTTGTTTTCTGAAAAACACGACTTTACTTTATCATTAACCGAATAACCTATTAAGTGTAGTTGAAGATTTAACGATAAGTTAGGTTTGTCCCTTTTCTTTAGCAGCCAATTTTAATTTTCTGTAATTCTAAACTAAATTTCCGTTCAGAATAAAAGGAGTAGAGAAAGAAATTTTTACCTTTAGAAAGCATTGAATGTGCCAGTTGTCCATGTCTAATCGGCTGTACTTGCAATGACTTACCTGTGCACCTGGATGTAAAGTAAATTATTGTGAAGAATTTAAAATGAGTCCAAATATTCTGTGCTATTTTTAGCGAAACAAACTTGCATTTAGGAGAAGAAGCTGCAGGAGATTGAATCCATATGGTTCATACCATTTTTTTAATTCAGAATTTAGAATTGGATTACAATGTTATATTATTTCTAAGTTACATGTATAATACCTTGGGTATATTAACTTTGGACAACTGGCCGTGATGGTAGAGAAGAGATTGTATTTAAAAAAAAAATAAGAACGAGAGAGTGATTTAGAGACCACAATGGAGCTAAATAAGCCAGAAAGAGAGTGGAGATTCTGAGTAGCTGTTGTTCTTAAATTCCATATTTTGTACTCCACATTTTGCTGTAGATATGAATGATTGTGACTCTGACCCCTGTACCAATGGTGGTACGTGCATCGATGAAGTCAACATGTTCACTTGCATATGTGTATCGGGCTACACAGGATTGATTTGTGACATAGGTAATTTACCTTAGTGATTCAACACAATTTTTATCACAAATATACATATTCTTTAAGAGCAGTGGGAACATATCACTCACATTCTGTATGACATTTAGAAGTTGTTTACCATTGAAAAAAACACATGATGCACTGTGATTTGTTTTCTGAAAACACGACTTTACTTTATCATTAACCGAATAACCTATTAAGTGTAGTTGAAGATTTAACGATAAGTGACGTTTGTCCCTTTGGTTTAGCAGGCAATTTTATTTTTCTGTAATTTTAAACAAAATTTCCCTTCAGATATTGATGAGCAATGATCATTTAACTTTGGTATTCATAGCTGATACACTGACTTGAGAGTGCGGGAGTAAGTGTGATAGGGGGAATAAAAAGAGTAGAAAAAAGAGAATTTTACCTTTAGAAAGCAATGAATGTGCAAGTTGTCCAATGTCTAATCGGCTGTACTTGCAATGACTTACCCGTGCACCTGGATATACAGTAAATTATTGTGAAGAATTTAAAACGAGCCCAAATATTCTGTGCTATTTTTAGCGAAACAAACTTGCATTTAGGAGAAGAAGCTGCAGGAGATTGAATCCATATGGTTCATACCATTTTTTTAATTCAGAATTTAGAATTGGATTACAATGTTATATTATTTCTAAGTTACATGTATAATACCTTGGGTATATTTACTTTGGACAACTGGCCATGATGGTAGAGAAGAGATTGTATTTAAAAAAAAAATAAGAACGAGAGAGTGATTTAGAGACCACAATGGAGCTAAATAAGCCAGAAAGAGAGTAGAGATTCTGAGTAGCTGTTGTTCTTAAATTCCATATTTTCTACTCCACATTTTGCTGTAGATATGAATGATTGTGACCCTGACCCCTGTACCAATGGTGGTACGTGCATCGATGAAGTCAACATGTTCACTTGCATATGTGTATCGGGCTACACAGGATTGATTTGTGACATAGGTAATTTACCTTAGTGATTCAACACAATTTTGATCACAAATATACATATTCTTTAGGAGCAATGGGAACATATCATTAACATTCTACATGCCATTTAGAAGTTGTTTACGATTGAAACTAGATGGAATTTTGACTGCGCTCAGTCGAAAATGATGCCTCCGCCATAGAGCAATTTAAACAAGTTTGGAGTTTAATTCTCCAGTGGTTCTTGAGATATCGCGATAACGATCTCAATGTATGGAATTTCATAAGTTGACCTCTGTGACCCTTGACCTTTGACCTACGTGCTCCAAAATCTAATCAGATTGTCTTCCTATGGTGATACACACTCATTAAGTTTGAAGTTTAAATCTCCAGTGGTTCTTGAGATATTATGATAACAATCCCAATGTATGGAATTTTATAAGTTGACCTCTGTGACCCTTGACCTTTGACCTACGTGCTCCAAAATCTAATCATTTCGTCTTTCTATGGTGATACATACTATCCTTAAGTTTGAAGTTTTTAAATCTCCAGTGGTTCTTGAGATATCATGATAACAATCTCAATGTATGGAATTTCATAAGTTGACCTCTATGACCCTTGACCTTTGACCTACGTGCTCCAAAATCTAATCAGATTGTTTTCCTATAGTGATACACACTATCCTTAAGTTTGAAGTTTTTACATCTCCAGTGGTTCTTGAGATATCATGATAACAATCTCAATGTATGGAATTTCATAAGTTGACCTCTGTGACCTGTGACCTTTGACCTACGTACTCCAAAATCTAATCAGATCGTCTTCCTATGGTGATAAATACTATTCCCAAGTCTTAAGTTTAAATCTTAAATGGTTCTTGAGATATTGTGATAAAGGTCAAACGGGACGGACGTACGGACGGACGTACGGACGGACAACCCGAAAACATGATGCCTCCGGCACCACCTTCGGTGGCGGAGGCATAAAAAAAACATGATGCACGGCGATTTGTTTTCTGAAAAACACGACTTTACTTTATCATTAACCGAATGACCTATTAAGTGTAGTTGAAGATTTAACGATAAGTTAGGTTTGTCCCTTTTCTTTAGCAGCCAATTTTAATTTTCTGTAATTCTAAACTAAATTTCCGTTCAGAATAAAAGGAGTAGAGAAAGAAATTTTTACCTTTAGAAAGCATTGAATGTGCCAGTTGTCCATGTCTAATCGGCTGTACTTGCAATGACTTACCTGTGCACCTGGATATAAAGTAAATTATCGTGAAGAATTTAAAATGAGTCCAAATATTCTGTGCTATTTTTAGCCAAACAAACTTGCCTTTAGGAGAAGAAGCTGCATGGTGGTTGAGAAGAGATTGTTATTGAAAAAAAAATAAGAACAAGAGAGTGATTTATAGACAATGATGGAGCTAAAGAAGCCACAGAGAGAGTGGAGATTCTGAGTAGCTGTTGTTCTTAAATTCCATATTTTCTACTCCACATTTTCCTGTAGATATGAACGACTGTGACTCTGACCCCTGTACCAATGGTGGTACGTGCATCGATGAAGTCAACATGTTCACTTGCATATGTGTATCGGGCTACACAGGATTGATTTGTGACATAGGTAATTTACCTTAGTGATTCAACACAATTTTTATCACAAATATACATATTCTTTAAGAGCAGTGGGAACATATCACTCACATTCTGTATGACATTTAGAAGTTGTTTACCATTGAAAAAAACACATGATGCACTGTGATTTGTTTTCTGAAAACACGACTTTACTTTATCATTAACCGAATAACCTATTAAGTGTAGTTGAAGATTTAACGATAAGTGACGTTTGTCCCTTTGGTTTAGCAGGCAATTTTATTTTTCTGTAATTTTAAACAAAATTTCCCTTCAGATATTGATGAGCAATGATCATTTAACTTTGGTATTCATAGCTGATACACTGACTTGAGAGTGCGGGAGTAAGTGTGATAGGGGGAATAAAAAGAGTAGAAAAAAGAGAATTTTACCTTTAGAAAGCAATGAATGTGCAAGTTGTCCAATGTCTAATCGGCTGTACTTGCAATGACTTACCCGTGCACCTGGATATACAGTAAATTATTGTGAAGAATTTAAAACGAGCCCAAATATTCTGTGCTATTTTTAGCGAAACAAACTTGCATTTAGGAGAAGAAGCTGCAGGAGATTGAATCCATATGGTTCATACCATTTTTTTAATTCAGAATTTAGAATTGGATTACAATGTTATATTATTGCTAAGTTACGTGTATAATACCTTGGGTATATTTACTTTGGACAACTGGCCGTGATGGTAGAGAAGAGATTGTATTTAAAAAAAAATAAGAACGAGAGAGTGATTTAGAGACCACAATGGAGCTAAATAAGCCAGAAAGAGAGTGGAGATTCTGAGTAGCTGTTGTTCTTAAATTCCATATTTTCTACTCCACATTTTGCTGTAGATATGAATGATTGTGACCCTGACCCCTGTACCAATGGTGGTACGTGCATAGATGAAGTCAACATGTTCACTTGCATATGTGTATCGGGCTACACAGGATTGATTTGTGACATAGGTAATTTACCTTAGTGATTCAACACAATTTTGATCACAAATATACATATTCTTTAGGAGCAATGGGAACATATTATTAACATTCTACATGCCATTTAGAAGTTGTTTACGATTGAAACTAGATGGAATTTTGACTGCGCGCAGTCGAAAATGATGCCTCCGCCATAGAGCAATTTAAACAAGTTTGGAGTTTAAATCTCCAGTGGTTCTTGAGATATCATGATAACAATCTCAATGTATGGAATTTCATAAGTTGACCTCTGTGACCCTTGACCTTTGACCTACGTGCTCCAAAATCTAATCAGATTGTCTTCCTATGGTGATACACACTATCATTAAGTTTGAAGTTTAAATCTCCAGTGGTTCTTGAGATATTATGATATGGTGATACATACTATCATTAAGTTTGAAGTGAAAATTCTCCAGTGGTTCTTGAGATATCGCGATAACGATCTCAATGTATGGAATTTCATAAGTTGACCTCTGTGACCCTTGACCTTTGACTTACGTGCTCCAAAATCTAATCAGATTGTCTTTCTATGGTGATACATACTATCCTTAAGTTTGAAGTTTTTACATCTCCAGTGGTTCTTGAGATATCATGATAACAATCTCAATGTATGGAATTTCATAAGTTGACCTCTATGACCCTTGACCTTTGACCTACGTGCTCCAAAATCTAATCAGATTGTTTTCCTATAGTGATACACACTATCACTAAGTTTGAAGTTTAAATCTCCAGTGGTTCTTGAGATATTATGATATGGTGATACATACTATCATTAAGTTTGAAGTGAAAATTCTCCAGTGGTTCTTGAGATATCGCGATAACGATCTCAATGTATGGAATTTCATAAGTTGACCTCTGTGACCCTTGACCTTTTACCTACGTGCTCCAAAATCTAATCAGATCGTCTTTCTATGGTGATACATACTATCCTTAAGTTTGAAGTTTTTACATCTCCAGTGGTTCTTGAGATATCATGATAACAATCTCAATGTATGGAATTTCATAAGTTGACCTCTATGACCCTTGACCTTTGACCTACGTGCTCCAAAATCTAATCAGATTGTTTTCCTATAGTGATACACACTATCACTAAGTTTGAAGTTTAAATCTCAAATGGTTCTTGAGATATCGCGCTAACAAACTCAATACAAGGAATTTCATAAGTTGACCTCTGTGACCTGTGACCTTTGACCTACGTACTCCAAAATCTAATCAGATCGTCTTCCTATGGTGATAAATACTATTCCCGAGTCTTAAGTTTAAATCTTAAATGGTTCTTGAGATATTGTGATAACGGTCAAACGGGACGGACGTACGGACGGACGGATGGACGGACGTACGGACGGACAACCCGAAAACATGATGCCTTCGGCACCACCTTCGGTGGCGGAGGCATAAAAAAAACATGATGCACGGCGATTTGTTTTCTGAAAAACACGACTTTACTTTATCATTAACCGAATAACCTATTAAGTGTAGTTGAAGATTTAACGATAAGTTAGGTTTGTCCCTTTTCTTTAGCAGCCAATTTTAATTTTCTGTAATTCTAAACTAAATTTCCGTTCAGAATAAAAGGAGTAGAGAAAGAAATTTTTACCTTTAGAAAGCATTGAATGTGCCAGTTGTCCATGTCTAACCGGCTGTACTTGCAATGACTTACCTGTGCACCTGGATATAAAGTAAATTATTGTGAAGAATTTAAAATGAGTCCAAATATTCTGTGCTATTTTTAGCCAAACAAACTTGCCTTTAGGAGAAGAAGCTGCATGGTGGTTGAGAAGAGATTGTTATTGAAAAAAAAATAAGAACAAGAGAGTGATTTATAGACAATGATGGAGCTAAAGAAGCCACAGAGAGAGTGGAGATTCTGAGTAGCTGTTGTTCTTAAATTCCATATTTTCTACTCCACATTTTCCTGTAGATATGAACGACTGTGACTCTGACCCCTGTACCAATGGTGGTACGTGCATCGATGAAGTCAACATGTTCACTTGCATATGTGTATCGGGCTACACAGGATTGATTTGTGACATAGGTAATTTACCTTAGTGATTCAACACAATTTTTATCACAAATATACATATTCTTTAAGAGCAGTGGGAACATATCACTCACATTCTGTATGACATTTAGAAGTTGTTTACCATTGAAAAAAACACATGATGCACTGTGATTTGTTTTCTGAAAACACGACTTTACTTTATCATTAACCGAATAACCTATTAAGTGTAGTTGAAGATTTAACGATAAGTGACGTTTGTCCCTTTGGTTTAGCAGGCAATTTTATTTTTCTGTAATTTTAAACAAAATTTCCCTTCAGATATTGATGAGCAATGATCATTTAACTTTGGTATTCATAGCTGATACACTGACTTGAGAGTGCGGGAGTAAGTGTGATAGGGGGAATAAAAAGAGTAGAAAAAAGAGAATTTTACCTTTAGAAAGCAATGAATGTGCAAGTTGTCCAATGTCTAATCGGCTGTACTTGCAATGACTTACCCGTGCACCTGGATATACAGTAAATTATTGTGAAGAATTTAAAACGAGCCCAAATATTCTGTGCTATTTTTAGCGAAACAAACTTGCATTTAGGAGAAGAAGCTGCAGGAGATTGAATCCATATGGTTCATACCATTTTTTTAATTCAGAATTTAGAATTGGATTACAATGTTATATTATTGCTAAGTTACGTGTATAATACCTTGGGTATATTTACTTTGGACAACTGGCCGTGATGGTAGAGAAGAGATTGTATTTAAAAAAAAATAAGAACGAGAGAGTGATTTAGAGACCACAATGGAGCTAAATAAGCCAGAAAGAGAGTGGAGATTCTGAGTAGCTGTTGTTCTTAAATTCCATATTTTCTACTCCACATTTTGCTGTAGATATGAATGATTGTGACCCTGACCCCTGTACCAATGGTGGTACGTGCATCGATGAAGTCAACATGTTCACTTGCATATGTGTATCGGGCTACACAGGATTGATTTGTGACATAGGTAATTTACCTTAGTGATTCAACACAATTTTGATCACAAATATACATATTCTTTAGGAGCAATGGGAACATATTATTAACATTCTACATGCCATTTAGAAGTTGTTTACGATTGAAACTAGATGGAATTTTGACTGCGCGCAGTCGAAAATGATGCCTCCGCCATAGAGCAATTTAAACAAGTTTGGAGTTTAAATCTCCAGTGGTTCTTGAGATATCATGATAACAATCTCAATGTATGGAATTTCATAAGTTGACCTCTGTGACCCTTGACCTTTGACCTACGTGCTCCAAAATCTAATCAGATTGTCTTCCTATGGTGATACACACTATCATTAAGTTTGAAGTTTAAATCTCCAGTGGTTCTTGAGATATTATGATATGGTGATACATACTATCATTAAGTTTGAAGTGAAAATTCTCCAGTGGTTCTTGAGATATCGCGATAACGATCTCAATGTATGGAATTTCATAAGTTGACCTCTGTGACCCTTGACCTTTGACTTACGTGCTCCAAAATCTAATCAGATTGTCTTTCTATGGTGATACATACTATCCTTAAGTTTGAAGTTTTTACATCTCCAGTGGTTCTTGAGATATCATGATAACAATCTCAATGTATGGAATTTCATAAGTTGACCTCTATGACCCTTGACCTTTGACCTACGTGCTCCAAAATCTAATCAGATTGTTTTCCTATAGTGATACACACTATCACTAAGTTTGAAGTTTAAATCTCCAGTGGTTCTTGAGATATTATGATATGGTGATACATACTATCATTAAGTTTGAAGTGAAAATTCTCCAGTGGTTCTTGAGATATCGCGATAACGATCTCAATGTATGGAATTTCATAAGTTGACCTCTGTGACCCTTGACCTTTTACCTACGTGCTCCAAAATCTAATCAGATTGTCTTCCTATGTAGTCCGGCAGCCAAATCCAGATTATTGGCCTAACCTTGTTTTATGGTCTATAGTTTTTTTTTCAATGGATTTTGATTGCTTAGACCTTCTATTTCAAGAATCCGATTGCTGACACTTTGTCAGCCTTGAGCAATTTAAGATATATGACGTCATACAAAATGGCCGCCAAAGTACATGATTTTCCTTTAAAAATGAATAATAAATATATAATAAGGATTTTTTCTTCAATTTTTGGCAGCCAAATGTCTGTATCTCTCTAGGACCATCACTAAAAACATGTTTCGTGGTGTTGCATGGCCAGAGATGACCAGCTTATTTGCATATTTTGAAATAGCGCCCTCTATAAACATATTAATTTGAATAAAATATGTGTGCCAGCCAAATGCCAATTTCTTAAATCTATGTCACGTTGAAATCATATTAAATGCTTTTTTGGGGAAACAATTGCAGTTGTGCTGCATTAATCTTTCATCGTGTTTGGTACAAATTTAGATAGGGTAGGTGTGGGGAATGGAAGACCCTTAAGCACATTTGCATAATTTACATAAACATGAACAATGTTACATATACAGACATTTTTGTATTCTCTTTAGTATTTTTTCTCTTTATTTGGTAACGAAATTGTGGTGATGATGTAACTGATTAATAAGATAACAATGATTAATGACGTCATCACCAAAGGTCTCTCATTACCTACATGTGTAGGTAATAACAGTTACAAATAACAGTTACAAATCAAGACATTTTAAATACAATTTGAATGAAAATGGGATTGTTATAGTAAGTTCAAAAACTTTTTGAATGATATACATGCAGCCAATTAACTTACTGTAATTTTGAAACGATTTTAAAACAATGGGGCCCAAAATATTTCTGTAGTTTTTTGTTTACCGTAATAAAGGTGCTCTCAAATATGTTAAAATACTTTCAGAATAATGTTCTGGCAATATGACTTTTACATTTATCAAACTCACAGCATAGAAACAACTTCTTAAAATTAAATGCATTCAAATTAGAATGGTGACACGTACAACCAAATATGTTTCATGATAGTGCCTTTCAACATGAAATGAACAACTGGGGAGAAGTAGGCCCCCATCTTGGACCTGGTGTCCCCCATTACCTACACACATTTCTGATCAGACACCATTCATAATGTGAATTGCAACACCCATTCACAACACACAGTGGCCATAAACTTTCTGTGATGGTTGGCACATTTCATAAACTTCCTTTTAAAACTATTTTTTTTAAGGGCCACCCCTAAATATCTGCATACACCACAACATTCAGTGAAAATTGTGTTTTTATATCTTTTAAAAATTTTACGATCAAAATTGCTTATCTTGGTCAATTTTGCCAATTTTCTCGTAGAGAGAACGCACTGTAGCCTTCGAAATGAATTGGATATATGCAGTAGTGTTGTTGAAGGCCACATATGTCGCTATATCAATATTGGATCCAACACGGACAGACAGTGATGAGTTCAAGCTTGGTGGTCTCCAATTCCCTACACCTACCCTACATATGTCAAGAAAAAAATGGCTATGAAAGAATTTATTTTTCAACAAATCGGTGAGAAGTGGTTTTACGGCACACATTATTATTCAACTAATAGGCTTTATTTAGACCAGCATTGCTCCAACGTCAGTGAATGTGGATAAAGCAGTTGACATCTATACTAGACAGATGCATGATTTTCAAAAGAAATTACCTGGTGGATTCTATGTCACAATTTCCAAGAATGTTCAAACCGTGGCAGCCATGAAGAAGTCAATGTTGGGGTACGAAAGTCTATGAAAAGTTGATCTACTCCAGAGTAATAGGACTGCAGACAAGTTCAAGAGAGGTCAATGTCAAGGACATTTTGTCATAAGAGCTTTCACCAGTCCCAACAGCACTTTTTGATGATTCTGGAAACGAGCACTCCCATGTTAAAGACGGACTTATAGAATTTGACAAAAGTTGAGATGTCAGCCAGGCATGAGACACTGGAACAACCTTGTACAGTCAATGATGGTTGTGCTCTGCTGTGGATGAAAATATGATGATGTTTGCTTGGTGTTTGACAGATCCGAGAGTATTTAGAGGTCATAACGGGTCGAGAGTCTTCCAACTGAGCCCCGCGTCACTGCTGCCCTCCAAGAAACTATCTCTTACTGTTCGTCGTCGTCGTTTTCATATAGATCATGGCTCACCCTTGTGACCCGTTTGATGAGACCTTTTGATCGGCATCTGTCTCCTGCAATCCGGTAGAGTGTCTTTAGTATTTAGAGGGTGGCTAGTGATTTCCCTAAGGTCGTCAGTCCATCTGAGCTTGAGTCTTCCTTTGTTACGTGTTTCTTCAAAGGTACCTTGAATGATAATTTGTCAAGGTTGTCTCCTGATCTTCTGCTAACGTGACCAAACTATTGTAGCTTGTACTTGTCAATCCTGGTAGCAAGTGGCGGTTGATCTCCGATGATGGACATTAATTGTGTACATTGGTGTTGTAATCTCTTCATGATATCCCAAGTAGCTTCCTCCAACACCACATTTCAAAGGCAGATTGCCGAGCTTCCACCCTCCTTGACAATCATTGACCCAAGAACATTATATAAACTTGTCCACTTGATCAACTTCTTCTCCATCAACCACCATGCTCTGTTGCATGTAGTTAATTTCCACCAATCATGATCTTGGTCTTTTTCACATTGAGGTAGGATCCAAATTATTCACTTGCATCCTTCAATCTTTTTTAAGGAGTTCTAGTAGTTCTTCTGATGTTCTTGTTATAAGTGTTGTCAGTGGCATACTGAGCAAAAACACTTAGAGGGGCAGAAAAACAATCTGCATCACCACCACTCATACATGTTACATGCAGGCCCCGCGGAACTTTTTTTAAAAGCGGGGTGGGGGGGGGTTGAAGTATTTACGATCAGGAAGAGAGGAGCGCAAACTGGCGTGGTGTTCAAGGGGCACAGCCCCCGGAAGCTCAAGGGTTTCAGGCATTTATTAACTGTAAGATGAACATATTTTGATACCTCATTTCACCTCGGGTCACTTTCTTTCTTTCTTTCTAGTTCTCTTTAACATACTTTATACAAAAAGTGAGGGGGGGCTCGATTCCCCTGAGCCCCGCTGTTCTGCGGACCCTGACATGTAGGCTTTTAAATAAGCATATTTTTTGCTTGACTGTGGATTTACTAAAAAGTGAGAAAAAACCCAGGAAAATCATGTTATTTCAGCAACATTTGTAAATCACTGGTATCGAATATATAAAAAAAAAACAGTTTGAATTTTGTTTGGGGGTTCAACTGTCCCCCCCCCCCATACCCTTCCCCATTAGTACGCCAGAGAGTGTTGTATTGTCGGCGTATCTTAGGTTGGTGATCGTTCGTCCACCAACAGAAACTTGACCATAAAATGCCTTTCTCATGATGAATTCAGCATACATGTTGAAAATTTATGGTGATAGGTTGCAGCCTTGACGGACAACTTGACCAATAGTGAACCTTTCGGTGTCGCCATTCTCTGCTCTTACTGTTGCTTCTTGGTATTGGTAGAGCGACTGGATGAGTTGAATTATATGTGCTGGAAAGCCCATCTAGCTCATAATCTTCCATAGGCGTTTATGTTGTACGCAGTCAAAAGCTTTGGAAAGATCAATAAAGCTAGGGAGAGAAGTTGTTGAAATGTGTCTCTAGTGTTGCTAACTTCACTATCTTTTCATGACAACAAACTACAGTTGATCGACATCATAATTATATGCGCGAGTCTGCAGGATGATTGGGTGCTCAGAAATAGGCAAAAGCACAAGCAGGCCTTTACCGTCAAGATGAGGTTCTTGTTGAAGTGATTCCAGGCAGTGATGTCATGCCAAGGAAAGGTCTGTCCACAACATAGTTATGATGAAGCAGGCAACATCAAAGAACAGCAAGCGATTGGAATTGATGCTAATCAGAAGATGTATGTTAGGGTCCTAGTGGATGACACAGACGTCTACGTACCACTTTTGCATCATTATCTACATGACGGACTTATAAAACGCCAATTACCATGGAGACGCCCCTTCACAAATCGAACTGTTATCGATGTTCCTGCCAATGTAGACAAGTTAGGAGATATCATTCCATCGATGTTGGCAGGACATGCGTTGACGGGATGCGACACTCTTGGGGCATACTTTGGCATTGGATAGGGTACAATGCTGAAAGTGATGAAGCAGAAGATTCGACTCCCTTAGGACTGAGTTGGCAATGTTGATGCAGCATGGTCATATGTCATCACTCAACCTACTCAATGCTTTGCTTCATGTTATGGACAGTCAACAACCAACTGAATGTCAGAGGCTCGTATCAACGTGTGGCTATCAAGGGTCCGAAGACTAGGAGCTCCAAATACCCCCAAACCTTGCCTCACTACCTCAAACTACTGAAGCGTTTGTAGAAAATGTTAAGAGAACTCATTTGTAAACATGCGTGTGGAAGCACGCATTACAGTCACGACCCTACTTTGCAGAATTAAGTGTTAAATGACACCCTCTTCCACATGGAATATTTTAGGGTTCCCAACACTTTAGAGAGCTTTTAAAAAAAAATCAAGATTTTGAAGCAAACTTATAAACGGATATAGTCCTGTATCGTAGTGGTAGTTCGTAATTTTTAGGTTAATTTAAAAGAATCTAGTACCTTAGAATACAAATCTAGTTTCTTAACGCTGTCACTGAAAATGGGCATTTATCACCATATGCCACCTCATATCTATGGGACAGAGAGCATAAAATTCAACCGTGTTTTGTTCGAGTATCAAATTACAAAATAAAAATAAATGTGCAGCACAATCTTTACTCACTGTATTCAGTGCATCTGACTCATGACATACTGTATGATAATCTCATGTTAGAAATTTGTATTTGGCCATCATTTTGACCTATGCAAGTTAATGTGTCTATAGAGGGCGCCATTCCGAATTATGCAAATTTGCATATCATTTGTGATCATACAGCATTGCAATTTTTATTTAGTGATGATTCTAGAAAAAAATCAAGATATTTGACTGCCATTTAATGTAGTAAAATGCTGTTAAAACCTTTTATATCATTAATTTTGGTTAAAAAGGGGATTTTGGCGGCCATTTTGTATGACGTCACATATCTCAAATTGCTCAATGCTGACAGAGTGTCAGCAATCGAATTCTTCAAATTGATGGTCTAAGGAACTATAATCCGAAGAAAAAAAAACTATAGACCCTAAAACAAGGTATATCGAGATGGCTGCCGGACTAATGGTGATACACACTATCATTAAGTTTGAAGTTTAAATCTCCAGTGGTTCTTGAGATATTATGATAACAATCTCAATGTATGGAATTTCATAAGTTGACCTCTGTGACCCTTGACCTTTGACCTACGTGCTCCAAAATCTAATCAGATCGTCTTTCTATGGTGATACATACTATCCTTAAGTTTGAAGTTTTTACATCTCCAGTGGTTCTTGAGATATCATGTCTTGCTTTCGTAGAACTCTTATATCACAAATGTTAATAGAATAGTTGTTTATAACTTAGAACCAAGGCTCTTGCCTTTTTGTAAATGTTTTGTTATATAATTCTTCATCTTTTATTTAGTGTAAAATACCAAAGCTTTGTATATAAGCACAGAACACATTTACCCTAGATGTAGAATAGTTTGTAGCTTAGGTATGAATTCAATAGTTATTCATATTTATTCATTATATTTTCATTTATTGCTGTGATACTTTTTGTGTGTTAGTGGTACTAGACACGATTAGCATTAAATGCTATTTTCTGGTCCCATTTATCCTTTCAATGTTAATTAATCATTCACATTTGATTGTTATAATGATGTACTTTTTGTTTTGGATAATAAACTTCAAACTCAAACTCAAACTCAAACTCAAACAATCTCAATGTATGGAATTTCATAAGTTGACCTCTATGACCCTTGACCTTTGACCTACGTGCTCCAAAATCTAATCAGATTGTTTTCCTATAGTGAAGTTTAAATCTCAAATGGTTCTTGAGATATCGCGCTAACAAACTCAATACAAGGAATTTCATAAGTTGACCTCTGTGACCTGTGACCTTTGACCTACGTACTCCAAAATCTAATCAGATCGTCTTCCTATGGTGATAAATACTATTCCCGAGTCTTAAGTTTAAATCTTAAATGGTTCTTGAGATATTGTGATAACGGTCAAACGGGACGGACGTACGGACGGACGGATGGACGGACGTACGGACGGACAACCCGAAAACATGATGCCTTCGGCACCACCTTCGGTGGCGGAGGCATAAAAAAAACATGATGCACGGTGATTTGTTTTCTGAAAAACACGACTTTACTTCATCATTAACCGAATGACCTATTAAGTGTAGTTGAAGATTTAACGATAAGTTAGGTTTGTCCCTTTTCTTTAGCAGCCAATTTTAATTTTCTGTAATTCTAAACTAAATTTCCGTTCAGAATAAAAGGAGTAGAGAAAGAAATTTTTACCTTTAGAAAGCATTGAATGTGCCAGTTGTCCATGTCTAATCGGCTGTACTTGCAATGACTTACCTGTGCACCTGGATATAAAGTAAATTATCGTGAAGAATTTAAAATGAGTCCAAATATTCTGTGCTATTTTTATCCAAACAAACTTGCCTTTAGGAGAAGAAGCTGCATGGTGGTTGAGAAGAGATTGTTATTGAAAAAAAATAAGAACAAGAGAGTGATTTAGAGACAATGATGGAGCTAAAGAAGCCACAGAGAGAGTGGAGATTCTGAGTAGCTGTTGTTCTTAAATTCCATATTTTCTACTCCACATTTTCCTGTAGATATGAACGACTGTGACTCTGACCCCTGTACCAATGGTGGTACGTGCATCGATGAAGTCAACATGTTCACTTGCATATGTGCAACGGGCTACACAGGATTGATTTGTGACATAGGTAACTTACCTTAGAGATTCAAAACAATTTTTATCACAAATATACATATTCTTTAGGAGCAGTGGGAACATATCACTCACATTCTATATGAAATTTAGAAGTTGTTTACCATTGACAAAAAAACATGATGCACTGTGATTTTTTTTCTGAAAAACACGACTTTACTTTATCATTAACCGAATAACCTATTAAGTGTAGTTGAAGATTTAACAATGAGTGACGTTTGCCCCTTTGGTTTAGCAGGCAATTTTATTTTTCTGTAATTTTAAACTAAATTTCCCTTCAGATATTGATGAGCAATATGCATTCTTTGGATGAGCGCACTAGCATGTTGCACATGCTTTTTGCTTGCTCTCCAAAAGAGTTAATTTTTACTTGTAATTTGGATATTTCATATGATTGTATTGCTACCACTTGTTTTGTAATAGTACCTAGGAGCCACTAGACAAGTTGCAGTTGGTAAAGTAATATATTTATGTCATATTTCAGTGTAAAAGTATTTGGATAGATTTGATTTTGCAGTATTCGGTTTGCCATGTTCTTCCTATATATCACTGTGTAAGTAGCATCATCTATTGTACAGTGTTTGCCTTGATGAACCTGAACATCTGGATTACAATCTGAGCACAATGGGGTCTATTCATCTCAAAGTCTTTGTTGTACTTTGTTTATACACTTCTCTGACTGACTTTGTGCATTGCAAAGATCAGTCTTTTGTGCAGTCTTTTCATCGTGGAACATTCATCAGAAAGCACTTTCTAAAAAGGAAAATTCCATACAGCTCTAACTGCACTGCCTCTTTTCAGTTAGAACTTTTTCATGCCGGAGATGTTCATCCAAATCCAGGGCCCCATATGCAAGATGGATGTGTTTCTTCCACATCCGCCATTCATCGTGCTACTCATCAAGTTCAACGTTACATCAAGTATACCCCAGCTGAACTTCTGAAATGGAGACATTCCAAGGCACAGCTTCCAGGGGATATTTGCGACATCATTCATTCTTATGGAATTCACCGAAAGAAAACACGCAGAGGGACTCGAGGTGGCTACGGAAAAGCCAGCATCAGACACGAGAAACAGTCAAATATATCCGTTACACTTCAGCTCTGTACTGTAACTTCACCGATATCCGTGGTCACATCCGGAAGAAGAAGACCAAGACACACCAACGAAGATCAGTCACAAGGATCTAATCAGAACAATTTGATATATCCTTCTCAATATAATCCTAATGTAAAGTCTGGCATAACATGTTCTCTTTGGAATGCTCATTCTATAAGAAATAAGACAGTTGATCTGGTTGATTATATTTGTGAACATGACACTGATGTAATGATTTTAACTGAGACGTGGCTAAACAAAAATGATAATGTTGTCATGGGTGAGTGTACCCCTCCTGGTTATACTTTCCTAAATGAGCCTCGTGACTCTAGTACTCGTGGAGGCGGAATTGCTATGTTGTTTAAAACTCCACTTAAGATGCGTATTAGGCGAAATGATGATCTAGTTTACTCTACATTCGAATGCGTACATATCACTAATAGTTTTTACTCAGTCAATTTTATAGTTGTATATAGGCCACCGCCATCACCAATGAATGGATTCACTAATGCAGATTTTCTTAGTGAATTTGATGATTTTGTAAATGAAGTATCTCTTCTTCCAGGAAAGCTAATTTTACTGGGTGATTTTAATGTCCACTGGGATAATCCCTCTAAAAATGATGTTATTCATTTCTCTTCAACAACAACTGCTGCTGGTTTTGCTCAATGTGTAAATGGCCCAACACATAGTCTTGGGCACACCTTAGACTTGGTGTTTACCCGCTGTGATGAATCTGAAAAATCTTTGCTTAAGGATTGTTACATTGATGAAACATGTATGTCTGATCATCATATTGTGTGTTTCACTTTGCAGCTTCCAAAACCTATACCTATGCAAACTGTATCAACTCTTCGCAACTATCGTAAAATCGATAAGAATCAATTTGTTAACTCACTAACTGAGTTGTTATCATCCAAACCAATCAATGTGGATGTTGACCCTTTGTTCGAATGGTATGAATCTGGAATGGAAGAATTGTTAGACACATATGCACCAGCAACAATTAAGACTCGACCTGTAAAGAATCGAATGCCTTGGTTTAATGACTCAATTCATACTGCTCGCCGAGAGCGACATCGAGCAGAACGAAAGTGGCGGAAATCAAGATCTGATCAGGATCGTGAATTGTATATGAAAGAAAAGAGATATGTCTGTGAACTCACTGAAACCGCCAAAGAAAGCTATTTCAAAGATAAACTAGCTTCTTGTAGTAGCAAGGATGTTTATCGCACTATTAACTCTCTTTTAAACAAGAAATCAAATCATCTTCCATTCTATGATTCTGCTGCTCGTCTAAGTTATCAATTTTCTAAATATTTTGTTGAAAAAATTGATACCATTCGTGATCAACTTGATAACCTTCCTGTTATGCCATTATCTGACTTCAATAATACTTTGAATGATGATATACCATCGCTTGAAGTCTTAAGACCAGTTTCCCAAAGTGATCTTTTGAAAATCATTACAAGATCTCCTAGTAAATCTAGTCGTTTAGATCCTATACCGACAAGGTTCTTGAAAGAGAATATTGATCATCTTCTACCTGTACTCACTAATATTGTGAATATCTCCTTATCATCTGGTATCTTTCCTAAAGGAGCTCATCGTGCTGTAATTAAACCTCTCTTGAAAAATGCATCCATGGATAAGAATAATATTAAGAACTATAGACCTGTGTCTAATTTAACGTATGTAGGAAAACTCATTGAGAAAGTAGCTTGCTCAAGACTAATGGAGCATGTTGAAGCTAACAATCTTGCTGACCCATTTCAGTCTGCATATAGACCCCGACATAGCACAGAAACTGCTTTGATCAAGGTGAAGAATGATATTATGTTTTCACTTAACTCAAACAAAATCATTCTTGTGGTATTATTAGACTTGTCAGCAGCCTTTGATACCATCGACCATCATATCCTAGTCTCTCGTTTATCAACGAGGATTGGTATCAAAGGCACTGCCCTAAAATGGTTCCAGTCTTATCTCGATGGCTGGTCAACACAAGTAGACATTGCAGGGGAATTGTCTGCGCCTATCATTTCCAAGTTTGGTCTGCCACAAGGTTCTGTAGTAGGTCCTGTTGGTTTTACAATTTACACCCTCCCGGTTAGTGATATTACTCAGCATCATAATGTGTCATACCATGTATATGCGGATGATATACAGTTATATGTTTCATTTGATCCCAAAATACGTGGTGAATTAGATTGTGCATTGTTGTCACTGCAAAACTGCATCTGTGATATAAAGAATTGGATGTCCATTAACAAGTTGAAATTGAACGACAGTAAGACAGAGTTTTTTATTGCTGCTTCACCACACAATTTCAGAAAATTGCCAGACATAACTCTCACCATAGGAAATATTTCCGTAAAACCTACAGACACAATTAAAAACTTGGGCGTATTCTTTGATGTTCATATGATTATGAATTCACATATTAACAATGTTAGTAGAACGGTCACTTTTCACTTAAGGAACATATCACGAATTCGTAGATATATTGATCAATCAACTTGTCATCATGCTGTAAGGTCTTTAATTCTCTCTAGACTTGATTATTGTAATGGACTTCTTTCCTCTCTTCCAAAGTTACATTAAACCGTCTCCAGCGCCTACAAAACTGGGCAGCACGTCTTGTGTTTGAGGTCGGTAGAAGTCATTCAGCTCAACCATTAATTCCCTTCACTGGCTTCCAATTCAACAGCGAATCATTTTTAAGTTACTCTTATATGTCTATAAATCATTGCACCACCTAGCTCCTAATTACCTGTCTAATTGTTTAACTTTATATACACCAAGCAGAAATCTCAGATCTTCAAATGATAACCTCCGTCTAAATTATCCAATAACACGTGTCCAAGCCGGGGATAGGACTTTCACGGTAGCAGCATCCAAAGGGTGGAATAATCTCCCCATGTCCATCAGACAATCTGCCTCTATCGATATTTTAAAGAAGGCTCTGAAAACTCATCTCTTTACATGAATTCTCCTCTATGTTTAATTATTTAATTTAATTAATTGAATTTAATATTTTATATGGAATATCTAATTGTAGCCTTTAATTATTACATGTAGTAAAGACCAATAATATTATTTGATGTTAGCGCTCTGAGCCTTATGGGAATGGCGCCCTAAATGTTTATTGTATTGTAATGATCATTTAATTTTGGTATTCATAGCTGATACACTGACTTGAGAGTGAGGGAGTAAGTGTAATAGAGGGAATAAAAAGAGTAGAAAAAAGAGAATTTTACCTTTAGAAAGCAATGAATGTGAAAGTCGTTCAATGTCTAATCGGCTGTACTTGCAATGACTTACCCGTGCACCTGGATATACAGTAAATTATTGTGAAGAATTTAAAATGAGTCCAAATATTCTGTGCTATTTTTAGCCAAACAAACTTGCATTTAGGAGAAGAAGCTGCAGGAGATTGAATCCATATGGTTCATACCATTTTTTAAATTCAGAATTTAGATTTGGATTACAATGTTATATTATTTCTAAGTTAGCTGTATAATACCTTAAGTACACTAACTTTGGACAACTGGCCATGGTGGTAAAGAAAAGATTGTAATTTTTAAAAAAAATAAGAACGAGAGAGTGACTTACAGACCATAATGAAGCTAAATAAGCCAGAAAGAGAGTAGAGATTCTGAGTAGCTGTTGTTCTTAAATTCCATATTTTCTACTCCACATTTTGCTGTAGATATGAATGATTGTGACTCTGACCCCTGTACCAATGGTGGTACGTGCATCGATGAAGTCAACATGTTCACTTGCATATGTGTATCGGGCTACACAGGATTGATTTGTGACATAAGTAATTTACCTTAGTGATTCAACACAATTTTTATCACAAATATACATATTCTTTAGCAGCAATGGGAACATATCATTAACATTCTATATGACATTTAAAAGTTGTTTACGATTGAAAAAAAACATGATGCACGGTGATTTGTTTTCTGAAAAACACGACTTTACTTTATCATTAACCGAATAACCTATTAAGTGTAGTTGAAGATTTAACAATAAGTGACGTTTGTCCCTTTTCTTTAGCAGCCAATTTTAGTTTTCTGTAATTCTAAACTAAATTTCCGTTCAGAATAAAAAGAGAAGAGAAAGAAATTTTACCTTTAGAAAGCATTGAATGTGCCAGTTGTCCATGTCTAATCGGCTGTACTTGCAATGACTTACCTGTGCACCTGGATATAAAGTAAATTATTGTGAAGAATTTAAAATGAGTCCAAATATTCTGTGCTATTTTTAGCCAAACAAACTTGCCTTTAGGAGAAGAAGCTGCATGGTGGTAGAGAAGAGATTGTAATTTAAAAAAAATAAGAACAAGAGAGTGATTTATAGACAATGATGGAGCTAAAGAAGCCACAGAGAGAGTAGAGATTCTGAGTAGCTGTTGTTCTTAAATTCCATATTTTCTACTCCACATATTGCTGTAGATATGAATGATTGTGACTCTGACCCCTGTACCAATGGTGGTACGTGCATCGATGAAGTCAACATGTTCACTTGCATATGTGTATCGGGCTACACAGGATTGATTTGTGACATAGGTAATTTACCTTAGTGATTCAACACAATTTTTATCACAAATATACATATTCTTTAGGAGCAGTGGGAACATATCACTCACATTCTGTTTGACATTTAGAAGTTGTTTACCATTGAAAAAAACACATGATGCACTGTGATTTGTTTTCTGAAAAACACGACTTTACTTTATCATTAACCGAATAACCTATTAAGTGTAGTTGAAGATTTAACGATAAGTGACGTTTGTCCCTTTGGTTTAGCAGGCAATTTTATTTTTCTGTAATTTTAAACAAAATTTCCCTTCAGATATTGATGAGCAATGATCATTTAACTTTGGTATTCATAGCTGATACACTGACTTGAGAGTGCGGGAGTAAGTGTGATAGGGGGAATAAAAAGAGTAGAAAAAAGAGAATTTTACCTTTAGAAAGCAATGAATGTGAAAGTCGTTCAATGTCTAATCGGCTGTACTTGCAATGACTTACCCGTGCACCTGGATATACAGTAAATTATTGTGAAGAATTTAAAATGAGTCCAAATATTCTGTGCTATTTTTAGCCAAACAAACTTGCATTTAGGAGAAGAAGCTGCAGGAGATTGAACATATGGTTCATACCATTTTTTTAATTCAGAATTTAGATTTGGATTACAATGTTATATTATTTCTAAGTTACCTGTATAATACCTTAAGTACACTAACTTTGGACAACTGGCCATGGTGGTAAAGAAAAGATTGTAATTTTTTAAAAAAATAAGAACGAGAGAGTGACTTACAGACCATAATGGAGCTAAATAAGCCAGAAAGAGAGTAGAGATTCTGAGTAGCTGTTGTTCTTAAATTCCATATTTTCTACTCCACATTTTGCTGTAGATATGAATGATTGTGACTCTGACCCCTGTACCAATGGTGGTACGTGCATCGATGAAGTCAACATGTTCACTTGCATATGTGTATCGGGCTACACAGGATTGATTTGTGACATAGGTAATTTACCTTAGTGATTCAACACAATTTTTATCACAAATATACATATTCTTTAGCAGCAATGGGAACATATCATTAACATTCTATATGACATTTAAAAGTTGTTTACGATTGAAAAAAAACATGATGCACGGTGATTTGTTTTCTGAAAAACACGACTTTACTTTATCATTAACCGAATAACCTATTAAGTGTAGTTGAAGATTTAACAATAAGTGACGTTTGTCCCTTTTCTTTAGCAGCCAATTTTAATTTTCTCTAATTCTAAACTAAATTTCCGTTCAGAATGAAAAGAGAAGAGAAAGAAATTTTACCTTTAGAAAGCATTGAATGTGCCAGTTGTCCATGTCTAATCGGCTGTACTTGCAATGACTTACCTGTGCACCTGGATATAAAGTAAATTATTGTGAAGAATTTAAAATGAGTCCAAATATTCTGTGCTATTTTTAGCCAAACAAGCTTGCCTTTAGGAGAAGAAGCTGCATGGTGGTAGAGAAGAGATTGTAATTTAAAAAAAATAAGAACAAGAGAGTGATTTATAGACAATGATGGAGCTAAAGAAGCCACAGAGAGAGTAGAGATTCTGAGTAGCTGTTGTTCTTAAATTCCATATTTTCTACTCCACATATTGCTGTAGATATGAATGATTGTGACCCTGACCCCTGTACCAATGGTGGTACGTGCATCGATGAAGTCAACATCTTCACTTGCATATGTGTATCGGGCTACACAGGATTGATTTGTGACATAGGTAATTTACCTTAGTGATTCAACACAATTTTTATCACAAATATACATATTCTTTAGGAGCAGTGGGAACATATCACTCACATTCTGTATGACATTTAGAAGTTGTTTACCATTGAAAAAAACACATGATGCACTGTGATTTGTTTTCTGAAAAACACGACTTTACTTTATCATTAACCGAATAACCTATTAAGTGTAGTTGAAGATTTAACGATAAGTGACGTTTGTCCCTTTGGTTTAGCAGGCAATTTTATTTTTCTGTAATTTTAAACTAAATTTCCCTTCAGATATTGATGAGCAATGATCATTTAACTTTGGTATTCATAGCTGATACACTGACTTGAGAGTGCGGGAGTAAGTGTGATAGGGGGAATAAAAAGAGTAGAAAAAAAGATAATTTTACCTTTAGAAAGGAATGAATGTGCAAGTTGTCCAATGTCTAATCGGCTGTACTTGCAATGACTTACCCGTGCACCTGGATATACAGTAAATTATTGTGAAGAATTTAAAATGAGTCCAAATATTCTGTGCTATTTTTAGCCAAACAAACTTGCATGTACATGTAGGAGAAGAAGCCGCAGGAGATTGAATCCATATGGTTCATACCATTTTTTAAATTCAGAATTTAGAATTGGATTACAATGTTACATTATTTCTAAGTTACATGTATAATACCATGGGTATACTAACATATCAAACATTCATTAACATTCTATATGCCATTTAGAAGTTGTTTACGATTGAAAAAAAAAACATGATGCACGGTGATTTGTTTTCTGAAAAACACGACTTTACTTTATCATTAACCGAATAACCTGATAAGTGTAGTTGAAGATTTAACGATAAGTGACGTTTGTGCCTTTTCTTTATCAGCCAATTTTAGTTTTCTGTAATTCTAAACTAAATTTCCGTTCAGAATAAAAAGAGTAGAGGAAGAAATTTTTACCTTTAGAAAGCATTGAATGTGCCAGTTGTCCATGTCTAACCGGCTGTACTTGCAATGACTTACCTGTGCACCTGGATATAAAGTAAATTATTGTGAAGAATTTAAAATGAGTCCAAATATTCTGTGTGTTTTTTAGCCAAACAAACTTGCCTTTAGGAGAAGAAGCTGCATGGTGGTAGAGAAGAGATTGTAATTTTAAAAAAATAAGAACAAGAGAGTGATTTATAGACAATGATGGAGCTAAAGAAGCCACAGAGAGAGTAGAGATTCTGAGTAGCTGTTGTTCATGAATTCCATAATTTCTACTCCACATTTTGCTGTAGATATAAATGATTGTGACCCTGACCCCTGTACCAATGGTGGTACGTGCATCGATGAAGTCAACATGTTCACTTGCATATGTGTATCGGGCTACACAGGATTGATTTGTGACATAGGTGATTTACCTTAGTGATTCAACACAATTTTTTTTATCACAAATATACATATTCTTTAGCAGCAATGGGAACATATCATTAACATTCTACATGACATTTAGAAGTTGTTTACGATTGAAAAAAAACCATGATGCACGGCGATTTGTTTTCTGAAAAACACGACTTTACTTTATCATTAACCGAATAACCTATTAAGTGTAGTTGAAGATTTAACGATAAGTTAGGTTTGTCCCTTTTCTTTAGCAGCCAATTTTAATTTTCTGTAATTCTAAACTAAATTTCCGTTCAGAATAAAAGGAGTAGAGAAAGAAATTTTTACCTTTAGAAAGCATTGAATGTGCCAGTTGTCCATGTCTAATCGGCTGTACTTGCAATGACTTACCTGTGCACCTGGATATAAAGTAAATTATTGTGAAAAATTTAAAATGAGTCCAAATATTCTGTGCTATTTTTAGCCAAACAAACTTGCCTTTAGGAGAAGAAGCTGCATGGTGGTTGAGAAGAGATTGTTATTGAAAAAAAAATAAGAACAAGAGAGTGATTTAGAGACAATGATGGAGCTAAAGAAGCCACAGAGAGAGTAGAGATTCTGAGTAGCTGTTGTTCTTAAATTCCATATTTTCTACTCCACATTTTCCTGTAGATATGAACGACTGTGACTCTGACCCCTGTACCAATGGTGGTACGTGCATCGATGAAGTCAACATGTTCACTTGCATGTGTGTATCGGGCTACACAGGATTGATTTGTGACATAGGTAATTTACCTTAGTGATTTAACACAATTTTTATCACAAATATATATATTCTTTAGGAACAATGGGAACATATCATTAACATTCTATATGCCATTTAGAAGTTGTTTACTATTGAAAAAAAAACATGATGCACTGTGATTTGTTTTCTGAAAAACACGACTTTACTTTATCATTAACCGAATAACCTATTAAGTGTAGTTGAAGATTTAACAATAAGTGACGTTTGTGCCTTTTCTTTAGCAGCCAATTTTAGTTTTCTGTAATTCTAAACTAAATTTCCGTTCAGAATAAAAGGAGTAGAGAAAGAAATTTTTACCTTTAGAAAGCATTGAATGTGCCAGTTGTCCATGTCTAACCGGCTGTACTTGCAATGACTTACCTGTGCACCTGGATATAAAGTAAATTATTGTGAAGAATTTAAAATGAGTCCAAATATTCTGTGCTATTTTTAGCCAAACAAACTTGCATGTAGGAGAAGAAGCCGCAGGAGATTGAATCCATATGGTTCATACCATTTTTTTAAATCAGAATTTAGAATTGGATTACAATGTTATATTATTTCTAAGTTACATGTATAATACCTTGGGTATACTAACATATCAAACATTCATTAACATTCTATATGCCATTTAGAAGTTGTTTACGATTGAAAAAAAAACATGATGCACGGTGATTTGTTTTCTGAAAAACACGACTTTACTTTATCATTAACCGAATAACCTATTAAGTGTAGTTGAAGATTTAACGATAAGTTAGGTTTGTCCCTTTTCTTTAGCAGCCAATTTTAATTTTCTGTAATTCTAAACTAAATTTCCGTTCAGAATAAAAGGAGAAGAGAAAGAAATTTTTACCTTTAGAAAGCATTGAATGTGCCAGTTGTCCATGTCTAATCGGCTGTACTTGCAATGACTTACCTGTGCACCTGGATATAATATAGTATTAATGACTGCTTTGAGAGAAATAGTTGTTTTATTACGCTCAAGGGAAGGTTAGAATTGTGCTATTCCCCGAGGCTTGCCGAGGGGAATAGCCCAATTGTAACCTTCCCGAGAGCGTATGAAAACAACTATTTCTCGAATATTAAAGCAGTCATTAATACTTTTATATGCCGAAAAAAAATAGACTAAAAAATTAAAAATTAAAAATATTTATCAATTTGTCGAAGACGGGATTCGAACCCTTGCGTTCAACAAAAGGTGTACCGGAAACCAACGCTTAGACCACACGGCTATGGCCCGCCGTTAACATGCTCGGCAGTTTTCTCCAGTATATACATTAAAATGGATTGAAACCGGCTTCGCGTGTGATGAATGCTTCGCAAAAGCTCCATATACGGACTCTTCTTTTACTTTTGCAATGCATATTGGCACGAACTTAGATCAAGATCTATCGGCAGATGTTGTTTTTTTGTTTTTGGAAGTTTATTTTCGTCTTCATGTCAACAATGCAAGATAAAATTGTCGGTAAGATCGATCGAGATTCAATTGTATTGAAATTACCGACCAATCCTTCGCACACATACGGCATCCTCCATCGCTCAAACCATTTTTTAACATGTAAACCTATGGGGTAACCATGGAGGCTGACCAACTTTTTTTAATAACCATGGTTATTAAAAATATTGAAATGTTTTATGCATGGTTACCGAGAATTTTACAGGAACAGTTGAAGTTTATGAATGCAATTCGACCAATCAGATGGCTGGATTTCTTAAGTGAGGTATATAAAGTAAATTATTGTGAAGAATTTAAAATGAGTCCAAATATTCTGTGCTATTTTTAGCCAAACAAACTTGCCTTTAGGGGAAGAAGCTGCATGGTGGTTGAGAAGAGATTGTTATTGAAAAAAAAATAAGAACAAGAGAGTGATTTAGAGACCACAATGGAGCTAAATAAGCCAGAAAGAGAGTGGAGATTTTGAGTAGCTGTTGTTCTTTAATTCCATATTTTCTACTCCACATTTTCCTGTAGATATGAACGACTGTGACTCTGACCCCTGTACCAATGGTGGTACGTGCATCGATGAAGTCAACATGTTCACTTGCATGTGTGTATCGGGCTACACAGGATTGATTTGTGACATAGGTAATTTACCTTAGTGATTCAACACAATTTTTATCACAAATATACATATTCTTTAGCAGCAATGGGAACATATCACTCACATTCTATATGCCATTTAGAAGTTGTTTACGATTGAAGAAAAAAACATGATGCACGGTGATTTGTTTTCTGAAAAACACGACTTTACTTTATCATTAACCGAATAACCTATTAAGTGTAGTTGAAGATTTAACGATAAGTTAGGTTTGTCCCTTTTCTTTAGCAGCCAATTTTAATTTTCTGTAATTCTAAACTAAATTTCCGTTCAGAATAAAAGGAGAAGAGAAAGAAATTTTTACCTTTAGAAAGCATTGAATGTGCCAGTTGTCCATGTCTAATCGGCTGTACTTGCAATGACTTACCTGTGCACCTGGATATAAAGTAAATTATTGTGAAGAATTTAAAATGAGTCCAAATATTCTGTGCTATTTTTAGCCAAACAAACTTGCCTTTAGGAGAAGAAGCTGCATGGTGGTAGAGAAGAGATTGTAATTTAAAAAAGATAAGAACAAGAGAGTGATTTATAGACAATGATGGAGCTAAAGAAGCCACAGAGAGAGTAGAGATTCTGAGTAGCTGTTGTTCTTAAATTCCATATTTTCTACTCCACATTTTCCTGTAGATATGAACGACTGTGACTCTGACCCCTGTACCAATGGTGGTACGTGCATCGATGAAGTCAACATGTTCACTTGCATATGTGTATCGGGCTACACAGGATTGATTTGTGACATAGGTGATTTACCTTAGAGATTCAACACAATTTTTATCACAAATATTCATATTCTTTAGGAGCAGTGGGAACATATCACTCACATTCTGTATGACATTTAGAAGTTGTTTACCATTGAAAAAAACACATGATGCACTGTGATTTGTTTTCTGAAAAACACGACTTTACTTTATCATTAACCGAATAACCTATTAAGTGTCGTTGAAGATTTAACGATAAGTGACGTTTGTCCCTTTGGTTTAGCAGGCAATTTTATTTTTCTGTAATTTTAAACTAAATTTCCCTTCAGATATTGATGAGCAATGATCATTTAACTTTGGTATTCATAGCTGATACACTGACTTGAGAGTGCGGGAGTAAGTGTGATAGGGGGAATAAAAAGAGTAGAAAAAAGAGAATTTTACCTTTAGAAAGCAATGAATGTGCAAGTTGTCCAATGTCTAATCGGCTGTACTTGCAATGACTTACCCGTGCACCTGGATATACAGTAAATTATTGTGAAGAATTTAAAATGAGTCCAAATATTCTGTGCTATTTTTAGCCAAACAAACTTGCATGTACATGTAGGAGAAGAAGCCGCAGGAGATTGAATCCATATGGTTCATACCATTTTTTAAATTCAGAATTTAGAATTGGATTACAATGTTACATTATTTCTAAGTTACATGTATAATACCATGGGTATACTAACATATCAAACATTCATTAACATTCTATATGCCATTTAGAAGTTGTTTACGATTGAAAAAAAAAACATGATGCACGGTGATTTGTTTTCTGAAAAACACGACTTTACTTTATCATTAACCGAATAACCTGATAAGTGTAGTTGAAGATTTAACGATAAGTGACGTTTGTGCCTTTTCTTTATCAGCCAATTTTAGTTTTCTGTAATTCTAAACTAAATTTCCGTTCAGAATAAAAAGAGTAGAGGAAGAAATTTTTACCTTTAGAAAGCATTGAATGTGCCAGTTGTCCATGTCTAACCGGCTGTACTTGCAATGACTTACCTGTGCACCTGGATATAAAGTAAATTATTGTGAAGAATTTAAAATGAGTCCAAATATTCTGTGTGTTTTTTAGCCAAACAAACTTGCCTTTAGGAGAAGAAGCTGCATGGTGGTAGAGAAGAGATTGTAATTTTAAAAAAATAAGAACAAGAGAGTGATTTATAGACAATGATGGAGCTAAAGAAGCCACAGAGAGAGTAGAGATTCTGAGTAGCTGTTGTTCATGAATTCCATAATTTCTACTCCACATTTTGCTGTAGATATAAATGATTGTGACCCTGACCCCTGTACCAATGGTGGTACGTGCATCGATGAAGTCAACATGTTCACTTGCATATGTGTATCGGGCTACACAGGATTGATTTGTGACATAGGTGATTTACCTTAGTGATTCAACACAATTTTTTTTATCACAAATATACATATTCTTTAGCAGCAATGGGAACATATCATTAACATTCTACATGACATTTAGAAGTTGTTTACGATTGAAAAAAAACCATGATGCACGGCGATTTGTTTTCTGAAAAACACGACTTTACTTTATCATTAACCGAATAACCTATTAAGTGTAGTTGAAGATTTAACGATAAGTTAGGTTTGTCCCTTTTCTTTAGCAGCCAATTTTAATTTTCTGTAATTCTAAACTAAATTTCCGTTCAGAATAAAAGGAGTAGAGAAAGAAATTTTTACCTTTAGAAAGCATTGAATGTGCCAGTTGTCCATGTCTAATCGGCTGTACTTGCAATGACTTACCTGTGCACCTGGATATAAAGTAAATTATTGTGAAAAATTTAAAATGAGTCCAAATATTCTGTGCTATTTTTAGCCAAACAAACTTGCCTTTAGGAGAAGAAGCTGCATGGTGGTTGAGAAGAGATTGTTATTGAAAAAAAAATAAGAACAAGAGAGTGATTTAGAGACAATGATGGAGCTAAAGAAGCCACAGAGAGAGTAGAGATTCTGAGTAGCTGTTGTTCTTAAATTCCATATTTTCTACTCCACATTTTCCTGTAGATATGAACGACTGTGACTCTGACCCCTGTACCAATGGTGGTACGTGCATCGATGAAGTCAACATGTTCACTTGCATGTGTGTATCGGGCTACACAGGATTGATTTGTGACATAGGTAATTTACCTTAGTGATTTAACACAATTTTTATCACAAATATATATATTCTTTAGGAACAATGGGAACATATCATTAACATTCTATATGCCATTTAGAAGTTGTTTACTATTGAAAAAAAAACATGATGCACTGTGATTTGTTTTCTGAAAAACACGACTTTACTTTATCATTAACCGAATAACCTATTAAGTGTAGTTGAAGATTTAACAATAAGTGACGTTTGTGCCTTTTCTTTAGCAGCCAATTTTAGTTTTCTGTAATTCTAAACTAAATTTCCGTTCAGAATAAAAGGAGTAGAGAAAGAAATTTTTACCTTTAGAAAGCATTGAATGTGCCAGTTGTCCATGTCTAACCGGCTGTACTTGCAATGACTTACCTGTGCACCTGGATATAAAGTAAATTATTGTGAAGAATTTAAAATGAGTCCAAATATTCTGTGCTATTTTTAGCCAAACAAACTTGCATGTAGGAGAAGAAGCCGCAGGAGATTGAATCCATATGGTTCATACCATTTTTTTAAATCAGAATTTAGAATTGGATTACAATGTTATATTATTTCTAAGTTACATGTATAATACCTTGGGTATACTAACATATCAAACATTCATTAACATTCTATATGCCATTTAGAAGTTGTTTACGATTGAAAAAAAAACATGATGCACGGTGATTTGTTTTCTGAAAAACACGACTTTACTTTATCATTAACCGAATAACCTATTAAGTGTAGTTGAAGATTTAACGATAAGTTAGGTTTGTCCCTTTTCTTTAGCAGCCAATTTTAATTTTCTGTAATTCTAAACTAAATTTCCGTTCAGAATAAAAGGAGAAGAGAAAGAAATTTTTACCTTTAGAAAGCATTGAATGTGCCAGTTGTCCATGTCTAATCGGCTGTACTTGCAATGACTTACCTGTGCACCTGGATATAATATAGTATTAATGACTGCTTTGAGAGAAATAGTTGTTTTATTACGCTCAAGGGAAGGTTAGAATTGTGCTATTCCCCGAGGCTTGCCGAGGGGAATAGCCCAATTGTAACCTTCCCGAGAGCGTATGAAAACAACTATTTCTCGAATATTAAAGCAGTCATTAATACTTTTATATGCCGAAAAAAAATAGACTAAAAAATTAAAAATTAAAAATATTTATCAATTTGTCGAAGACGGGATTCGAACCCTTGCGTTCAACAAAAGGTGTACCGGAAACCAACGCTTAGACCACACGGCTATGGCCCGCCGTTAACATGCTCGGCAGTTTTCTCCAGTATATACATTAAAATGGATTGAAACCGGCTTCGCGTGTGATGAATGCTTCGCAAAAGCTCCATATACGGACTCTTCTTTTACTTTTGCAATGCATATTGGCACGAACTTAGATCAAGATCTATCGGCAGATGTTGTTTTTTTGTTTTTGGAAGTTTATTTTCGTCTTCATGTCAACAATGCAAGATAAAATTGTCGGTAAGATCGATCGAGATTCAATTGTATTGAAATTACCGACCAATCCTTCGCACACATACGGCATCCTCCATCGCTCAAACCATTTTTTAACATGTAAACCTATGGGGTAACCATGGAGGCTGACCAACTTTTTTTAATAACCATGGTTATTAAAAATATTGAAATGTTTTATGCATGGTTACCGAGAATTTTACAGGAACAGTTGAAGTTTATGAATGCAATTCGACCAATCAGATGGCTGGATTTCTTAAGTGAGGTATATAAAGTAAATTATTGTGAAGAATTTAAAATGAGTCCAAATATTCTGTGCTATTTTTAGCCAAACAAACTTGCCTTTAGGGGAAGAAGCTGCATGGTGGTTGAGAAGAGATTGTTATTGAAAAAAAAATAAGAACAAGAGAGTGATTTAGAGACCACAATGGAGCTAAATAAGCCAGAAAGAGAGTGGAGATTTTGAGTAGCTGTTGTTCTTTAATTCCATATTTTCTACTCCACATTTTCCTGTAGATATGAACGACTGTGACTCTGACCCCTGTACCAATGGTGGTACGTGCATCGATGAAGTCAACATGTTCACTTGCATGTGTGTATCGGGCTACACAGGATTGATTTGTGACATAGGTAATTTACCTTAGTGATTCAACACAATTTTTATCACAAATATACATATTCTTTAGCAGCAATGGGAACATATCACTCACATTCTATATGCCATTTAGAAGTTGTTTACGATTGAAGAAAAAAACATGATGCACGGTGATTTGTTTTCTGAAAAACACGACTTTACTTTATCATTAACCGAATAACCTATTAAGTGTAGTTGAAGATTTAACGATAAGTTAGGTTTGTCCCTTTTCTTTAGCAGCCAATTTTAATTTTCTGTAATTCTAAACTAAATTTCCGTTCAGAATAAAAGGAGAAGAGAAAGAAATTTTTACCTTTAGAAAGCATTGAATGTGCCAGTTGTCCATGTCTAATCGGCTGTACTTGCAATGACTTACCTGTGCACCTGGATATAAAGTAAATTATTGTGAAGAATTTAAAATGAGTCCAAATATTCTGTGCTATTTTTAGCCAAACAAACTTGCCTTTAGGAGAAGAAGCTGCATGGTGGTAGAGAAGAGATTGTAATTTAAAAAAGATAAGAACAAGAGAGTGATTTATAGACAATGATGGAGCTAAAGAAGCCACAGAGAGAGTAGAGATTCTGAGTAGCTGTTGTTCTTAAATTCCATATTTTCTACTCCACATTTTCCTGTAGATATGAACGACTGTGACTCTGACCCCTGTACCAATGGTGGTACGTGCATCGATGAAGTCAACATGTTCACTTGCATATGTGTATCGGGCTACACAGGATTGATTTGTGACATAGGTGATTTACCTTAGAGATTCAACACAATTTTTATCACAAATATTCATATTCTTTAGGAGCAGTGGGAACATATCACTCACATTCTGTATGACATTTAGAAGTTGTTTACCATTGAAAAAAACACATGATGCACTGTGATTTGTTTTCTGAAAAACACGACTTTACTTTATCATTAACCGAATAACCTATTAAGTGTCGTTGAAGATTTAACGATAAGTGACGTTTGTCCCTTTGGTTTAGCAGGCAATTTTATTTTTCTGTAATTTTAAACTAAATTTCCCTTCAGATATTGATGAGCAATGATCATTTAACTTTGGTATTCATAGCTGATACACTGACTTGAGAGTGCGGGAGTAAGTGTGATAGGGGGAATAAAAAGAGTAGAAAAAAGAGAATTTTACCTTTAGAAAGCAATGAATGTGCAAGTTGTCCAATGTCTAATCGGCTGTACTTGCAATGACTTACCCGTGCACCTGGATATACAGTAAATTATTGTGAAGAATTTAAAATGAGTCCAAATATTCTGTGCTATTTTTAGCCAAACAAACTTGCATGTAGGAGAAGAAGCCGTAGGAGATTGAATCCATATGGTTCATACCATTTTTTTAATTCAGAATTTAGAATTGGATTACAATGTTATATTATTTCTAAGTTACATGTATAATACCTTGGGTATACTAACATATCAAACATTCATTAACATTCTATATGACATTTAGAAGTTGTTTACGATTGAAAAAAAAAACATGATGCACGGTGATTTGTTTTCTGAAAAACATGACTTTACTTTATCTTTAACCGAATAACCTATTAAGTGTAGTTGAAGATTTAACGATAAGTGACGTTTGTGCCTTTTCTTTAGCAGCCAATTTTAATTTCCTGTAATTCTAAACTAAATTTCCGTTCAGAATAAAAAGAGTAGAGAAAGAAATTTTACCTTTAGAAAGCATTGAATGTGCCAGTTGTCCATGTCTAATCGGCTGTACTTGCAATGACTTACCTGTGCACCTGGATATAAAGTAAATTATTGTGAAGAATTTAAAATGAGTCCAAATATTCTGTGCTATTTTTAGCCAAACAAACTTGCCTTTAGGAGAAGAAGCTGCATGGTGGTAGAGAAGAGATTGTAATTTAAAAAAAAATAAGAACAAGAGAGTAATTTATAGACAATGATGGAGCTAAAGAAGCCACACAGAGAGTAGAGATTCTGAGTAGCTGTTGTTCTTAAATTACATATTTTCTACTCCACATTTTCCTGTAGATATGAACGACTGTGACTCTGACCCCTGTACCAATGGTGGTACGTGCATCGATGAAGTCAACATGTTCACTTGCATATGTGTATCGGGCTACACAGGATTGATTTGTGACATAGGTGATTTACCTTAGAGATTCAACACAATTTTTATCACAAATATTCATATTCTTTAGGAGCAGTGGGAACATATCACTCACATTCTGTATGACATTTAGAAGTTGTTTACCATTGAAAAAAACACATGATGCACTGTGATTTGTTTTCTGAAAAACACGACTTTACTTTATCATTAACCGAATAACCTATTAAGTGTAGTTGAAGATTTAACGATAAGTGACGTTTGTCCCTTTGGTTTAGCAGGCAATTTTATTTTTCTGTAATTTTAAACTAAATTTCCCTTCAGATATTGATGAGCAATGATCATTTAACTTTGGTATTCATAGCTGATACACTGACTTGAGAGTGCGGGAGTAAGTGTGATAGGGGGAATAAAAAGAGTAGAAAAAAGAGAATTTTACCTTTAGAAAGCAATGAATGTGCAAGTTGTCCAATGTCTAATCGGCTGTACTTGCAATGACTTACCCGTGCACCTGGATATACAGTAAATTATTGTGAAGAATTTAAAATGAGTCCAAATATTCTGTGCTATTTTTAGCCAAACAAACTTGCATGTAGGAGAAGAAGCCGTAGGAGATTGAATCCATATGGTTCATACCATTTTTTTAATTCAGAATTTAGAATTGGATTACAATGTTATATTATTTCTAAGTTACATGTATAATACCTTGGGTATACTAACATATCAAACATTCATTAACATTCTATATGACATTTAGAAGTTGTTTACGATTGAAAAAAAAAACATGATGCACGGTGATTTGTTTTCTGAAAAACACGACTTTACTTTATCTTTAACCGAATAACCTATTAAGTGTAGTTGAAGATTTAACGATAAGTGACGTTTGTGCCTTTTCTTTAGCAGCCAATTTTAATTTCCTGTAATTCTAAACTAAATTTCCGTTCAGAATAAAAAGAGTAGAGAAAGAAATTTTACCTTTAGAAAGCATTGAATGTGCCAGTTGTCCATGTCTAATCGGCTGTACTTGCAATGACTTACCTGTGCACCTGGATATAAAGTAAATTATTGTGAAGAATTTAAAATGAGTCCAAATATTCTGTGCTATTTTTAGCCAAACAAACTTGCCTTTAGGAGAAGAAGCTGCATGGTGGTAGAGAAGAGATTGTAATTTAAAAAAAAATAAGAACAAGAGAGTAATTTATAGACAATGATGGAGCTAAAGAAGCCACAGAGAGAGTAGAGATTCTGAGTAGCTGTTGTTCTTAAATTACATATTTTCTACTCCACATTTTCCTGTAGATATGAACGACTGTGACTCTGACCCCTGTACCAATGGTGGTACGTGCATCGATGAAGTCAACATGTTCACTTGCATATGTGTATCGGGCTACACAGGATTGATTTGTGACATAGGTAATTTACCTTAGTGATTCAACACAATTTTTATCACAAATATACATATTCTTTAGCAGCAATGGAAACATATCATTAACATTCTATATGCCATTTAGAAGTTGTTTACGATTGAAGAAAAAAACATGATGCACGGTGATTTGTTTTCTGAAAAACACGACTTTACTTTATCATTAACCGAATAACCTATTAAGTGTAGTTGAAGATTTAACAATAAGTGACGTTTGTCCCTTTGGTTTAGCAGGCAATTTTATTTTTCTGTAATTTTAAACTAAATTTCCCTTCAGATATTGATGAGCAATGATCATTTAACTTTGGTATTCATAGCTGATACACTGACTTGAGAGTGCGGGAGTAAGTTTGGTAGGGGGAATAAAAAGAGTAGAAAAAAGATAATTTTACCTTTAGAAAGCAATGAATGTGCAAGTTGTCCAATGTCTAATCGGCTGTACTTGCAATGACTTACCCGTGCACCTGGATATACAGTAAATTATTGTGAAGAATTTAAAACGAGTCCAAACATTCTGTGCTATTTTTAGCCAAACAAACTTGCATTTAGGAGAAGAAGCTGCAGGAGATTGGATCCATATGGTTCATACCATTTTTTTAATTCAGAATTTAGAATTGGATTACAATGTTATATTATTTCTAAGTTACATGTTTAATACCTTCGGTATATTAACTTTGGACAACTGGCCATGATGGTAGAGAAGAGATTGTAATTTTAAAAAAATAAGAACGAGAGAGTGATTTAGAGACCATAATGTAGCTAAATAAGCCAGAAAGAGAGTAGAGATTCTGAGTAGCTGTTGTTCTTAAATTCCATATTTTCTACTCCACATTTTGCTGTAGATATGAACGACTGTGACTCTGACCCCTGTACCAATGGTGGTTCGTGCATCGATGAAGTCAACATGTTCACTTGCATATGTGTATCGGGCTACACAGGATTGATTTGTGACATAGGTAATTTACCTTAGTGATTCAACACAATTTTTATCACAAATAAACATATCTACGAGGAGAAATTGCAACATATCATTATTGTAATTTGTACTTCCTCCTATCGGATAATTCATTCGAAATCAATCCTGTCTCTCACACACACTATCTCCATTGGACAATTTTAATGAACAAATGATTGTCTTGGCGTCTACGTCTTGAGGTCCACGTCCCCACATAGGGGTGCCTGGTGGGATACAGGGGTAGAACCTTTGTCGGATGTACAGGGGGTATAGCCCCGGAAGCTCGAGTGTTTTAGCAATATAGAAACTGGCCGTCATGATATCAATATATTGGAGGAGAGTTCTTTTTCCCATTTCTGTTTTTTTTACCTATCTCTACTTTTCTTCCCGTTTCTTTTTAATTGTTATTAATTGTTTTCTTATTATATTTCGTCCCTCGTTCTCTCATTTTTAAGGCCGTTAAAGGTGGGTTTGGTCCCATTTGGATCCACCCTGCATTATATATCATTTGCGATAAAGGCAAGGTGATTGTTCTACAACACAAATTCAAATGTTTTTATTGACCTGACCGTCTGTTCTCCTAGTCTCTGTTTGAATGGTGCTACATGTACTGATGGTGTCGACTCTGATATCTGTATTTGTTATGCCGGTTTTACTGGTCAATACTGCTCAGTCGGTAAATGTTACTAGTTGTGTTTTTCTTCAGACCACCAGATTAGCCTTGCTTGAAATTCCTTTTTTTTTTCTTTTTTAATTTCGTTTTTTCGTAAAAAGTTGCTTCAAAAGCTATAAGTTCTATGTCCTTGAAATCGTACATATAGGACAATCTATATCTTCTCTCCTGACAGTTGCCTTTTGATGACATAGTAGTAACAAGACGTCATCTCGGCACCACATTGTGTATTTTTATGGAAAACAAAATTCTTTTATAATGCAGTTAAGCTTCCTTAATGTACCCTCATGCTACGACAAAGACACATATTGTCGCAATTAAATGAACACAACTATCATGGAAAACTATATAAAAAATGTTCGTACTTTTCATTAAACTTATTTATTAATTAATCTTATTTTAAGACGGAGACAAATATCACTGTGACGAAATACACACAACTGATATTATGGTGGAATACATCTTAATCACATGTTTTTTCCATTAAACTCACAAACTTTTCCTTTGTAGATATTGACAACTGTGATTCTAATCCCTGTTTGAATGGTGGGACATGTACAGATGGTGTCAACTCTTATACGTGCATGTGTGCTGCTGGTTATACTGGAATGAACTGCCAAATGGGTAACACAATCGTTGATGATATTTCACTGGTTTAGTTTTTACTTCTCCTCAGACCACCTAATTAGCCTCATAAATATTCATTTTTTCTTGTTTTAATGTATCCAATTTTTTTTCTTCAAAGTTGACAACGTGCCAGTTACCTGACGTCATCTCAGCGCTATTTTGAATATTTTTAAAAGGAGACATTTTCCGTTTCAGTTAACAATGCAATTTCGCTCTTTACGTTTAATTTCATTTTCATTTATATTATGACAAAGACAAATATTATAACAATAGGCGCATTTATACTGTCAAATACCTGATTTTGAAAAATCGCGATGTTTCGCGCAACCGTTTACACTTGTGCGGAAACATCACCGACTGAAAAGCTCAGTGATGTTTTGGCGTGTTTAAGTTGGTTATGCGCATGCGCGGCACTCCGATGCAAAAACTTTCCTCTTTCTGTCTTTCCTTATGTTATTCTTTGTTTCTTCCTTCTATCACCTTCTCTTATGTTATTCTTTGTTTTGATCATTCTATCACTTCTTCTTTCTGTGTTTCATTATATTATCCTTTGTTTCTTCCATCTATCATCTTCTCTTATGTTATTTTTTTTTTATCATCTATCACTTTCTCTTTTTGTGTTTCCTTATTTTATTCTTTGTTTCTTCCTTCTATCACCTTTTCTTATGTTATTCTTTGTTTTTTATCATTCTATCACTTCTTCTTTCTGTGTTTCATTATATTATCCTTTGTTTCTTCCTTCTATCACCTTCTCTTATATGTTATTCTTTGTTTTTTATCATTCTATCACTTTCTCTTTCTGTGTTTCCTTATGTTAGTCTTTGTTTCTTCCTTCTATCACCTTCTCTTATGTTATTTTTGTGTTTCCTTATGTTATTCTTTGTTTCTTCCTTCTATTACTTTCTCTTTCTGTGTTTCCATATGTTATTCTTTGTTTGTTTTTTTACATTCTATCACTTCCTCTTTCTGTGTTTCCTTATGTTATTCTTTGTTTACATCGTTCTATCATTTTCTTCAAGAGCGACAGCTAGCTCCGCTCCTAAAGTCACGTGACCTAACATCGCGATGTTACAACTGCGAGCGTTCATACTTGCCAAACACGCCAAAACACGCCAAAACACGCCAAAAGATCACACTTCGTTTTGGAATGTTTCGGGCTTGGCATTTCTGCCGGTAAACCGTAGTTGCCCTTGGTAACATCGCGGCCAAACATGGCGTGTTTGGAAGATAGTGTAACTGTGATCCTAATCCCTGTTTGAATGGTGGGACATGTACAGATGGTGTCAACTCTTTTTCCTGTATGTGTGCTACTGGTTATACTGGAATGAATTGCCAAAAAGGTTACTCAATCGTGTGTAATACGTTAATAGTTTTGTTTTTAATTCTCTTCAGACCACCAAATTAGCCTCGCTAGAAATTCCTTTTTTTTTTTCTTGTTTCATTTCATCCCTTTTTGTCTTCAAAGTTGACAAAACTGCTAAATGTTCCTTCTTCTTACGATTGTGCATATATGTAGATCTATATCTGCTCTCATGAAAATTACCTTTTGATGACATAGTAGTGAAATGCTGTCATCTCGGCACCACTTTGTATATGTTTTTTTAATGTAAAAATATATTCTCTTATAATTCAGTTTACGTTCCTAAATTCAATCTCATTTTACGACAAAGATAAATATCATTTTAATGAAATTGGCACAATTATTATAATGGACTCAGAGGAATATATCTTAATCACTTGCCTGTCAACTCTTATAGAGGACCGAAGCTGTGACATCATAAAAATCTATTTTAAGAAATTCTCGGTTTTTTTTTTCTTCATTTTCCAAAAGAGCATCAAAAATTATGTCTGAATGTCGAAAACTAATTGAATATATTAATTATTGGCTGAAATATGACCATCTGAATAATTATGTCCTATGGAACTCAGTGTTGTAGTGCTCTAGTTCATAAAATTAGGAGAAATTCTAAAAATAGATTTTTGATGACATCACACTTCACCACTGTATACCTGCATGTATGCTTGTGTACTGGTTATACTGGAATGAACTGCTCAACATGTAACTCAATCGTTGATATGTTAATAGTTCTGTTTTAAATTCTCTTCAGACTACCAAATTATCCTCGCCAGAAATTCTCTTTTTCCTCTTTTTCAGCAATTATTTTATCCACACTAAAATGCTACATGTTCTAGCTTCCTGAAATTTCTAATTCCCTCCTTTATGTGTAAAAGTTGCCTCCAAATGCAGATATTTATCTTTCTGAAGTTTTGCACGCCTTTAGATCTATAACTGGTTTTCTGAATGTTGCTGTTCAATAACATAGTTGTTACCTGACGTAATCTCGGCACAATTTTGTATTTTTTGGAGGAAAAAATATTTGTTCATACAATTCACTTAAGCTCTTTTATTTCAATATCATATTAGATGGAGAGAGTGGAAGTATTCATTTTGAAGTAACCGAACAGGCAACGACGCCTAAAGTAACTACAACTGTGGAGACATAAACAAAATGCAGTGTTTGTCTTCTTGCAATCTAGTGGCCCAAAGAGACTCGTCCGGAAAGCATCATTTTATCGTATACAGACATGGCCATCGTTTAGTAGAATTTTAAGCTAGTATTTACACCCCCCCCCCCCCCCCCACTTTAAAGTAATTATTTTATGTTTTTGGTTTGTTACAGAGCTAGAGCCGATCCGAGTTCTATCTTCACCGACAAGTCTTACGATACACGCTCTTGAACGTGTGGAGATGATGTGTAGCTTTGAGAATGCGATTCGGTTTGAATGGCAGAAGAATAACGTAACGGTCCCTGGAACTGAAAACCAGCGTGCATACACCATCGCATCAATGACCCCTGCACATATCGGATACTACCGCTGTCAAGGTGAAGGCAGGAATCAGAATGGTGCTAGTACCGTGGTTTTTACTGATCAGGCTGCCATTTACATCAAAGGTAGATATCATTTCCCTCTTTCTTAGATTTGGCAAATTAAGAACATGATTATAACTCTGATTATAACTCTATTTGAATAATCTTTGTATAATTATGGAGCTTCTGGATATTAATGTTGTCGAGATTATTTGGACTAGTCATATAAAATACATCCAACTGCTCGATTTCGTTTGGAATCATTCATCAAGATTCGACAACAATGTTTCTCTTTTCCAATATGCCCATTAATCGATCATTAGTCATAATGACGAGGTTCTTATTTTGTTTTCTAATCAATGCGCCACAGACGTTACAATAGTCGTGAGGTGCACAGCGTAACATTATAGAAATCTTTATCATTGTTTTTTCAGAGTTATCTAACATAATAATCGAGAATGCCAAGTTTAATATCAACGTCACATCGTCAGGGGATCTGTCAGACATTGCATCTCAATATTACCAGGATGCTGCGGAAATGGTCACAAATTACGTGAGAATTATTCATTTAAGAAATTATTAGATTCTAAATTTGAAATTGGTTGATTCATCAGTATTGAGGAATACATTACATCATTATTCCACTTCAAAATTGGAAAGCAGGTAGTGCCGGGATACTTCCTCAAGTCTTGTTTTAATTCTGCCGATGGATTAGAAGGGATGGATCGTATGATTAAACGAGTGATGAACATTACCAAACTCAACACTGTTGGTCATAATGGTGGAATACATTTTTTTTACCCCGATTAATGGAAAGATTTCAACAATGATTTATTCCTAATAGATCTAGAAAATAGTATACATTCTCAGATTTTATTTAATAATAGTTTGTGAGTGTCTGTTTTGCGTGACTGCTTAAGCATGTGTATGCTACTATGCTAATCAACTAGGGGACCTACGTCCTTAAGTCATAACTGACAGTAATGAGGTTTAATACCTCATAAAAGGGCACTAATAAAGCATATCGACACGGTTTTGATCCTGGGGGCTCACAGTAATGAGGCCATTGCTTAGCCACTGAATCATGACTGTACGCAGCAGGGGCTATTATTCAATAAAATCTGAGAATGCATACTATTATCTAGACCTATTAGGAATAAATCATCAAAATCATCCCATAAATTGGGGTAAAAAAAATTATTTCACCATTATGACCAACAGTGTAGGACTCATTCTGTGGCCATCCCTTTGTACCGTAACAATTCGTTATGTAAATTCATTTCACACTACTGCAAAAGAAGCATATCACTAACTAGGAACGATAACCTCATTATTAAAATAATATTAATAATAATAATAATGGGTTATTTTATAGCGCTCATGTCAGTCAGATTTGACCCTCCTGGCCCTCCCGATTATTACCCTGGCTTTAGCACGGCTGCCATACGGCGCTCTAGCATTTTAAGGAATAAATTTATACCAGGTACCCATTTACTTAACCTGGGTGGAGTGTGGCAAATTAGATCAATGTCTTGCCAAAGGACATAAGTGTGGCGGCGGGACTCGAAGCGTGGACCTTGTGATCGACAGTCCGGCGACGTATCCACTCAACCACAACACCTTATACTCAGTATAACCCTAATTAGATAATTAAATTTGCAGCAAGTCGTAAGAATTATTATATTTGGACAGCGTTATACGAGGACTGCTTTATGCACCATTCCTCCCGTTGCTAATGTAACGGTTTAACTTATTATTCGCCTCATTAAAACATTTTACATTCAGTCCTCTCCCTTCTCTTCATCCGCCTTTCCTGTTCTTTTCCTGATTTTTTTTCACTTCAATTTTGACCTTTTCCCTTCTCTTCTCAATGACTTCTACCTTTACTTTTTCTTCTTTCTTTTCCTTCGGACGGAAAGTTAGTCAATCGGAATATGTTAATCAAGTTACTTGTGATACCCATTTGCCATGCCAAATCGATTATTATTATTTTGTTCCTTGTGATATGCTGGTGTGGTATTGGTATATGTCGTTGTATGCGTTTGCTTTTTGTGTGTCGAGAGTTTGTATATTTCAGCCTAGGCTGCGAGACAGCTTTTGAATGAATATGCCATTAAATACAATAGGTGAATTCAAATTATAGTTCCTCCTTCCATGCCTTTTGAAGCTTATCCTTTACTTGAATTGCTCATGATAAATCCTAGGTTCAAACGGGCATGGTGGAGACGGGTAATTTTGAGGGAAATTCGTTGTACGTGGTACCCTCCAACCTTCGCGAAGGAAGCATCATTGCTGACCTGAATATGTACGTCGAAGACAACGAGACGTCTTCTTTCCAGATTCAACAAAGTGTCGAAGAATCCTTCCTCGACTTGTCGTCCCGGCCAGACGGAATACTTGACGCATCGATCGTCAAGGTTATCAGCACCGGTGAGTTTCAAAAGCATCTGTTCATTTGCCGTTATTGTAGTACTCTGGGCAAAATAGGTTTTGTCGATTACCAGACATTTTACTTCTGCATTTATTTCGTCAAAAGTATAGGGTTACGGTTAAGGCTGAAATTTGGGCCTTTAGGTTAGGTTTTTGGATGAGGGTTAAGTGAAGCGCCGGGTCCAGAGAACTTGAATATTGTATGGAATATACCGCTTAGCAATGGCCAGACGAGCATGTGTCGTAAACATAATCTTACCAGGAGTTCGTTCTTCTCATTTTTCCACAGCAAGAATATTACACTATAACTAGTCGCAATATTCAATGTAACTGTTAGGCCCTTTGTCAAAGATTATAAAACTTCCTGTCCGATGCCTTTTTTCAAATAATTTGTAGATCATATGCAATATGTGTCAAACTACACAGTGCCCTAAACCTGTATGTCAATGTTAACTTCTTTTACTTTTGTAAGTAGCGCGTAGCAACGTAAACTCCGACGATTCGACCAATGACCAAGACAGTCGTCAACAGTGGTATGCGTTAGCTAAGGTGTAGAAACAGTGGGTGTCTGATGCCCACTTAACAGACATCAAAGCTCTGTAGCAGCTGTAAAGCGACCATTCTCGTACAGTAATCTGATGATCAAGGCGTAATAGGCCTTACAACTCGCATGATTATCATTTAATGGAAAATGAACTTCACTCTTTGAAAGTCATTCAACTAGCCTACATTTCACATGCATCCTCTGTTTCCACTGCAGCAATTTGTCCCAGTTTTACATGGGTGTCAAGATTCGGTGAGGCTCTCTTCGCGAAGGGAGAGTTGAATTCCCGGTATAATTCAACAGGACGAGATTGTCCCTTCAATACAACTAATGGTAATGATGCAAATAATTGATGGTGATGTTGATGTTAATAAAAGTAAATATACGTTATATAGCGCAAATTCTACACACGAATACCTTGTTTCAAACAAAGCACTCAGGAAGTACAGTAAGTTCAATCATTTCGAAGAGCAGAATTTAAAACAAAAATAGTACTAGGTATTTAGTCATATGCTTTAAAATAAGGTGTTTTGATAGCAGAAAATCTGAAAAGACTTTGTTGTTATGTGAAAATTTCATTAACCTTCTTTGCAGTATTGCTAATATGGACACGTTGGTATTTTTTCTTCAATTTCGTCATCATGTTCTTGTTATTCCTTAGCTGCATGCAGTATGTGATTAGTAATTGGGTATGCTATACGAGTTTGTTTTCTATTTTCTTTTTCGTCCCGCGATGGTAGCGCACCAGCCTGTTGCTACAGCCTTGTGTGTTGGAGACATGATTAGCAGAGCCAAATGGGTACCTGAAAATAACTGTGGCGATTTCAGGAATGTAACAGAGCTGTTAAAAGATATTGATAATGTAAGACCTACTGTTTTATGCCGTACACCACTCTTTAAACTGGATGTTCTGTGAAAAGCTATTGTACTTTCAATTCTCATGAAATATCCTTGGTAATTCGTATCAGTATTTTCTTCCACAAAACTAAATTTTATTTAGACAGTCCTTCTTGTTATTCTTTTTAAAGAACGATGGCTTAATATTTATACAAGTTTTCGTGCAAAGTTTTTGTTGGACCGTCAATACCAAATGATAGCTTCTCACCCTCTTTATTGTTGATCTCTTTGAAACTAGTTTGAGTCATAGCCCATCCGAAAATATTAACATTGAGTAGGCTTAAAATTAGTTTTCATCTTGTGGTACGTATTTCTTGATTCCTTTATAATTCAGTATCATAAATAGTTTCAAGTACATACTGTACTTACATGCGTTTGTCATACATACTGCAGGTTGAGATCACCGAGGATACGGTTGAGGAAATTACAGATCAAGTTGCGATCATTACCACAAACACTGAAGAAATCACCGCCTCGGATGTCACCCTAGTTTCAAACATTGCCACCGACGTAGCAGCTCAGAACAACAGTGGGAGAGAGGTGAGCACTGCCTCATCCTATGGTCGGTATTTTCTTCAAAGTAATCAGATTTGTCGATTTCCCTGGCGTATTTTCATGTCTTATTGATTTACAGATGTCATGGATGGCCGCAAATTAGCCAAAAGTTTGTTGAATTAGGATCTTAAAAATCATCAAGTCTTATTAGTCTCAATATGATGTAATGGAATTGAGTTTGGAGCTAAGAATCACGTTTTTAAAGGTTATACTTGTAGGAAGGACAACCCCTTTGGAATAATGACGTAGCGAAGAGGATTTGGACGATGCCATCTTGCCATCAATGTTTCATATATATATATATATATATATATATATATATATATATATATAAATACTCTAAGTACATCAATTAAGATCAAGTTTTAAACTTTCATGCTTGGATGGGCACATTAAGTTTAATGTTAGAAGATCTGATTATTAAGAAAATTGCAAAATAGAGCAAGTTTCCATCTAAATTTTAGAGAACATGTGCACCTGTAAAACATTATTGGACTGAGCACTGGTTGTCAACTGTAGTCTGAGGACTGCATGATTTCGACAAGCACGTTCAATATGTTTCTCCTCTCCACCCAAGTTCGTGAACTCATTTATTGTTAAATGGCTATGCTCACTTATGCATGTTTGGTAGGATTCCCAATTGCATATCATTTTAAAAGATAATGTATATATATTTATGTTGATAGATTAAAAAATAAATTTGTATTGAATATTGATTTGAACATATGAACTGTAAATAGAGCACTCTTCTTTTCTTTCCTTGTTTGTTACATTTTATTTTTGTTTATAAAGTTTACTGCTGTGGTGACGAGCATTGTCAGCAACATTGCCTCGGTTGACATGACCGAACTCCAGGAGGCAGAACAAAACACCAATGCGATCTCAAACATTCTCATGGCCTACGAGACGCAGCTCAACAACGTCGAGGTTGCAGAGGGAGAACCATTCGATGTAGCGGAGCAAAACATTGCAGTTCAGGTATTACATTTTTTATCACGAAATCCTGTGGTGTCCAAGGCTTATTACAGGATTCATCTGTTTACTGTAGGTAAAGGGTTTTAATCAAATGTCTTTCTGTAAAGGGATTCTGTACCTTTACTTCATTGCAGCTTGAACGCAATTGTTTGGAAGAATGAGCAACACGAAGGGAACGAACTCCAAATTGACAAACTAGTCACAGAATTCTGATTTCAATGTAAATTTTAACGAAATCATAATGTGGAAATCACTATACCCAGCATACTGCAGAGCACTACTGCAAAATGATTTCTCCTTTTATCAGAACAGAAGGAAGCTATGTTTCAAAAGTACATATTGGAACAAGGATTCCTGAGACAGTATAAAAACCTTAAAGGAATTTAACCTCGACATGATTTTAAAAAAGTATTTAGTTCGTAAATGGAGTTTGCATACTGTCTTATTAACATCATAAAAACACACCAAGTGTAGAAACAAGTCGTACAACTCTTTTTTTTTAAGGTTCGGAGTGTACCCTCAGAAGAGCTAAATCAGGGGCTGGTCCTTTCCCTCTCTGGGGATAGTTCTACAGACCTCTCTGGTTCCAACATTACCGTCAGAGCAGGAGGGGATACCCCTTCGGAAGGAACCAGTGTCGGTCTTATAGCTGAGGTAATAGTCATCAAATAACCTCTACATTGGTCCTTTATGTTTTCCTTAAGCTGTTCATTATGGCTTTCAACTGTATTTTGATTTTAAAACATTCAAACCTATCTTAGTGTATACTTCTCTATAGTGGCCAATTTCTCTGCTTCCGTTGGATGGCATCAAAATAGTGGTTTGGCTTTTCTGAGTTTTTTTGCAGAATTTGATGCATCGACATTAACTAATTAAATTGTATATAATGTTGTATCCTCCAAAAGATTGTTAAAATTTATCTTTCAATAAGTCCCTCAAAAATTTTTCTCATTTGAGTTGGGAGGGACCGGCTTATTAAATATCTGAACCGCGTACAACGTTTTTCTGGATGTAATTTGTATGGGAGACGGGACTTTTAAGAGATTCATAACACATTTACCAGCAGATGTTTTCTGCCCCATCCCACTATTATTTCCTCATTACTGTTTATCTCCAATGATCATCTTTGCTAAAAGATAAATGTACATGTATAAAGTGAGAATAGGACTGAAACAGATTTGTTTACTTTATCCATATTAAATGTATGAAAACAGATAAGCTTTCCTCCTGAAATCGCTGCCATCGCTTCAGGAGCTTCAACGGGCAATGTTAACAACACGAATATCAACATCATCATGAGTGTCTTCTCCACACCGGCACTGTTTTTCTCACCCTCGCTTCTTAACTTCAGCAATGAGAACCCAGGTGTCAATCGGACCGCCAACACACCTGTCATTCTATTAAGTGTCGGTGGGGTAATTCTTGCAGACCTAAACCAAACGATTAACCTGACTTTTACTGCTTTGGTGGTGAGAACTCTTTATTATTTGACAAAAGAAACGTGTTTATTAGCCGTAAATTAGATTTAACTACCATTTAGGGTCAACATATCTATTCAGTTGTGCTCGAAGCAATATCAATTCTGCACCGAAGAATAAGAATATAGAGACCGGAATTAGCGTATGCCCTAAGAAGACATTCCTGACTTTAACCACGGACCCATCCCTAATACTAAACCAAACACTAGTCATATGTAGTGTTTAAAATATTAAAAAGTTTCCATGAACTTGCCCAAGAATCTGTAATATGATGTTAAATTCAAAATAAAACACAGTACATGTAAAATTTACACATCAGCTTTTTCTTTAAAAGCCGTAGGCAACTCCTAAAAATAAATAAATATGGGTTTTTTCCGACAGCCTGATTACGAGAATCAGACGTGTGTTTTCTGGGACGAGGATGATTCAGAGTGGTCCTCTGATGGATGTCATCTTGTTCTAGAAGACTTGGAGACCACGGAGATCTACACGTGTGCATGCGATCACCTTACCAACTTTGCGATTTTAATGGTAATGCACACCTAAACTTTAAAAATTAAGACCCAATAACAATTTTTTTATCTGTAATTAGGAAAAATGACATTTCCATATGTTTTGTACACAAACCACGAAAATGAGCGATTTTCGGGCTGACATGCAAAGACAAAACGTCACGTGACCTTGTAACTGTACCCACGATTTACAAAGAATCGTTTTAAAAGATGCGCAAGACTCTAATAAAAAAAAGTCAGCGAGCAGCAGGGCGCCATCCGTATGCGTTCCCGAACAATTAGAAAAATCGCGGAGGAGGGCCCTTATTAGGGTTAATGTGTAAATGCTTTGACAGTCTCTTCTTAATCAGTTACAATTTGATATATATTGTGTTCCATATCAATGAAGTCAGGATCTATAATATCAACTATAATAAATATAATAGTAATAATGATAATAATGAAAAAAGTAATGATAATAATAATAATAATAATGATAATGATGATAATTATAATTAATACTGTTCTCCCTGAGGGCCCTGTATTTCTATCATTTTCAGCTGTTCTTTCGCTATGTTCTCTTTTTGACCCTGTCTTGCGCCAACGACATCCGTTTCAAATTTTCTCTTTTTTTTGTTTTCCTCCACTTTGACTATTTCCGTGCAGGATATCCATGATGTAACTACCGAGTATACCTACAATATCCTGAGCTACATAGGGTGTGCAATCTCTACTGTATGTCTACTGATCGCACTTGTGACATATCTCTGGAATAAGTAAGTCTCGCTTCACTTCAAGACTTCTTTGAGAAAATTGGTCTTTTGGGGTTCTTATTTTGTTCCGGATTAGGCAAACACATTTTTTTTTTTTTGGGGGGGGGGTGTTTGTTTGTGGTTGGTCCATAAACGAACGTATCGTCACTAGTTGTCACAGGTAAGATATTTTAAGAAACTGATGACATTTCTTTCCTTAATTTACGCTAAAAGTGGTCTCAATATGTCAAATGTTTGCACCCTGATCCAAAAAGGGGCTTTAAAACATAACCATCATGACCGTTTCCCTTTGACTTGTTTATTATAAGAACTAACATATCTATTTTGCGAAAGTTGGTAGGCTACTCTGTGACTCATATTGTAGTTACTCATTTAGCTACTGTCGGAGGCATGCACCTAGAGATTGCATAATTTACTTGTTCAATATGCGTTTGCTTTTTCAACCTTCTCCTCAACAGGAAGCTACGAAGTCGTCAGACAAACAAGATTTTCATCTGCCTGTGCGCCACCATGCTGGGCCTGTACACCTCGTTCCTCGCCCTGCTTGTCTTGGACACTACGCGAGGAGATACGGAGGTGAACGCGGTAGCGTGCGGGTTTCTGGCCGGTGTCATCCAATTCTTCGTACTTTCCTCCATTGCGTGGATGGGAGTGGAAGGCATCAATACCTACCTGGTCATCGTAAAGATCTTCAATACATACATACCAAACTTTATGGTCAAGGCCGGTCTTGCAGCCTGGGGTACGTACATATGGCAATTTCGACACTATAAATACTAGACCAGTGTAAAGAAAGATCTTAATTCCCTGCCGCCCCCCCCCCACCCCCAAAAAGAATGATCTACTATCACTCGCCCATCATGGAAAACAGATATTCTACCAAATGTAAGAATTTTCAAGAATCTCCCAGAGAAGTTTGGGCTACGTGGTACGATCAAAGCTGATTTCCTGCCCTTCAGTTCGTAAAAAAACGATTAAAAAACTGTTTACACATCGAACTCAATGTCTAAGTGGATCACCCTTCTGTTTCATAACAACTTACCCTGAGTTTTTGTCTTTTCTCTACTACTGTAGGAATCCCTGCGATCATTGTTATCCTGACTGGCGGTATTGCAAATACAAACTATGCCAGGGAAGATGTGTAAGTAATAATATTTACAAAGGGCAAGATCGCAAAAACTTTTAAGAAATCAACTTATAGTCAGGTGGTTTAGTGAAATTACCGTTACTTGCTGGATAAAAGCACCATGTTTGGTACAGGGCTTCCTTATATAGGACCTACTAAACGATATTAGGCTAGGAGCCTATAAGACGGAGAATGACTACAGCATTAGATTGTTTGGTATGCGTGCAGGCTTTATGTTATTAGTGTTGTTCATTTACCATCAATTTACCAACTAGATAATGTAATTGTAAATGTACCTGCCTCCCAATATAGCTGCTTCCTTCGCCTCTGGTCTCAAGTCGGCGGCCTTCTGATACCTGTAGCCGTCGTCCTGATCACCAACATGGTCATCTTTATTATGGTCATCCGACAGCTATCAAAATCGGCTCAGATAGCCGGAAAAGCAAAGAAGGACAAGGATGGGAAGCGCGAAGAGATGATTGAACGCGTCAAGAATGCAGTGACAATCCTGGTATTGATGGGGCTGACTTGGACGACTGGATATCTCCTACTAATCGAAGCCTTTACTCTGGTAAACCCGTCCTCATTGACACTGACATACATACACACATCTTTAATCTTTTAAAAAAAAATATTTTCCCAATCCCTATTAATCAAATTGATTTCATTTACCATACCTTCCAAAAACTTTTTATCTGAACAAAGACTTATATTAAATACACACACACACACACATATATATAATTCACTTCTTCACTATGACCGGTTTCAATTTATAACTCTCTGACAAAATAAGATGAAACTGGTCATAGTGAACCCTAACCCAAGCCAAGGGTTTTTATTTCCATTGTAATTACATACATATATATATACATATATATATATATATATATATATATATATATGTGTGTGTGTGTGTGTGTGTGTGTGTGTGTGTGTGTGTATGAGTATATACAGCCATATGGAAAAAATCAATAGACTAAGAAAGGTTACCAATACTTTTTGTTACAAGAATGAATTGAAAGAATTCGATAATAGATGGACACTATCGCTTATTTGCTTCGGTGAGTTATTCTACATTTGTGTGTCATTTACTCGCGGAATATGATACCCCACCCCCCCCCCCCCCCCCCGTCCCCCCTTCCGGATAAAAGTTTTGAGTCGGTTGAACAGACTGCAAATATATTTTAACAATAAACATTACAACATGAAAGAAGAAAAAATTGGATGCAAACATGAATTACAGATTATTTCTATGTCCAATGTTAAGAACGCAGGGGTGGATCATCTTCTTCTTCTTCTCATCATCTCCTTCTGATTATTTGTTTCTGCTTCCTTCGTTACTTCCGATAAACAAGGACTTTGTAAAAGAAAAGGCACAAACTGTAAAGGCTTTAAAGACAAAAGAAATTCGATTTGATCCATTGTCTCTTGTCCAGGTTGTCCAGGCCTTATTCATCCTGTTCAACTCCTTCCAAGGTCTCTTCATCTTCATCCTGTACTGTGTGCGGAAGCCTCTAGTCCGTCAGCAATGGGGTTTGACCTGCTTCTGGTGCGATGGAGAAGGTACGGGGAGTGATGGAAGACGGGTCTCATCCGCATCTGATAGCCTGACTACCATCTCTAAGTTCTTCAGCAGCAGACGTGTGAAGAAGTACAACGTTCGCGAGGAGAGTCTAACCGGAGTTTCAAATGGCGCAGACTCTTCAGTGTCAGCGTCAGTCTCCAATCCAACATATCATGACCCCGACTTTGGCACTTATACCGAACCCTCTGACGAAAGCAAAATCTAATCTCAGTGGATGAATACAAATCCCTGCTAAGCTCCTTTATCTCTAACGAGATTCCTTCAACTCTACTTTTGGTTCGTAATATAGGCTCCCACTCCGGTCTCTTTGTAGGTCTTCTTTTTTAAATACTGTCGGCAATTAAAGCACTATTATCCCTGACGAAATTCCTTATATTAACTTTTATTATTATGCCACATAAGTGGATGAAAGCTTGCCTACTAAATTTCAAGGTTGGTAGAAGCTTAAACGACATGTTATAATTATCCAAACCAATGAAAGTTTTCTGTATCACTTCTAGTTTTAGTTTGTAAAAGAGTTCCCATAGGTTTGTGGGTTTGTCTTCTTTTTTAAATGCTGTCGGCAATTAAAGCACTATTATCCCTAACGAAATTCCAAACCTTCTACTTTTAGTTAGTAATGTAGGCCCTTCAGGCTTCTCTAACTGTCTTTTTCTATTAGTGTTATAGTTGTGGGCAATTAAAGCACTCTAGCCCTAAGCCTAAGGAAATACCTTAGATTATACTTTAATTTGTAATATACAGTCGCTTAGTGTATCCTCTTTTGATTTTGATGTCAGCAAAGGCAGTACTCATTCAAGACATCTAATATAAACTAATGTTTGTTAATGTATAGACATCAGGTAAATTTAAACGTAATGGAGCAAGTTTAGGAGGAAAAAAAGCTACAGATGTGATAACTTTATAGCACACTGATAAATATTTGAGACTTGTTAGTCTATATTGACTATTGCTTATCTAGTACTATTGTATATCTTTAAAATCTGCCTTTAAACTGGTTCACAAAAACACACGTTCGTTCATTTGTTTACGCTGTACATACTGAAAGAAATGAATGAGTTAATATAATGTATGATGAATGCTTCGTCAACATTGGCATTTAACTATGAATTTGAGCAGAATTAATTTGTGTTTTTATGTATTACGGAATGCTGGTCATTCAATGCTTTTATTGTAGTAACTTGTATAGTACATTTTAAAAGTAAACTTGCATGCAGCTGACTTAGAATGGTCGATATTACATGCCCTTTTGCCTTATGGAACAACATTGAGATTAGTCGCATGATATACCATAAGAAGCGTGTTAGGTTCCGATTAAAGCTGAATGAGATATAATTTGCGACCTTTCTCATCTTTTTTAAGTCTGTTGGAAGAATATGATGTTTGAAATTTGTCCCTCTCTAAAACGTTTAGACCAAAAATGTCATGACACATGTGTGTGTAGTCCCTTTTTTGTTTGGAAGACGTATCAGTTATTCGAGGGTTATTCTCTTCCTAATCTGTAGGTTCGATTAATGTATGCAATGATGTAATACATAGATGAGAAGAAATTTGTATGATCCACTTTTATTTTTTTCAAGCTTGCTATAGATGTATAATAATCAAATCTATGCCATACACATTGGTGACATTCTTCTGGGTTGTTTTGATATTTTTTTCGTTATTATATGGATTAATGATCTCTATATTAGCTTAATTTTTCAATCACTGCACCCTCTCAATCATTTCAATACTCTATGAACAAGGTATATCGCATTGTAATTTTAGTTTTATTAAATTTGCACTGTTAATAAATGTATTAAAATCAATCATGTACATTATGTCCAACCATCTACAGACAGGCAGGGGATTATAATAGGCTCCTTAATATTAGGTAGGTGTCATGGTCTAGTGGATACGTCATTGCACTCTGGATCATATAGCTCGAGGTTCGCGTCCCGCCACGGCACTAATATCCTTTGGCAAGACATTAATCTACCTTCGCCACTCTCCACCCAGGTGAAGTAAATGGTTACCCGGTAGGATGAAATTATCTAAATGTTTTAACGCCTTATTATGGTGGCTCAGCTACTGCCGGATAATTATGATACTTTGTTTTAAGTGCAGTATATAATCATATAGTAGCTGCGCTACAGAGATAGACCTATTCATAAGTACACAGAATGTCTTGCTGGATAATAATATAACACTTTGTATTAAGCGCAGTAGATTATATTCATATAGTAGCTGCGCTGTATAATTGGACTTTTTCATAAGTAATAATAATAATATCGAATATTCAGGAGCCCTAAAAACAATAAGTACTATAGTGCTTACAAATACAAATATATGAAAAGAGGACAAAAATGTACAGCACAGGAAATATATCAAGTAGATCATTGGGGGAAGGGTGATTTTGAGGGATGTTTTTTAAGTACACAGAATGTCTTGCTGACAAAGATATAAGGAAACGTATTTTGGTCTCCAATAGCAGCTACTGCAGCGCAAATTTTGTATTGTCAGTAAATAAAATCTTTTACCTATTATAACATATGCAGACTTGTATTCACGTATTCAATGTATGATAATGATATTATATAAATGGACTTATTCATAAGTACACAGAATGTCTCGCTAACAACAAAATGAGGAAATGTATTTTGGTCACAAATGGGAGCTACTGCAGCAGAAATTTTGTATTGTCATTAAATAAAGTCTTTTACCTATTATAACATAAGCAGACTTGTATTCACGTATTCAATGTATGATAATGATATTATATAAATGGACTTATTCATAAGTACACAGAATGTCTCGCTGACAACAAAATGAGGAAATGTATTTTGGTCACAAATGGGAGCTACTGCAGCAGAAATTTTGTATTGTCAGTAAATAAAGTCTTTTACCTATTATAACATATGCAGACTTGTATTCACGTATTCAATGTATGATAATGATATTATATAAATGGACTTATTCATAAGTACACAGAATGTCTCGCTGACAACAAAATGAGGAAATGTATTTTGGTCACATATGGGAGCTGCTGCAGCAGAAATTTTGTATTGTCAGTAAATAAAGTCTTTTACCTATTATAACATATGCAGACTTGTATTCACGTATTCAATGTATGATAATGATATTATATAAATGGACTTATTCATAAGTACACAGAATGTCTCGCTGACAACAAAATGAGGAAATGTATTTTGGTCACATATGGGAGCTACTGCAGCAGAAATTTTGTATTGTCATTAAATAAAGTCTTTTACCTATTATAACATATGCAGACTTGTATTCACGTATTCAATGTATGATAATGATATTATATAAATGGACTTATTCATAAGTACACAGAATGTCTCGCTGACAACAAAATGAGGAAATGTATTTTGGTCACAAATGGGAGCTACTGCAGCAGAAATTTTGTATTGTCATTAGGTAAAGTCGTTTACCTATTATAACGTATGCAGACTTGTAGTCACGTATTCGATGTATGAGAACGATACTACAGTATATTTCTTCCATGTGCTTTTATCACGATTATTCATGTTATACTCCGGTTATGAACTCCTTAACCACCACTTGTAAAGACAAGCCATCTATCCGCAACTATGTTGTATGTAGTTTCTTCGAATTCAAAACAGATGAAGTAAATATTTTGTCACATCATTTTGGTGGAGTCTTGATGAGTGGGTTGAGACTATTCCATGAAAGTGTCGTAGATTTCAAAAAAAAATCTTTCTCTTTAGATAGCTGTCTGTCCGAATTGCTCATCTACTTTATAAAAGTGAAAGGTGTTTCAAAAGCACAGTACTTATCATTCCTGGTTTCCTTTGTCTAACGTTCTTTTCGTTTACGCATATAATTCCAAACCTTAATAAACTGAAGTTGCTGGTTTTAAACCTTGGCTTTAAATGTGTTCATTGCATTTTTGTCTGACTTTCCAATTATTTATATTGGTTTATGTTATCACATTAAGTCTTCATTTCATTCCATCCATTGGGTGTATTGAGAAGAAAAAAAAGTCCAAATGTTTACATTTTTATTAATTTTACTCCATATATCACATTGATGTGTTTCTTTTCAAGTTGAAATTGAATAATTTCATTCATCTAATTTAAAAAGAATAAATTAAGTGATATTCAAATAATAAATCACAGGATTGTACTACCAGATTATTGGGGGACACTGGCATGCATAAGGCTAGTCTTATTGTTGGAATAAGGTTTTATCAACCAGGAGCCTCTTCTAAAATAGGCACCCATTTCAAGTTCAAGTTCAAGTTCACTTTCTACGATAATTTCATTCAAAATATACAAACGTTAACAAACATATAAAAGTTACGAAATAATATCAATATATTATAACTTGAGAACAACATAAACGGAGAAGACGAGAAAAACAAGGGGGGTCTAAATATGTACTGAAAGTATTTGGAGACATGACAGGAAGGTTGGGACTTATGTAAAAGTCTGTCTCCATTGATTTTATCACAATAACTATGTATATTATTCAAATCATTAATAAAAAAAAATTAATAGGTAGGCGGGAAAGAGGAAATAATTTAAGTCGGGTCGATTTCCCTCATCTATAGCACATGCATGCACTAAGAAAGAAAGAAAGAAAGAAAGAAGAAGTGGAAGAAGAAAGAAAGAATGAATTCATTTTTTTTTTAGATATAAGATGAAAAGGTGAAGATAATCTCGTGAAGAGAGGTCAATGATTACAAAGAGGCCAGGGGTTATTAGAAATGCAAACTCGAAGAAATCCGGGGGCTTCCGATAATCCCCGCTACAACGATCGACAAGGCGGTTATTCTTTCCAATATATTTTGCTTTCTGAAGGATACCATGAGTTACCATGCTGTTACGTACAAGTTAATACGTGACGGAGCTGAGCACCGAACCGAACTTGTCATCCAAAGGTGAACTGTCTTTCTTATTTGTCAATTCTCTGTTCAATTCATGTGATATCCCTCCCGGTATCACAGACACAGATTTGTAGACTCTGATGTCTTTTGTTTTATTGGATATATATGGTCTAGATTATAGATCTAGACTCGATGTCAAGGAGGGGGTGGCGCTAGTTCAGAAGTCGGCGCTTGTTCAGAAGCCTATCCAAAATTTGACCCGTAACTTCGGCGTGGAGATACCCTACTAAAACATACCCAAAATGAAAAAAATATTCATTAAATGTCCAAATAAAGGTCTTCATTTAAAATTTGATATGTTTATTACCTGTTTCGTGTCAAGTTTCTTATATTTTTCGGAGTATTTTTCCTATAAACGGAGACTTGGGGCTCGTTCCTAGAAACCAACGACAAGACAGTCATAACTTTATCCGCCAACTACGGAGATGTCTCTGATCTTCCTAAACCGTTTCACGAAGAGCTTACTAGCTAGTATCTCGTGAGATCGATACTATCGGCGAGAAGAGGAGCCAAAACTTAGCCTTAGTCGCAATACCACCGGATTATTACAAAATTAATATTAGGGAAAATGCAATTATTTAAATGAATTAGTAATAAAAAAGATTGAAAATGATACCAAGAAATAAGAGATGCAATATACTTCCAAATGTATGTAGATTGTACAATAGAAGTACTTTTAACATATAATTGTGAGTATTTCATTATATGACCGGTGAATCAGTTTGGTTCTTGAGATGGGTACCCCCCGGATATTTTAGTTTGATAGTTTATAAAAATACACCAATATATTATTTTTAGAAAAATACGATGTAATGAACTTTATGTCCAATGTTTTAGGTATCAGTTGAATAATCAAATGACAAAACTTCAACATTCCAAAGGTTAAAACACATGTTTTAAACTGTGCATTTTACACATTTGAAGAAAAAAAAGCAATATGGGTCTGAAAACTAAAGAATACACTTCAAACTATGGCTTGCATGCTGTGGCAAAATAGCTATCCTTTCGACGATTTTACAATGTGAAAAGAAACGCGTATTATCAGTTTATTTAAGTGGAAAAAACCTAAAATATAAACATGGCATATTTTCAACAGATTTTCTAATGTAAAAAATGATAACTTCCTGTTTAAGTGAATGTGTTGATAAATCATAGTTGTAGGATTTATTGTCCTTTTTTGCCAGCCATAGTCTACCCAATAAATGACATGTGATGGCGCTGCCCATCGACTAAATAGTTATGACAGAGATACGACGGTGTCAGAGGCGTCATAACTCCTTAGTCAGGGTGTTGTCGTTGATCTTGGCAAAGAGGGCTTGGTGAAACACGTAGCGGACAAGTTGCTCACTAACGCTGATTTAGTCGAGAAGTTAGACTTATGACGGTTTGTAGGAACGGGCCCCTGGGGTCTATAATATAACCGGGGAAAAGGGTCTAGGCCTAGAATCTACATGTTATCGATCGATGTCGCGTCCAGGGGCCCGTTCCTAGAAACCGTCATAAGTCTAACTTCTTGACTAAATCAGCGTTAGTGAGCTACTTGTCCGCTACGTGTTTCACGGAGCCCTCTTTGCTAACATCAAGGACAACTTCCTGACTAAGGAGTTATGACGCCTTCCACACCGTCGTAGTCTATCTCTGTCATAACTAATTTAGTCGATGGGCAGCGCCATGACATTCACATGTCATTTATTGGTAGGGAGGCCAATGCCCAAATCTAACTTTTTAATTACAAATTTGTTTATAATAAAACAAACATTAAAAGAAAGTATTTTCTTTCACGAAGACAACTCACCCATCTGCCGACTCCAGAATTTCCATGAAATAGGAGATATCCAGCTCTTTTGTAGGCCTTTCCTTCTACGCCTGGCCGTACGTAAGAGCCTTGAAACAATCAATTTCATGGTCCCCAAAATTACGTTGAGAATTAGACAGGCCCGAGGGAATAGGCGTGTCATTGGCCTGACAACAAGTTCAAAACTTTGCGTGAAAGTACATTCATCATCACCGGCTAGCCTTGAATCGGTCGCACACACCGAATTCCGAACCAGGCATGCAAGCCGCAATACACGCTGAAGTTGAAATCGAACCATCAATGTACGTACGACAACTAGATCCACGAGTAAAAAAAAGAAGGAAAGAACTAGATCTAATTCATTAATATTTACCTTAGATTGTTATTCCAATATTCCAATGACTTGATTTCCTCATTAGTATTATGATTTCAGTTTACTGTAGTGTACAAATCAACTAGAACGACCTCCAAAATCCAAGTCACAGCGAGATCGACACTATGTACATATATGCATGCATACATGTATATCGCATCTCTCTGTGTTGTTGTCCCTCCTCTTTTCGGAGATTAGCATCGCATGCGTACTTAACTTAGATCTCTCTCTCTCTCTCTTTCTCTCTTTAGCTATACGTAATACTAACTATGTATCATCGACTACATCATGACCTTTCATCGACCCCTTTCATCCACTTCTCAATCGGAGTATAGACTGCTCATGTAGACATTTTTTACTGCAATATCTTTTTAAACATTTCTCATGCATGATTTACTGCACAAGCTCGACACTCGATATTAGTGCTTTGAGAATAAGGCCAAATTAAAAAAAAAACATGTTTAGCGTCCTGTTTTTTGGAAAAATAGGAAGGAGGAGGCCCTTTTTTTTTTTTTCTTCTTCTTTCAAAATGGCTGCTCAAAATGGCCGCTCGGTACAATTTCCCTGACAGTCTGGCTGTTTTTCAAGATGACCACCGTCATTTTTTTTTTTTTTTTTAAATCACAAGTAGATCCATTTTAGCAGTGTTTTTCATGTTTTTTCCAAAAAAAATCAACAAAATCAACAAAAAGAGGAGGCGGCCCCCAAAGGAGGCGGCCGCGACCTACAGAGATTTAAGAAACCGGACAACCCATTTCACAAAACCATTGAGGCATGATCAGCGACGAATTCATAATTTCGATAACATCTGATAAAATATTCAGTCTTTGTCACAGTCCATCAAATTTTGTCCTGAATTATGAAAAGAGATTTAATATGAAACTTAATTTAATTCAAACTGTTTGAAAAAGTTAAAAAAAGAGTGGTAGCACAAATGATACAAACATTTGCTATTATATTGTTATTAATGACATCTAAGAATGCATAAACAATGATGAAACTCTAGGTTGCTTTGGGGACAAGGGATTGGAAATTTTCAAGTAAGAGGATACCATAAATCATGTCCAATCAAAAAAAGACCCTGATTTTATTTCTAGTTAAGAAAATAATGAAAACAATTATTTATTATTACTCACAAATCTTAACATTTATTTATCAAATAATTATCTAACTATAAAGTTATGCTTGAAAATGGATAATATCTAGAAAAATACCCCCAAGAAAATTGTAGTTATTCTCATGAGTCTGTAATTACAGACTGTTTGATCTTCGGTGACTTTTCTAGGGTAGACCGATATATGCTCAAATAATATTTATATTATTTACTTGTTACGGCCTTAATACCTTATAAGAACAATTTATTTGATTGTACAATACTTTGACACTAATAAGAACTGGTCACTGAAATGAGAGCTTGAAGATCAAGTAATAAGTTGTGTTTTTTTATTTCACTTTAATTTTTTCGCTGCCAATAGACTTACTTAAAGGGATAGTTGAGTTCTGTCGCAAAGGGCGCTACACAAAATAATTTTTTGTGAGATAATGAAAGACTGAGTGTCAAATTTGAAAGAACATAATATTCAAATGACAAAATCATCTTTGTTTGATCAAAATCGGTTCAGAGACGGCTGAAATATAACAATTTCGAATACTTGTGTACCACCACAAATATTAGATATTTTGACAAATTTGAAAAAAATGTTAAAAAACACACGAAATAACGCCTTTTACGTCGTATTTCAGCCAATGCCGCTGTTGGCATTTTCTTGTTGCTTATATTACCCACAATTAGCCGGCTCATGTATTGTTATTTTTAATTAAATAATTAATTAACGGTCACCGTGTTTTTTTTATTAAGTGGAGCTGAATTGGTATGTCGTATTGGCTAAATTTCACACATTTTGGAGTCTAGAATTACCTTCATAGCAATTTTAGGTTCTAAAAGGGCACTATAAATGTCGTAGATAAGAACAAGAGCAATAACCATGCACTTTGAAGGCATTTGCGGTCTGAAAACAGAACTCAACTATCCCTTTAACCCTGTAATTTGGGGCTTTGATCAGATCGGAAGATCGAAGCGACACCCTCTCACCTCTGATCAGTATCGGCAAAAATTATATGCTGATTTTATTTTAATTTTAATTTTTTTTAATGCTGAAATTTTTCAAGTTTGGGCTATCAAATGCTATAAAAACAGCTATAAAAACATGCATAGCTTGGATTATTTTGTCATTTGGAGTTGTTGCAGGCCATATTTGTTGATATTTAGTTCCTTTTCATGGCTTTGAAATTGATAAAATAGTCTTAAGAATAGAGGCAAAACATGCGAACCACCATCTTGGATTATAATTTTTATGTAGGCACACATTTTTTGTCCATTGTCATTAAAATCCAACAATTTTATGCTTTATATTATGGCCTTTTATGATTTTATTATTGTTTCTATAAGTGCTTACAAGTATAGAAATAAAATCTGAATTTATTGTTTGCATGGTTAGTACACTATCACTGGTACACTAACCCTACTGACTAGTACACTAACACTCAAACACTTATACTGATAGATAAATAAATAGATAAATGGTATTTTATTGCATCTTTCATGAATGGCAGTTTCACAACTGAATTGCACATGAATTACACGAATTGGATATATACATTGTAAAAAACTTACATAACATTTAGTTAGAGAAACCTAAAAACGATGTGGCTGCCTGTTAAGCGCTCATACAAGCTACACAAACTATTACACTTATACTACAACACTAACACTAGAACACTAACACTAGAACACTAATACTAGTGCACTAATACTACTACACTAACACTAATACACTAATACTAGAACACTAACACTAGCACTAGAACACTAACACTAGAACACTAACACTAGAACACTAACACTAGAACACTAACACTAGTACACTAATACTAGAACACTAACACTAGCACTAGAACACTAACACTAGAACACTAACACTAGAACACTAACACTAGAACACTAACACTAGAACACTAATACTAGTACACTAATACTACTACACTAACACTAGTACACTAATACTAGAACACTAACACTAGCACTAGAACACTAACACTAACACTAGAACACTAACATTAGTACACTAATACTAGAACACTAACACTAGAACACTAACACTAGAACACTAACACTAGTACACTAATACAGGCACACTACTTTTGTGTAGTATCAAAGGAGGTCATGTGTTTTTCAACAAGTCTGTATACAGGTTAAAAAGTGGCCATTTTGAAGTTACATCATTGCTTTGATCTAAAAGCAGTCTTTTCAGTACAACATGCTCGTAGAATCTAATCAACGTATGATTTTTTTTATCATAGTGATTAACCATTTTTGACAATGATATTGTATTTATACCTCAAACAGTAACAAAGACTTCAATTTCAAACTTCTTGATAGCTGGTCGCCATGTCGACGTCTGCCTTTTTCACCGACTCCCTAGCAGTGATGCAACGCACTGTGGAGGTTACTGAGCAAGTTGCAGAACCACAAGACATCGTTGAACAGTTTGAAGTGGACCGCTGTGCTGCTTTCATCAACAAGCATGAATTCACAAAGGTGAGAATTGGGTTCACTATTGAAGAATCCCAGAACAAGAGTAGATAGATGTAATGAGCAGCATCTCATGAAACAATCATGCATATGAGTTCGCCGACATCCCATTGAAATGTGTGTATGTATCATGGAGAGCGTTTCGATGGGATGTTGGGGAGCTTGTACTTATTACAGTTTTGTGAAACCTTGCTCTGGAATCATCCTGAAAGTATTGGAATGACGATCAACAAATTCTCTGTTTACATGACAGGTACAGAATTCAGGTTACAAACTTCCAATTTTGTTTCAGTTTATGTATGAGGTTTAAATGTTATATTTTTCCTGTTTAAAGTTAGGAATTTGACTAGTGTAAGAAATTTACAGCAATCGTCATTACAGCAATTTACAAATTGTATTTTGCATTGATGTATATTGTACTTCTGGCCTTCTGCTAAGGTGTGGTGTAATAAACTATATAACAAAACATTCTTTAGTTATTCTTCTATGTGGCATAGTCTATGCGATTATGGTGCCCACTGACATATTAAAACCATATTGTATCTCTTATTTTTAAGATGTGAAGGTTGCAGTGATTTTTGTTCTATTAAGAAAGTTGGTGCATGTACATGTAGAGGGACAACATGACAGAAAAGTCTAATGATTGGTAAAGTCATAACTTAAATCAACAACAACAATTTTTTTGCTGCTGTAGAAAATTCGCAATGCAGGACAAATGCTTCCATCATGAATCAATGCCTGACATTTGAAATATAATTGAAGAACACGCACATCTCTCCATCACCTTTCCCCTCACTATCTATCTGTGTGATGTATACATTCTACATAGGTTGGTTTGCAGTTCCCAGATGATCTATTGCATGTATCAGCGACACTGGCCAGTGTCCTCCAGTCAAAGATATCAGCGACAGTCTTCATCCTGGGTGACACTTCTTATGGCAGGTAAGGGCCTTGGCACTCTGGACAATCAGAATACCTGACCAGTTTAGCAATACATTTTGTTCATGATTGCTTTGGGGATATAGAGTACTTCAAAGTGTGATTGCTCACAATCGTTTCTTAATTTTTATCATTATTTGTTGTTGTTGTTCTGGTTTCTTTTTACAAAATGCTTTTCAGTTTGATAGAGCTCTTTTGTAGCATTCCAGATTTAAAAAGTTATTGTCTCCCATGTATTTCTTTTCACTGTACCTGACCATGTGTAGGAGATTTATTATTCATATTATTATTGGAAGTGGTGGTGGTGGTGGTGGTGGTGGTGGTGGTGGTAGTGGTGGTGGTGGTACTAGCAGTAATAGTAGCAGTAGCAGTACTAGTATTGTTGTTAATATTGATATCATTATCATTCATCTTATTTCATCAGCTGTTGCGTGGACGAGGTAGCCGCACAGCATGCTGGATCAGATGCCATTATTCACTTTGGTCCAGCGTGCCTTAGCACAACCAAGCGATTTCCTGTACTCTACGTCTTCGGCCGTGGTAGGATAGACCTGGAGAAGTGCTGCGAAAGTTTCCAGTCCTTGATTTGTGACAGGAACCAGCATGTCCTTGTTCTGTCAGATGTGATATATTCTCATGCTATGGGTAAGCTCCATAATGATGAACAAACTTAAAGCCTGTCTGTACTAGTTTGGCCAGGAGGGATTAGACCACCCAGCAAGGTCACTGACAGGTGGCTATCTCATCAACTTGGCTCTCAATTAACATAAGAAAAAGAGGATCATGTGGGACCAATGGTCACCAATTGGGCATTGTTTGCTATATAGAGGGAGCAAGTAGCTACAAGTAGTTCAGTGGGGCTTTAAGAGAATGACATTCTACAATTATAGAACACCAGCTTTAATGGAAGCAAAGATCATTCAAACAAAAAATTAGGAGTTTTTGAAATATTAGTCCAAAACTACAAAAGTTATGGCATTTTGAAGTTTACAGCTGTATTAAATGATATATTGTGAATATATATAGTCGTGAAGATGAGACGTAGCTGTACTTTACAAGTTTATTGCAAGTTTATTCTCGCACTTTTATATATATATATATATATATATATATATATATATATATATTTTGGTGTGTATGTCACATAGGGTGAACATCTTGCCTACTCCCTCTCCTTCTCCTCCCCTCCCCCTTCTCATTATTATTATTGTTATTATTCTCTTTCTCATCCTTCTCTCCTCTTCCTCCTTCTGTTCTTCTCCTCCTTCTTCTCCATATTCTACCTCCTTTTCATCTTCTTCTTTTCCTCCTCCTTCTTCATCTTCTTCCAATTTTTCATCCTCCTCCTTCTCTTCTTTTTCTTCTTATTTACCTCATCCTTCATCCTCTTTCTCTTTCTCTTCCTTTTCCTACTCCTCTTCTCTTTTTCTCTTCTTTACAATAAAGTACCTTGGAGTAATTAGGCACCCACATTTATATCAGAAAATTGGTCCAATATAAACAAGAAAAACGGGCATGTGATTGTCTGTGAAACCACACACTTACACAAACTGTTTTTTGCCATACCCAGATGAGCTCCAAGCAAGGTTTCAAGAAGACTACCCGAATGCTGTCTTCTCTAGTATTGACTCAACGCCAACCGTGTCGCCCCAGGACACCCGGACTGGCTCAAGTCTGTCAGGGGTGGAGGGTCTGGACTGCCAGTGCAACTCCGGTACCTGCTGCAGCAAAGGCCAATCAAAGGAGACTGCCTCTTCATCTGCTACCAGCAAAGAGGAAACAGGAGATCAGAAAGATGAGGAAAGGACCAAAGGAGAGGTAGAAGGAAAAGATTTAATGAAAGGAGAAAGTCTGGTGAAGGAAAACGGGAAGTGTCGTTTCTGTGGTAGGACACTGGATTTGAAACCTGGCACCAGCCTTGAAGACTACGCTGTGTTCTATGTTGGGGCGGAGAGCAGGACGCTGACTAATTTCATGATGGTTTTGAACAAGTGTACGTTCTATACATTTGACCCTACGACCTGCTGCGGGAGACAGGAAACACTGAATGTCAATCGTGCTCTCATGAGGCGATACCACCTCATAGAGAAGGCAAAGGACGCCAATGTAGTTGGAATATTGGCCGGCACGCTGGGTGTGGCTAACTACCTGGATATCATCTCTCACCTGAAGAGGTTACTGAAGCATGCTGGGAAGAAGAGCTACGTCTTCGCTGTTGGGAAGCTGAATGTTCCCAAACTTGCCAACTTTATGGAAGTTGACGTGTACGTGTTGGTTGCATGCCCTGAGAATAGTCTTGTGGACTCTAAGGAATTCTATCGTCCTGTGGTCACGCCTTTTGAGATGGAGATAGCATGCAACGAGGCCAGAGAGTGGACTGGGGAATACATCACAGATTTTCAGACTCTACTTCCAGGTAAACAAAAAAAATGTTTTTTCTATGGTGTTCCTGCATGTGCAAAATCTATTCAGTGTTACTGATCAATCTTTATTCAGGAAATCAAGGAAAATGTAAACTACATGTTCATCACTGACTTTCAGACATTACTTTCATGTAAAAACCCCAAAATGTAATATATTGTGTTACTATATGTACATTTATATGTACTACCGGTAAATCTGTTTGTAGATAAGGATATTCAGGAAATTGAAAAAGTGAAATTTTTATAATAACACTATTGGTGACTTTACTGCCACGATATTGCTGTTGTCTGAATTTCTGGAGTAGTAGCTTGTATCTAATTCATTGCAAGTTTTGACCATGGGTCTGTTTATTAAAAATGATCTTCACTTGATAAACAGTGCCCAAAAAGGGATTGTCATATTAGGGATATACTGTATACAGTATGTAGGTGAATTCTTTTTCTTTTTTTCCATTTCTGTACCAAATATTGAATAAGTAGATGTACCTGTGAATTCAGATAAACAGTCTTAATCATTTTAACGCTACTGTAGCCATGAGGCATTTTTGATTAGGAGGTTGTATATTACACAGGAAATACTTGAGTGAAATGGCAGGCATGGTAGCTTGTAGATTACAGGCGGAAATTTAAAAGAAATCAACATTTGATGATTTTCTTGGTCAGAATTTGTAAATAAGTAGGAATACGTAAAATACAATCTGTGAACTTGATGAAATACAAGTGTATTTTAATATTCGATAGTAAAGATAGATTTGGGGATTTCAAGTCAGAATTTATTTGAATATATTTCTAAAACTCCCAAGAGCTGCCACTGAAAGGGGTTTTAGAGGCATAGTGTTATGGTTACATTAAATTTGTTCAAAAGTCCACCTGATGAGGATAAAACTACACAGCAGCTTCAAATATCTAATGTAGCGCTAATTGTCATAATCTAAATGATTTTTGGGGTCATCCAAAAAGAGAATTATATCATATTCTTGTCTATCTCACCCACCCCCCAATTTAGGTTCTAGCGGACATGTTGTGATACCAGCCTCGTCCAATTCTTCTGAGCGGACGGATGTATCTCTGGTGACAGGAAAGCTTCGCTCGCTAGGTACAAGGGAGGATGATGATGATGGAGATAATAGGTTAATGGGTAGAAGCTGTGATGCGGGGGCTCTCGTGAGCAGAGATGAACCATTGACAGTCTCAAATGTACACAAGAATGCAAGTAAGTATTTTGGCTGTCAGTTGGCAGCAATGATCAAGTGTGAATTCTTATTCTATACCTTTCATTACTTCTCTTTTCTCTATCACTCTCTTTCTCTTTCTTATGTCCATCTGTCTATTTCTCTCCCTCTTCTGAACCTTCTGAAATTGTAGTCAGCAGGGCGGTGTTCCGCATGTCGCTAACTTGTATGGCAGGTAATGCATGCTAGAGTGTGTTTCTGAAATTATCAACTGATGTAGCTATTACGGACTGCTGGTCGAGGGCATTCCATGCTCGTCCAGTTCTTGGAAAAAAGGAGTATTTGTATACGTCCTTTCTGGCAAAGGGGATTTCTATTGAGTGTTGGTGGTTTCTTCTTAACCTTGACCCTGTTGATACTTGTATGTAGTCCTCTTGCTTTAGGCCCACCTTTCCCTTGTAGATTTTGTACAGCATAACCAAACGACTCTTTTCCCTCCTGCGTTCGAGTGATTCCCATTCAAGGCAGGTCTGCATTTGTGTGACACTGCTGTCCCTTTGGTAGTTCCCTGTTACGAAGCGTGCTGCCCTCCTTTGAACTGCATCCAGTTTATTAATCTGCCCTATCCTGTATGGGTCCCAGGCACAGCTTGCGTATTCTAACACTGGTCTCTTCTAACTCTTTATCTCTCCCTCTCGCTATCTTTCTTCTTATTAAATTCTTTTAATATCTCTCTTCCTTTTCTCTTTTTTCCCTATTTCTCTCCACCCCTTTCTTTATCACTGCCTAAATTACAATCACTCCTTCCCCCTTACTCCCCCTCCATCTCTCTCTCTCTCTCTCTCTCTCTTTCCCCATCTCCCTCCTTTCTATTCATCTCTCAATCACTACCTCCATCTCCATCTCTCACTGTATTTCTCTCTCTCTCTCAATCTCTCACTCTCTCTCACTCTATTTTTCCCATCTCAGGTGAATATCTCATGGGGCGTACATGGCAGGGGTTGGAACAGAAGCTCGGTGAGACCCCCGTTACCAAGGCAACAGAGGGCAGGAAAGGCATCGCTGCTGGTTATACCCATGAAGAAACATGACAACAATAGGCACCATCTCAAGGATTCCTAGGTCTATACGGTATTCCTAAAACCGTATCAACTTTTGTCCTGACTGAAGCCCTAGCTATGGTTATAAAGTTAGTCCGCTACGTTATGAAGCACCAAGTCTCCACTGCTTCAGTTATTTTATAAGGATACCCCTGTCCGAACTATTCCCGACCATCAGAAGCAGAGGTAATGATATGATTGCAGGACCCTCAGGCAGAACAGTGTTAATACTGATTAAAGGCTACCCTGGGTAAACAAGACTTATTATTATTATTGATTTTTTTTTTTGTTATTATAATAATAATAATAATAATAATAATGGGTTCTTGTATAGTGCTCAGGTCAGTCAGATTTGACCCTCCTATTGTTGTTGTTATTATTATTAGCACACCTCAACACTGACTCTGTGCTCTATACTTTACCAATGATACAGAGGACTAAAGGGAGTATAACTCATGATCCTTTCTTTTACACATGATGCTTATTTAGTCCAATTTCATTTTACAATGTACTCAGGACCAGCACAGCTAGCTGCATTGTTTCTGTTCTTCTGTCTCATTACAGCAGGGACCATTTCTCTTTGTCTTTGAATAATTTGAAATTTTGATTTACCTTGGAATAAGGAACTTGTTTACAGGTTGATCTCTGTAAGCAGCCAATTGTGCCATTAGACTATACGTGTTATAGAGTGGTGAAGTGTGAAGTTATCAAAAAACTATTTTTTAGAATTTATTAATTTGAACTTCATTTTCCAAAAGTGCATCAAAAATAATGTCCAAATGTCGAAAACCAATTGAATATGTTAAGTATTGGCTGAGTTATGATCATCTGAATGAATATATGTCCTATAGGAACTCAGTGTTATTTTGCTCTGGTTCATAACATTACAAATTAGTTCAAATCTTCACAGGTAAAATATAATAATAATAATAATAATAATAGTGGCTACTTGTATAGCGAACAGGTCCACCTTTCGGTGCTCATGGCGCTTAGAGAAAAGTACATGTAACAGACATAAGAAAGAAAAAACAATAAACCGAAAAACAATATTCGAAGTTCTCCTAGACATAGTAAATTAGCATAATATTGCATAATTACAACGAAAGAAACAAATAGGTTTTTAGTTGTAATTGGAATGTTTCACGGCTGATAAATGAGGAATCAGGCAGTTTTCGTGCAGCAGCGTACTGACTGCATAGGCCAGTGAGCCCCAGGTCTAAGCTCCACCTGACTAGATGCGACGTTAACTCTAGATCAAGCTCTATCAATATCGTTTCATGACTCACCCGATACTTGTCGTGGTTCCGGTCCTAAGGGCTTGGACTTGGTCTTGGTCATGTTGCTGTTAGTCCGCAAGATCCCAGCCCGGTGCCTGAGATTGTGATGTTTCTCGGCCTGCAGAACTAGCTGATATAGGTCTAGGCCTACCTTGCCGACTCCTTCGTCTTGACAGGGTACCCGTCTTCCTCTTCTTGCTTTCAGCATACCGGTCACCGATTCCAATTTACAGCACTGAACTAGCTCTACGTCAACCGTACAAACAAAGTCATTGCAGCTCCAAAATTTAATCACCTCTCCACTGCAGTGCAGATGAGAAAATCTTCTTAAAAATACCTCTTCCTAGTTCTCTCTTAATGTTTCACAAGCCCTCTTTCTCAGTTCTTCACCTTCCGTCTTCTTCTTCTGTTCATCTCTCTCCTTTAGTGCCAACTCAATGTCCTCCTCTTCCTGTAGCATCTGCTCTATGGCCTCTCTGATACCTTTCTCCTCCTCTGTCTCCTCTACTGCGATGCCACTGGCAGCCTTCTCTAAATTGTTCTTCGCCTTTACTTGATCCTTAAGAATGTGGATCCTGTTCCTCACCGCTCTGCAGTCGACCTTGTAACCCTTCCTCTGCATCCGTTCCGCCACCTGTTGCCATGCTCTGGCCACATCGCCAGTCTTGTACCTGTATTGGAAGGGTATAGCTAGAACCACTTCCCCAATGAGTATGTGTACTTGGGTGTTGTCCCAGGACATGCTGCAGTACAAGAAATAAAAACAAAACAATGATATAGGTAAAAATGGAATTCTGAAATCATCATAAATGGTACTATACATGTGTATCTATCTTGTTATCATGAAAAACATCATACCATGAATGCATTATATCTTTGGCGTTATAATTTTTTGACAAAAAAGCTGGAAAACGATTGTACAAAGGATATTGAGTCGAAAACACATACCAATTTATGCATGGAGACATTTGTGTAACCCTTTTTCTGCTTGAATGCTTATGTATCATGTGCTATGTAAGAACATTATCATTATCATTCAAATTATATTTAATTCTAGTACGGCTATAAATAAAGATGATGTACGTAATGGAAAACCGATTTATGGAATAACGAGTTGAAGAAAAAAAAATTAATGCCTCCGGCACCCACTTTTGGTGTGCAAAGGCATACAAAAAAAGTAGAAGATTACAATACCAAAATTAGAAACATTTAAGTACATGAACATATCGGTTACTATAATCTTTCTCCTCAACTGGTGCTGCCTGAAGCCCCTGCTGCGCTCTCTTGTAAAGTTTTGTTTTGTTGGACAGCTTGTTCCTGGCTGCCTGTTGGAAATCACTCAGAGAAACATCTGGACATTTCTCCTGAACTGCTTCTGTCAAATGTTATAAACAAATGGAAAGATGCTTTATTGTGAGGTAAAACCAAACAAACCCTAGCCTGGAAAACACTTGCAAACAATACATTTTCAGTGATGTTTAATTCAGGTCACAATTTCAAGGAGAGTAGAAACTAAAACTAAATCACCATTTTGCACGATCAGAGGCTATAGCCTATAGTCTATAGCCATAGGCGAGCACTCAGAGATGATAAACTGGCAATGCACAACAACATTGCAATGCAATGCCCTACGCAATACAGTACAGACCAGACTATCGCACGACTAGCACAACTTGTCTCGACCAAGCCACAAAACGGCTTTTATCATATTTCAACAATTCATCATCCAATTTTAAAACGATTCATGTAAAGTTAGGAAACAAAAATCGATAAAAGAAACTCACCGAAGAGCCATTCACGTTGAAATTTATGTTCTTCAGCCCACTATTTGTGATTGTTGCGCCTGCAATTATACAAGTTTATTAGAAGGATGAAGTTCCCGGGCCAGCTTTAGGAGCTCGCTGATTGGCTGTTGATTCACTTGATGTGTCATTGAGAACGACCGTAAATTTGGCCAAAAACCGTTCTAGATTTCAGTACCTCAGCGGTCACCCCACTATTACTATAGTAACTTCTCAATTTTGCATGCGAACCGCAGATTGTCCGTCCGCGTTTAGCTTGCAAAAACTCCCTAATAACAAATTTGACGTTAGTGAATACCCAAATTCTAACAAGTTATTCAAGGAAATCAACGGGATTTATACTGCCGATGCAAAACAAAGTCAACGTCAGTTAATTCCAGTAAGATTCAAGAATCCAATGATATTTTGTGATTGTCCAAATCAACAGGTCTTGCCTCTACCAAAAGCCACAAGAGAATGACACAATTTCCATGTGCACGTACGCGCTCCAACAATCGCGTGTTATGCGTTCCGTGTGCAAAAGGGAGCGCATTCGGAAAGGCGCCACAAAACCGTTACTTGTCTAGAGGCGCCAAATTCTTGACATCAACGTAAACAAGCTTATTGTTGCGTTACAATGGCCAGCAAAACCAAAACAAAGAGTGCGTTGCCTACAAGCCGTGTATAAATATTTTTGAAAGCGTTTTTGTAACTCTTTAAAATATTTAACACTCCAATGGATTTAGATTTTTTAAAGCAATGTAATTTACATGTTCCTTCCAGTTCAAGTTTTCATCTATGATTACGCCAAGAAATTTAGTACTGTTTTTTTAATACTTAAATCATTATCTTGTATTCTACAATTCCTACTCTTAAAGATCATATAAAATGTTTTATCGCGATTAATGTAGACTTTATTGGCTGTAAACCAAGTTTGCATGTTTTTCATTTCTGAATTCAATAGATTATTTAATGCAACTGATAAAAATAAACATGTGTCATCTGCAAATAGAATTACCGATAAGATATTGCTAACATATTGCAGATCACTATAAACCAAAAATAAAAGTGGCCCAAGATTAGATCCCTGAGGTGCCTCCACGGTACCGCAGCTCCCCATCTTCAATGTGAAGAATGCCTCCACGGTACCACAGCTCTCCTTCATCCTCCCACTTGTGGTGAATTCCTGTTTAACTATTTTCGTAGGGTTCCTAGTAATTTTCACAAAGTCTTCATCAGGAACATGGCTATTGGTTAGCAAGACAATGAGTTCTTCAGTTGATGTCTTTGTTATTGGGGGTTTCCCCAAGTCACATCCCAGTATCTTGGTGCGAAATAAGAATTGTTTCCTCAGAGCATCCCTTTGTTTTGTTTTGGACATGTTTTTCATTTTTGTCATGATCTGCTCTCTCTCCTCCCACAGGCCATGGTCAAGAACACCCTCTATAATATCTTCTGTCCTCCCTCTGTCTTGCTCTTCCTTATCTGAAAGCTTTGACTTCTTCTCCCTTACTCCTTTCTTCACATTCTTGTGATAGGTGTCCTTTCCTTGCTTCCAATGTTTATAGACTTCTGGATAATCTTGGCAAAGTTCCATTCTCCACTCACATTGTGTGCCATGCGTGATTGTTGCTGCCTGGTGAAGAGCCGGAGTTGGATCCCAGAATTGTCCTCCAGGATGCTGGCTGTGAAGTTGCCTCATCTAGAATGCCCTGAAGGAGTGCCTTCAACATCTTTGTTACTCCTGGTTGTGTTCTCTATGATTGAGGTTAAGGTGAACAAGGTGTTGTCCTCAACAACTTCTTCACCAAAGACAAATCTTCTTCCATTTACCATCTTTGTTGGGTCATTGATCCATTCTTCTAGGTCTTCTCTTGCGTTGTTGAATGCAGGGTTCATATAGAGAATGTTTGGATTTTCTTGATTGATCTTCATCCAAGGTCCTGTGACCATCTTGTCAATTAGACCAAGACATCTTAGGTGTTCTAAGCGACCAGCTGTCCATGCATTCACAAAAGCACGGTGAAGATCATTACTTAGCTTTTGTACTGACCTAAAATATTCAATGATGTGACTACCCAATGAAAATAAAACAGCGGAGCTGTGAAATTAAATGTTAAATCATTTACCGACAAATTAAGGGAATTCTCATACCTTTCTCATTAAGATAGCTACAAAATGTGGCAGTTTTGTCACAACCCTCATCGGTAGATAATTTTGAAGCAGCACGTATGAGTGCTTGGGCATTATACTCATTTCTCCTGTTAAAACGAAGTTTCTTGTCTCTGAGATGCCCCCTTCCCCCCCCCCCCCCCCCCCCCCCCCCCCCCCCCCCCCCCCCGCATCCAGTTTCTTTAGGCTCTTGTTTGACTCTCTAGTGAATGTGTCCAGTGGATACATGGCACATCGGAAGGAGTTCACTTTTGTGCCTGTCAGCTTTTCTACACTCCTATCTTTTGCCATATTTGTTCTGTAGCAGTCCCGTATTTATGTCGTCATAGCTGTTTTTGATAGACTCTACACACTCCTCAGCACTTCCTCCCACTTGCTGATGGATGCGTGTCACGTGGATCTTGGAAGATGTAGCAACATCTACTTCCGCCAAGTGGCCTAAACGTTCCTTCGTCGTGCCATCATACTTCAATGTGAGCAGAGCAACCTCCTCTTCAATATCCTCTTGCATTTGCTTCCTACTGATGACCTTCATTTCAGAAGCAATTCACCCCTGAGTTGATTTGGAACGAAGACAACCTACCTTTCTAATGAAAGGGTTCGAGATCATGACGACCAAATAATGCATCCGTAGTCAGTGAAGTAGAGTCTGTACTTTATTGTTTTCTCTTCGTTAAACAGCCTCTGTAATAATAATCAAATTTGAACAAAATATTTAAATCGTGATGAACTTACATAAATCAACAATTATATTATTGATACCAACAGCACAAATATTTATTTATTGACATTGTTTTGTAATATCATGCAACTAAATCTCAATCAACACATTTATTATTATACAAAATAAATACACAAAATAAATTACACTCATTGTTTCTTCTTCTGTCCAACATCATGAACTACATGGTACAATAAATTATAATATTGATTCATTCACATATATAATCATAAAGCAACATAACATAGTACATTCAACTCACCGGCCAATACTAGCCAAAACGCTAAACAACAGTGACGGTATGCATGCTACCAAGTATCATATCCACAGCTCGTAGAAATACAGCAGACCTAGAAATAAGATCAAATGGCATTTCTTATAATACTAAAAATTAATGACTTATAAAAGGAAGCTTATTCTCATCAAAGTTGTAAGGATGATTTGTTCAATTTAACACAATTATACTGCAATTCCTTCATATATCATATAACAAAATAAATGACAAGAGTATTTCAATGAAGCATCATTGTTCCCATACAAATACAGTGCAAGACATAATTCAATTATACTGATCTTACTTTCACCATCAAAACTCTCATTAGTAATGCTTGTAGGTACATGTACATGTATATATCATCATTCCAATAAGTTAAATGAAATACAATCATAATTATTAAACAATCCAACTTACTTTAAACAAAGTCTGATCACATTTCCTCCTACAGCAGGCCAAATGTACAAGTGCTTGCAGTCCTATCACATAGCTTAGAATGGCTGCCTGCCTGCTATAGCATGCACCAATGCTAGCAATCACACAAAAGAAATCCACTCATGCAAAGAGTTCAATAGAGATACCCAAAAAAAAGGCGGGAAACAGTACAATGGGAATCCCTCTAGAGGGGAAACAATACAATGGGAATCCCTCTAGAGGGGAAACAATTTGTCATTGACTGAAGAAGCAAGGGGGGCATCTTTGCACCACATAATTCCTATTTAATTTACAACATAAATTCCAATTTACAACACTTACATGCAGACATTCAGAAACTAATCCGATCGCCTCGCTAACGTTGCTATCTGCAACCCCCAAGTTTTGTAAAGAAAGTTTTTTAAGTTGATCATAAAAATTAATCCTAAAAAAAACTTGGATAAAAAACGGTTTTACTGGCTGTTCAGATGTGCCTTTTCGTAGGTTTCGTGTTTTTTTAAGTGCAGTTTGATAAAAACATGCTTCCATATTGATTATTTTTGTTTTTAGATTTGTAGAAGCCGAGGCTGGCTTTTGTGATTAAGGAAAAAGGAACCAAACAGACCTGGAAGTAGTAGCAGATTTCACAAATCTTTGGATTGAAGCGTTGTCCTTCTTTTGTGCGCATGGTTGATTCTTGCACTGCAAGCTTTGCTTCAAGTTCTGACACCTTGTCTTGCAATTTGATGATATCTTCATCAGATCCACTAAACATCCCTTTGTTCTTCTCTTGCTTCCCTGTGGTAAGTGGATCCAGTGGATTTGTGTACTTTACATATTTTCTCTCGACTAATTTTATGTTCACTTTCTCTGAGATGTACAACGATTTGAAATTCCTGCTCATGTAGTTGTCGTTTGCGTTTTTGACTGATCATCTCCCGGTTGGCATTGATCGTACTCGCACAGTTCTTGTAAGCTTTATTTGCTGTACTTTTACCAGAGTTTTCTTCACCTATCTTTTTCAATGCCACTTTGTAGTCTTCTTTCGAGGAATGTCTTGATCTTTTTGAGACTTCCTGTTCGATTACAGCTCTTCCTGATAATCTGGTATTTCTCCCTTCAGTCATCTAAGCTGCCTTCTGTGATCTCCAGAAATGTTGCTAAATCCGTGATTGATTTATGGTCATCTTTACCCCACAAATCCAGCATATATCCATTTGTTTAATGGACATCCCTGAAGGATTCTGCCATTTTGCTGTTTGAAAAAAAAATATGCAGGCCTGTTTGTAATATGTAGGCCTGTTTTTAGAATTCTTTAATTCTCAATATATTTGTTAATTAAATGATATGCATGTACATGTAATATTTCAATGTTTTTAGAGGGACATTAAGCACACAAAGACAAAACATGCACACAAGAGTTATCAATCAATTCTTTCTTGTTTTTATTTGTATGCCTTTGAAAGGCGGTTTTGCATTGAATGCAAAATATTAGCACCAGTATTGGCCTTGGATCTGCACAGCTCTAGAGCATCCATCTGTTCAGTGTGGAGAGGGCTTTGTCCCATCTTCAAGTACAAGAAACCAGGTCATCAGCTCTAGGCCGAAACCAACCAGCAAATCAGTTCCATACACAAAATAACTATTCTGAAAATATAATAGAAAACATAATGTCTAAAGAAAAAATAAAATCAATAAAGTTGGCTGTTTGGATTGTTGCTTGAATAGTTTCCTAAATGTCCTACATGTAGTATTGTACATGTATTGTTCACAGGTTTTCCATAAGTTATTATCCTTGAAAGAGAAGAAAAAAATGTCTGAACAAGACGTCAACAAGAAATTGTTACCTTTTTATTAAATATTAACATGTCATGCAATTTCAAGATCATAAAATAATAGTTACATTAATTTATACATTCAGATATTATATTGTCCCATCTCAACTGTATTTATAAGATTTTGTTCCACATTTCATTCAAACAAGAAATATGCTGGATTTGTTTGAACAGTTCTTATTTTCCAGAATTATCTGGAATATTATGTCATCATTTCTAAACTGATTTACCTTACTTTAAGGAAAATAGTGTAGTTTCCCGCCAACTTCCAAAAAATTTCTTTACTACCATTTTTAAGCGGAATATACATGCACAGTTTTGCATTGAAATACCCGAGATTAAATAAAATCAAGCTGTAGCTTCTTCATTATACAATTCATTTGCTTTTATGTACTTTGTCATTTGGTTGTATTTGATTTATTTGTTTTTATTTGATTTTATTTCATTTAACTTAATTTACTTTACATGTTATATATATTGTATATATTGTTGATTATAACCTACGTCTAACCCACTGTGTTGACGGGCCTAGTTGTTTGTGCATGATCTCTGGTAAAGATGTGATTTATCATCAATATATGTAGACTATTTGAAAGTGGAAGGTCAAATGAAATTAAATTTAGAAACAACTTGTCATAAGTACATCATTAATTGACGTGCTCATCATAGCTGAAATGGGTTTGATGACCTTGACCTAAGCCTTCCACGTCATCTGGGAGATGTGTGATGGCTTCTGCTTCATGACCTCGAGCCAGATCTTCTGATCACATTGTGTGCGGGCAAGCACTGAATCCAACGACAGGGGTAATAGTATATTTGTAAAGCGCTTAGAGACATTTGTATTAAGCGCTATATACAAATTAAATAATATTATTATTATTATTATTATTATCTTGATGATCTGGGGCTATATTCAATTCAGTACTATGTCAGAAATATGAATACTCAGTTTTTTAATTAGATAAAATACTTGACTAAATATTTGACCCTACTGTTCCCTATTATTTGGGAGGCCTCAATTGGCAGTTATAAGCAGTCATAAGCCGCGCACAATTATATTATTACAATGCTTATCACTAAGTATTTTATCTTTAAAGGCATCGTTTAACAATGTTAAATCTGAGATGCACGGCCCTACATGTTATCAGTGTCTGTGATATGGTGTAATATTGAAGCCCTAAAAGAATTGCGCTTCTTTGATCAAGAAGTGCCTCAAAAAAATAAAAAATCTTTGAGTGACCGGTTTTACCATACTCATTTTTTTTCATTAGACTGTAGTGTTATGAAAACCGTTTGGCAAACGGTCTTCAAAATTTGTAATTCCAATCATAAATATCTTGATAATCAGACAGGCGATCGGCTTGTAAAAGCCATGGAGTTCCTGACTGACCTAAAGGTTTATAATTATCATTGCAGCATGAGCTAAATCTAGGATTGTGTTTCAGAATCTGAGACAAAGTTACCGGATCCCTTTAAGTCGGCATAGTGAATACAAAATGCTCAGATGTAATCTGAAATTCTGAATACTACGTAGAATACTGATGTTAATTCTGAATAGAGTAGAGCCCATTCCATTAATAATACATACATGTAGTATCTGATTAGAGCCAAGAGGGTGTTAACACTACTAAAGGATATGAGTTGGTGCCCTTCTGGCTCCACACAGACGATGTTTGCTATACACAATAAATGAAAATAGAAACGCAACCAAGATATTGTTTCCAGACTTTTATTGGATCTCTCAAATACATTGTGTTTTTCAAATAAAGCTGTGTTTAAAAGTTCTTCTCCACAGAAACATAAAGACAATGTGTGTACTACAATACTGATAGTTCAAGCCAAAATCACCTCCAAAACCCATACATCTGAGTCTTCTTAACTTAAATTCACACAGAAACATCATTCTTATGTATAAACCAAGGATGAAATCATGTTAACACACCCCATGAAGAAGATGGGGGATAATGAAAACTTATCCCACACAAAACGTACAAAAGAATTAGACCCCCTAATTGGACCCCGATGGCGTGAGTAAGCAGTACTGTCTGGTGTTGATAATGATATCCATTCTGAAAGTAAACTGTAGAATACACATCTTGATAACCTGCATATCTCTCCCAACCCCCCTGAATATTTAATTTCACGTTTTCGTTTAAAAAAACTTTTTTTCCAAAACAAATTACCAATCGTATAATAATGCCCCCATTCCAAGAAAAAAACGAATGCACATTATTTACTCCTTTCTCACATAGCACAAACATGATAGCTTTTTTTTAATACCCCCCCCCCCCTTAAATTTATCACCACATATTGGTAGGAATGGTCATTTTCTTCAAAACATCTCCTAAAAAAGGCACTGCATATGGCATCTACATATCATATTAGACAAGAAAATTTGACCTGCTGGCATAACGTGAAAGGAAGTCAAAGGTGACCTTCACATAACTCTCCAAAACGACACACTCCATGTATAGATGAGTGCACCCATCTTGAATTCTCAGCAAAATATTTGCTAAGCAATCCCATCATCTGATGCTTCCAACTAAAGCCAAAATACTTGCACGGCATGAAAACATGAAGGAAGACATTCATTCAGATCACCTTCATGCCAACATGTCACGTTTCCTGAATGCTTTTGATCTCACATCAATATTGTACCAAAAGAAAACGCAATTAATCAATGCCGTGTTTCAATAAAGTTCTATGAAAAACATTGTAGAGGTGTCACATTTTCTCTTAAAATCAACAGCATAAGCCTGGCCAGCAGGCTGACATGAAACTTCTTTGCTGAAAGCTAGTACACGTCATACAATACAGGAAAGAAAAGCGTCCTTAACTCCCTACAGAATGAACATCAACTACACTGCTTTCTACATCTCTCGATGTGGCCATGTCTTATTAACCCTACCTTCAAACAAAACAGAACCAGAAACTTACTCTCCCCTGAAATAAGCATAGATGTTGCGAGTGGCTTAATATTCATATAATAACTGAATGACAACTACAACAACAATGTTAATACTTGGGTTTCCAAAAATCCCTTGCCGTGAAAAATCCCTGTTGTTTGCCATTTGCAGAAGATTTCTGGTTTTGCATTACAGAAAAATAAGAGAGTTTTAATACCCAAACTTAGAAAAATGAAAAAAGAAATCTAACGGCCCGGCTGGGCCAAAAGTTACAAATAATATAAAACATAATACAAAAAGGATAGCAAATCGGTATAAAAATGATAAACTTCTAAAATGCACCAAAGGAAATGAAAACCTGATCACTTTGAAATTAAAACCAGTTTCATATCTGGTAAGATTTTAATGATAATGGAAATGAAAAAGTTAAATTTCTTATCTGAATTTGCATTTCATTTCACACGACATAATGCCTTCAGTAACTTGATATATATTTTAGATCAACAATGTGTAAAGCTCAACTTATATTGCACATGTGTTCTTGAGCACAAGTAAACCCAATACGTATGTGAATCGTACCTCCATTCAAGACCAAAACTAAACAAATTTTCTAGCTTTTACTTATTATTTTTTACTTATATATTTTCATATATATATATCACAACCTAATCTCGTAGACCCACACATAGCGTCTTTGTTCAATTTTATTTCAAACCTTTATTTTAAATGACTCGCAAAGAGTAAGTAATCCCCAACTAGATCTATAAAAGCCTTAGAAGACCTGCTTCTAAATGCCTTTCTATAAATCAACATTTAGCAGAAACGTGCAATTTCACAGGGGAAACTGTTTTAAAAAACAACTCCACATGATTCATCAGAAGAATTAAGTGTAATTTTGAACTGTACCCATAATGAAAATAAACCTAGAGCGATATTAGTCTACATCGCTCACAAGAATTGCACCAGGTTCCTATCAAAAGGTACTACACATCACAAGGGAGTTCAGTGGTACAAGGGGGCTTTCTTGATTGGAAGGACTGCATGAGGTTTCCCTGTCATTGCGATAGGGAACCAACAAGAGTTGCATGATTTGAAGATCCCTTTTTAAAGACACAGGAAAGTTTCCCAAAAAAATGTTAGTGTTAAAACTGGACATGCTTTTCTTACTAGTAATCGCATTGGCCTTAACTGTCCCATCTTTTTTTTCTTCTTTTTCTTCCCCCTTTTGGAGACATATCCCTTTTTTTTTAAATACAGCTTTTCCTTCCTTCATTTCATAAAGGTATGCAAAGTGTTCTTTTCCAATCCCGTTTAACATTTTTAGCCATATATCCCGTTTTATGTCTCCTTCACAATTAAAACTCGCATTATGAAGCAGATACATATGACAGACAATGCCCCCGTTTTAGATACCACATGATCGATCAGGTGACCAGTGTAGATAGCACAGGATCGATCAGGTGACCAGTGTCCCTCATCTGTGCACTCTGAATGAAAGAGTCTTGTAGCAATGAACTTTGAACTGTACCTTAAGGTGTGTACTGTCTTTTGTTTTAACACACAAGTACAAGGAAGACTTGAATGGTTCTCTACGTGTTTTGAAGATCTAAGGCTTCATTCTGATATGACAAGGCAAAATCACAGCATCATTTTTATGTTGACTTAAAGTAATACACTGGCACATTTCTCTATCTTATGACACAGACTCAATAAATGTGCACTGAACCTTAATGCAAGCAGTTGAGTTGCCATTCATTTACAAACGTGGATTATTTTGTTTGTGGTTTACCGCGTCATATCTGAAAGAGCCTGAACCCCATAACTGTTTAAACCGCTATATGGCGGAACTTTAACCCTAGATTGTCATCACCATTTTTAGCACGTCAGACTCGATCAGAAACATGAAAATTCTTGTGTTACTTCCAAATAAGAGTACACAAAGTTAACTCTTTTTTTGTTGTTCTTTGAATTGTGCAAGTAATCTAATGTAGTAAAGATTTGCAAAATTAAATCTTAAATCTAACTTTCCAGACGTAATGTTAAAAGTATACCGTTCTGTTCATTAACAGGCGATGCCCCATGACCGACTGACTTATAGAACATAATCTATTAATAGCACTTCAAATTCAAGCTTTCAACGTTCTCCCTCATGCAATAATGATTCCTTTTCTCTTGTTGTTGCATATTATTTACAAATCTGTACACAATCCAAACAGTATGTACAAGAAATGAATTTCACAAAGGTACAAAGAATAAAATAAACATTTTGCATGATTTTTCATAGGGAACTGACCACTTTTATGAATTTGAAGTAAAATTTTAATGCCAACATAACCACCCTCTAAAAACAAAACAAAAGGAGCCCTATAATTATTTTGAAGCAACTTCAGTGCTGGTAAACAAAAACATTAGTAACCTTTTGATATTGGTAAAAGGCCAAATTTCAAATACATGGAATGTTTTATCGATCAAAAATAATAACGATATTGATATTTTTGAAATACTACTAAACATGCTGATGTTTCTCGCACGAATGGCTTCAGAAATGTGAATTTATTCGGTCCTTCATACACGAAAAACAGCACTTTAATAAGCCATTTTATTGTATTTTTATTTCATGTTTATCTAATGAGAAATGACTAGCACATTAGGATCCCCGTCCCACATCTCTACCTCCTAGAGGGAAGACTATCAAATCTTGCACGATATCAACCAACAAATAAAAATAGACTGTTTAAAAAATATTTGATCTTCTCTTTCACATTGGCTTACGAATACACAAATGCTGTTATAGAAAAAGTCACCACAGAACACGTAGCCGTGCTTCATAGTTTACTTGCAAATTGGCTTGCCTTAGTCAGTGGGTTATTTGACCTTCTATTGTTTTTCTTTTTTTTTCTTTCTTTTTTTTTTCTTTTTCAAATTGTACATGATAATCATATACATAAACAAATCAAAGTCGATAACCCATAAGTGACATTCGATTTAAATTATACACAATGTGAAAAACAAGTCAGTGATTATGCATTGGGTACAACAGAGGTAAGAGAAATTCAATCTGTTTCCGACAAGGAAATAGCTCTAAATAAATCAAACAAACCAGAAGTAATGAAGCACAAGCCACTGTCTGCATGGAATTCTTACTCTACGAAAGCTCCATTTTCCTTATTACACTTGAATCCGTTCTTACAAACTTACAGGCCAACGAAACGAGCAGAGCTAGGCTCCTACCTCAATCATTGCCTTAAGATCAACTACACTTTGGTCGGTCACAATTTGCTCAAGACACACATCAAGTCCGTTAAGCTTTGCAAGCTTCCATGCTTTATCAAGAAAGCGTCAATTAGTCTGATTTTGATGGATGAGGTTTACCAAGAATCTTTCACACACTGTCCTAAATCTAGTCCGTCTCAAAGACCACTCCTCTATGCCTGGATCGTAATACACTGGTCCCTCCCTTGGCTGTGCATCGCTGCACGTCGCTTGGCCAATGCCGACTGACCCGGAGGCGACAGGCCAAAGTTGTTGAGTCCACCGTTGTTGAGTTGGCCAGAGGGTCTGATGATGCAGATGCCGCCGTCGTCCTCGGTATCGACATCCTCCTCGATCACTTCTTCTTGAATCTCGTCCTCCTCCTTCTGAGCGACGAGGCGGTTGCAGGCAACAGCATCCGCTGCAAACTGGCTCAGATCTTTGGCACTGTTGTTGCGTTTGATGATTGCAGGGGTCAGAAGAGGTGTGCTTGGAGGCTATTATCAAAGAAAGATAGCAAACTAATCATACAAGACTGCAAACCATGACATCTTTACAATCTATATTTAAAAATTGACAAAAAATTCTTCATCATGTGTGTTGGAATATCAATGTTGTTCCTTTCCATATGACCTGAAAAGGTCAGCATCATCAGAGTTAAAAAGAAAGCCTGCGGGACATTTCATCGTGTGAATACCAAGAGAGGTTGAGAATGTCATATTCCATCTCCTTATTGTGATTTTTAAGGTCTGATTTTCAAATTAACATCTTCTAAATGTTTGCAAGATGGTCTTCAAGTGGTCATAGGACTCTTACTCCAGTGACAATTGCTCCACATAAAATGAATTTTCTACGCTAACAGTGACAATTGCTCCACACACAATGAATTTTCTACGCTAAGAATTCCTTTCTTCAAACCTGGACCAAACACATCACGTTACACTAGTCCCGACCACCCCTATATCATTGGAAGAAATACAGCCCAGAGAAAATGATGGATGACCCTTGTCCCCCTCTTAGGCCCTACTCTGTGACTTTGTGACCTACCTGTTTGACCCATGGGTGATTGAGGACCATGCCTGCGGTGTATCTCTGCTTGGCATCCCGAACCAACAGGTGTGAGATAAGATCCTTGGCCCCAGCAGAGATGTGTTCCCACTCCGCACCATGGAAGTCATACTCCCCAGACTGTATGCAGTGCAACAGCAGCTCCTGTTATCAAAGAATAAATAATAATTTAAAACCCTGGAACACAACTCTCATTGTAATTGGTTCAACTTCCAATCTGTATATTGATGACAATACAAATCCATTTCATATCCTGTGTGGGTCTTCACATGCATAAGTGATGCGCATGAAGAATTCAAAGGGCTTTTGATCAGGCACTATCAATGCATGCTTTTTCATATTGATGTCATACATGTATACACAACACTAAAATTACTCCTCCAGCAGCATTCCAGAGTAAGTTTTAGGATGTTCACACATTTCCAGTCACCTTTTAGGTCTTCCAATATTTTGTCAATAGACTTCAAATACATGTATTCAGGGGTCCTTGAAATTCTGAACAATTTCACTCCAATGCCAACTGAAATGAAATAAGGTGTACAGTGATTTGACCCACCTCACAGTCTTGACAGGCCTCTCCTCTATCCCAGCCACAGTCTTCACCACAGGACCCTACGAAGGGCGGGTGGCCACACAGCAGGATGTAGAGGATCACTCCTAGACTCCAGAGGTCACATCTCTTATCATACACGGTGGCCTGTAGGTCGTAGATGAACGCCTCCACAATCTCCGGTGCCATGAACTCTGCCGAGCCCACGGGGGTGAGTAGCTCGGGCGTGGTGACGGGGGTGTTGTACTGGCTGCTGAGGTGGATCCCGCTTCCAAGGCCAAAGTCACAGATCTTGATTGGTGAGATGCTGTACATGCTCTCGCACAGGATGTTCTCTGGTTTGAGGTCACGGTGGGCAATACCTGCAAAACATTAAAAATTCAAAGAGAATGTTTTGCATCTATCTTAAGAAGACAAATATTGAAATTCTCTCTAAAACATCTGATAAACACAGATTAAACAAAGTGAACAACATATACAATTTGAGGCTTCACAAACTGCTAATCAAACCTGTTTGCAAAGACCACTCAAGGAAACGGGAGAGGTGATCTCTTATGCAAGAGCGGTCTTTCCTAAAGGACTTCTAATGACAAATGCTATCAAACTAGCCCTATATCTTCAACAAAGTAAGCCTGGATAAAACATCATGGGAGCATATGGTGGATCAGCACTTACCTTTGTTGTGAAGGAATGAGAGGGCACTGGCGATGTCTCGGATGACCTGACTAGCCTCCTGTTCAGTGAAGGTCCCGCGCTGCTCGATGTGCTGCAGTAAGGCACCTCCGTACATCTTCTCAAAGATGAGGTAGAACCTGTCAACAGGATAACAATGGAGATGTTTTTAAGGGACATGCTTTTCTATACAAAAATATATATATCTGAGACCAATGTCGAGATTGGGAGATGTTTTTCTAAATGTGTGCAACTGAACCCGTTGTGAGTTGGGCATACTAGTCGGTTTCACTCATTAAGCAAAAAATGAGACCAAAATGAACAGGAGCCTAATATGTTCTGTGCAATATAAAGCCTTTAAAAAACTTGAAATTAAGGGGGGTGTCAGGGATTGATATCTGGCAACAACACCAAGAATGACATCCTGGATGGACTAGAAACGTATCTTCCTTCTTCTCTACTTTCAAGACTTAAACGTACCTGTCATCGTCTTCAAAGTATTCAATCAGCTGCAGAATGTTATTATGTCCCTGACAGTGGTAGAGTGTCTCTACCTCCCTGAAGATCTTGGTACGACTGTTTCCTGGTCTCTTCTCCATCATCTACAACAACAGCAAGACATCACACAAAGATGAAGATAGTGAGGACTAAAAATAGATTGATTGCTGGTGGTGATGGTGGTGGTGGTGGTGGTGGTGGTGGTGATCAAGATGAGGATGATGAAACAATAGGCTACGTAAACAATAACAATCATTCTTAGTATTTGCATTACAGATCCAAGTATTACCATCACACCTATATGTTAGACGATCGATCAGGAAATAGACCCTTTCTTCTTCAAATTGGCAACAATTTGATAATTTCTTCTTTGCTACCTAGTTTAAAAAGTCATGTATCTGAAATTGACAAACAAGGAAAGAAATTTTGCTGAAATGTTGCCAATTTAAAACTATTAAGGATTAATATGAGCAAATGGAACTACCGAACAGCTAGTTTTTACTGGAAACTCCATCATAATTGTTAAAAACTTTTTTGTGGATTTTTCTTTCCACTTAATTGTAGAATGAAAGCTCACCTTGACGGCATACTCCTTTCCTGAAGAAATCTGTCGACAGGTTCTCACTGAAGCATACGACCCAGAGCCCAGAAGCTCTCCAGTCAAATCATACACATCTACAAAAAAAGGGGAAGAAAAAGAATATGCCATCGGTTACTTTTTGCATCACTTTTCTTTGGCAAAATGTCATGATTTAAACACAATAATCCTACTGCTAACGTTTTCACTGCAACGTCTAATTGATGTCTAATGAGGGTTCAAGCCTTGTACAGTACTTGGCACCACATTTCTGTTAAAGATGTATCTTCTAAAATTGCCATTCTCAGAGTATTTAAGTGATTCCTTTTGACATGGTGATCCCCCCCCAAAAAAAAAAAAAAAATACCTAAAATATTCAATAAACTCTCTACTGTACTGTATGTCATAAATCACATCAATTCAACGAGTGAATTACTAAAGAATGAGCTGAGACTCGAGCAGAAAGCAAGAGCCGTTCCACATTATTCTGATCTGCTGGAGCCAGGGCTCACCTTCAAATCTATTTGGCACGATTCCTGAAGTCCTCTTCTTCTTCTTCTTGCGCTTCCTCCTGCTGTCATCTAGACCACTGTGGAAGTCTTCCACAGACGAAATACTCATCATGAGGTCCATTTGTTCTGCAACAATGAAACAAAAAGAAAAGTCGTTCATTAGTTACAATGTATGTGTAGCAAGGTAAAAGGTGATTTTCCTATCTCTCCAATTAAAAAATTTAGGATGTGTGCCCTGCCCACACTCTTTTTTTTTAATTTGGGAAAGCTCCGAAAGCAAATGGAAATTAAAGATCAAATTTGTTTTTCTTTCCTATGCGAAATCTGAAATCAAATAAACGTTTGAACTCTATAACTATAATGTGCATGCAGCTGTAAGAGAAGAGAAGAATTATTATTGCATCTTGTTTTCGTGTATGCACATTGGGACAAGAGTTTAGCCAGACAATCAGGAACATTAAAGCAGATGATATCTCTGCATCATTTTTCACTCAAAAAGAGAAGTGTTATACACGTGCCACTGAAAATGTCGAAGTCATAGACATACACTTCACAGGACAGCTCATAATCCCAATCAAATTTCAAAACCACACCTCTGCGACCATTGTCGCTTCAATCCCAGGCAATTTCTGTCTCCATTAAGCGTAACCTTGGCATTTGTGATCATCCCCTACTCGATCCCGCTGCCTGGGGAGCACACACACAAGTCATTGCATGCATGCATATATAGTAATTGCCTTGAAACCTAATGAATGGTACACTCCGATTTCATTGGGATTGAGCAAGAGAGTGAGATTGCATCAGGCAACGGTAATTCCGTCTGTTTAGGTGTTAACTCATGTACTTGAACACAGAGTTAACACCCTCCTGGCTGTGCAGGGAACGGATGATTTCAACTGTTTCGTGCAATAAGGGTGTTAACTCATGTATTCTAACACAGAGTTAACACCCTCCTGGCTGTGCAGTGAACGGATGATTTCAACTGTTTCGTGCAATAAGGGTGTTAACTCATGTATTCTAACACAGAGTTAACACCCTCCTGGCTGTGCAGTGAACGGATGATTTCAACTGTTTCGTGCAATAAGGGTGTTAACTCATGTACTCTAACACAGAGTTAACACCCTCCTGGCTGTGCAGTGAACGGATGATTTCAACTGTTTCGTGCAATAAGGGTGTTAACTCATGTACTCTAACACAGAGTTAACACCCTTCTGTCTGTGAACGAATGATGTACTGGTATTCTTTGACACTGGTAGTCATTGCGACACACGCTGTTTCAGATGAGTGAGCAAATCCATAGACGATGACATCATATCTGCTGCATTATGAATGGGGAATATATCCTGTGGTTTTTCGTTTCACTTCATATTGTAAAGAGTGCTCCTATATGAGATCATTGGTCTGGAATGTATTAAGAGGATGATTCATCTTACTAACAGATTGAGGGTGTATTGTGGGCTGTTGCTAAGGGCAGATTTGAATGTGCATGATACAGGCAAAGATAAAACTAGAAAGAGAAGGGTCTAAATTTCATCAATACTATGTAGTGCTTGTGCATTAATTAATCCCTTGAACTCTACATGTGTCACTTAAATACAGATTGCATTGGAGTTTAAGAGTTTTAATAAATATGGGTCGATCATTTTATCTGCACCTTACTTTGACATGTAAATGAACGAATGTAATTAAGTGAGAATGAATTTTGACACTTGGATAAGAGTCCTTCCATTCAATGAATTAGCCATAATTGTCCTAATTTGTCATAATGAGTAGTAATCCCTATTTATGACCCCAATGAAAGTTGGTTATCCCTGTGATTGTGTCCACTGATTGGCAATGTCACCCAAGAATGGAAAACATGATTGCTAAATTTTATTGTTGTTTTGATAAGGCCAACAAGAATTCTATCATGTGCCAATGTTTACTATATATGCCATATCACAGTAATCTACTTATCCTCTGTTCATGCCCCCTGATAGGTGATTGTTGATTCAATAATTACTTCATGTTCATACCATGTATTTCATAATTCTGTGATGGCAGAATCAATTGATGCATTGCTCAAAAGTCAAAACAAAATATTTGTCATGAGCATTAGGGATTAAAGAATGAGGGACATTTCAATGAACCTTTTTTTTTTTTTTTTTTTTATTCAACAGAAGGCATCTGCTGTTCTGGACAAAAATCTAGGGTACATGTAAATCAAAAAGCTGAATTTACATCATATTAAATGATTATTGGTATAATATCACGGACAGATCTGCGCAAACACCCATACAATGAAATCTACATGTCAAATTAATTTACAATGTAGAGATCAAGGGTACGTGTAAACAGTTGTAATCTTTTAATTGCCAATTTATCTCTTTAAGTGCTGTTAAATATGTTGTACTTTGCTCCCTTTGAAAGGCCTTGTACAGACATAACAAGTGTCAAAACAATGAGGGAATGAGCAGCATCACCTGACATGTACTAATTTATATTTGTGATGGAAAGAAAAAAATCAGTAGAAGGGATAATATTTTGACAGCTATCTTTGGGGGTGAAGGCAACTTTTTGGTTTGACAGCAATAACTTGTAATGCACATATACATGTACTAGGAAAAAAACAGAGAGAAGAAAATTAGATTCATATCAAGCTAAAGGCTCGTTCACATATTACCAGTCTTCAACATGACGAGTTTAACTGCCACAGATTTTTTTCTTCTATGGTATTGAAAGTGGGGATGGAAAAGGTGGCTGCGCACAACGAAGGTCCTACACGTACTCACTTATAATCTGCATCTAATACGATGAGACAATTATGTGGCACATTGCACATGTATATCTTGCCACCTCAGTTTACTGTGACATTTTCCAACATGATAATTATGTTAATGACTCACCTGAGAGCAAGCATGTTTCATCGGCTATGTTGTTGTTGGCGTAATTCTCAGCGGTCGCCTTGCAATCGGGCATCTGGACGGCTGCCGTAGCAGGCGGGCGCTGAGAGACGGTCATCTTATCACCTGTTGGCATCTTGGTTATCTGGATGGACAAACAAAACAAAAAATAAGGATAACATTTCTAACAGACTAATGATTACTAACATGAACGTGAGATTGTATATATGCTTTTATGTTTTATTTCTGCTCCTCATCTGGCACTGCAGGGCTCAAATGCCAAGAAGAAGCAATGCAAATGAAAGTCAATCGAGGGACCACCATCTAGATGCACATGCATCATGTACTCATCCCATCATAATATGTTTGTTTGTTTGTTTTATTGTTATCTTCATGGCTTAGACCATCTTTATCAGCCTTTCTAAATGGATGTATTTCAAATACTTCTGAGCTAAAACCCTAGCAGTCAGAGATCCTAAACCTAGAGGACCACACCTTAAGCAAAGGATGTTGCATGTAACATGATGGTTTAATTGTTCTTAAAAATCATCTATTTGGAGCCAGAAGGGCATTGCCTCTGACACACAGACAGAGTCATTGCCCTTCTGGCTCTCAGCAGACAGAAACACTCTAGAAAATAATGAATGTGATGGAACATACCGGTGTCGTTTCCTGGCTCGGGTAAGAATCCTGAGGGCAGACGGTCGGGAACACAAAGGAACGCATTACCTGCATCAAAAGAAAACAAATCAAGAACTCCAATCAATTCACTGATTTCATGTAGACATATAACTGAATCCTTCATATTGTATATGAGAGAGATCACATGGATCACATGATTTTCCATATCAAGTTTGGAGCATTCATTTTCATTTTACCAATAATCTGCATTTCTTTTAAACAAAGCACAACAAATATTGCCACATGCCTGTACATCATTGGCCTGCACCCAAAAGCTATTTCACAACACAAACAAACATTCCCCTTAGTTCACAAATGCTTGATTTTTTAAATCCAGAATTTGCTGTGTAATAGACAGAGCATGTTGTGTTTGATGCATGCCAATAGACGATTTGACAGGCATATGGCATTAGAATGCTTGAGTTAACTACATAGTTTTGAACTCCTGGAAAGCTCGTTAGGAAGGGCCATTTTCGAGGTGACTGGATCTTGAACTCGCGGACTCAAACTTGCATGAAATTCCATATCTCCATATCTCTTCGTCTCTCTCCATCTCTCTCTCTCTCTCTCTCTTCTTCTCTCTATTGGACTCTTTGTTTGCTAATACCATGGAGGTAGTGTACCCAATTACCCATTCATTGTTTCACTGTCTTGCTTGTTCTAATAGACATCTGTCATCCCCACCCTCCTCTTTTCATCTCTCTTGCGCTCTCTCTCTCTCTCTCTCTCTCTCTCTCTCTCTCTCTCTCTCTCCATCTCCATGATCTGTCACAAACACTGTTCCATCTCTCTCTCCCTCTCCCTGTCCCTTTCCCTCCCAGTCCCCGCTTGACCTCTGATTCAACTCCCGAGAGGAATTTTTCCAACGCCTGTGCAATGATGACCTGACACTGAACTTCAACCCATCTAGCCTAGTCTAGTCTAGCCCCGCTTCCTGGCATCCATCAATCACAACGAGACTAACTAAAGACCACGTACAGTAGGTCCTGTCAGGGACCTGTCACAAACTCTAAGGACCCTTACCCTCCGAGAGACGAGGGGTATTTCTTGATTGGCCTACTGGTTCGCTGTGTGCAGACCTAGTACCTTGTACACACATTAATGATTTTTATCCACCAAGTCTGGTGCCAGCGAATTATGGCTTTTTGCACATAATGGAAACTGACGAGTGACTCCCTTAAAAAGACTTCAAGGATCACAGACAGAGACATCAACACAGCATGATCAAAGGACCACAGATGTTTAGTATACCTGTAATTGACTACCAACATACATGTACAAGTATACCCTTAGTAGAGTGAACTGTATACAATGAATAAATAGCAAATCAAAGAGAGCATTTTAACAAGACCTAAAATAGGGGGAGGGGCCATCGAGAAGCAAACATATGCATGTACATGTCTAGGCCTACTGATAATACTTTGGCAACAACAACAAATTCTAGTATTCTGTCGCTGATCCTGACAGTTTCACCCCGAACAGGGGTAGGCAATGGGAGTGGGCTTGGCAGGAAAACCACTGGCAAGGGTAAACCCTTTTTAGGAAATGTGTGCTCTAGGGTATCCCTATCAACACAGAAAACAAGATGTTTGGGTTCAAATGAAGGGCATTTGGATAGAATTGAGAGAGACAATAGTAAGGCATATGTAGGTCAGCAGTTACAAATGGAATATAAGAGATGAAATGAAAGACGAGAAGATAAAGACGATATTGACAAAGAGAAATCCAAAGAGAAGGATGGATGGAGGTAGAGGGGGAGGGACGGAGAGGGAGAGACGGTGAGAGAGAACTGTCCTGTTGAAATATTGCCAGTACGGAATTGATTTATTTAAAAAAAGCTTTCAATGATTTTGTATGGAACTTTTTATTCACCTCCAAGGCATTGTATATCATAAACTCTACGCCTTCGTATATTTGGAATGTATAGCAAAGATTATAAATTAAGGGAATAGAAAAACAGCTTTTCCATTCTCCACCATTACCAAACTTCAATAAATAGCCTACAAACCAAGGATCATCTTCCAAATAACCTGACCTCAAAGCCTAAAACCATGCTCAAACAGACAAAAGAAATTCCTGGTCACTATATTCCACTTGAACTCCAGTAAGATATTGGACAGTGGTCATTGAAGCTTTTCCTAAGCCTGAAGGCTGAAGGTTTAGGACATCACAAGCTGGACGAAGGTCATCAGACCTTCTGACCAGTAGGCATATCAAGGCCTTACTGGTACAATCTTTGTTTGTAAATAAACTTTTTAGAAGGGTCACTACAAGACCCGTTTCAGGAAGGGGCTCCATGTACAGGTACACTAGAATAGATTGTGGCTGTGCACGTACATGCGTGGCTAGTCAGAGTCTTATGATCATGTGACTATCAAATCAATGAATTTAGTCTCTCTATGGACATAACCAATTAATTAGAATCCACATTTCATACACAACAGCACTTTTTCTTTTCATGATTAATTTCAGTTTAAATGTAAGTTTGATGCAGTCAGGAAAGTATTTTCCCCTGCAATGTGTGCACTAGCAGACATGCCACATACAAATGTAGCTAAAATCATTATTGTCAATAAAATTTAAGATTATCATGACTCATACTTTATGATACATGTCCATATACATGTACATGACTTGCTTCAATCCATGAGAGAAGGGGGAAAAACTTACTAAAAATCCCGTTTATAAACAAAGAATAAAATCTTGTGTTCAAACAAATAACAGATACACAATTAAAAGGGAGAGGTGTACGCACTATGGACTCAAAGTGCAAGATTGGGAAACATCAACTAAAGTAAATAAACAGTATGGTATCATAAAAGAATTTTAGAAGCCTCCCTGCACCGCTTCGGTACACACATCTCGTCTGTTGTGATCACATGACCACATTGTTGTGTACCTTCTTACAGGCCCCCATCTCGTGATATGAATGATGATGCAACAATAGATTGTTTACATCCTACATGTACATGTACACCAATGCATGCATCAATTGTGCTTGGCTTTTTGCCTACTTGTAATACTTTCTTCCATTTCAAAATCAAAACACTTGACTACTACTATACAGTTCTGTATGTGTGAGGGACATGTAGTCAGGTCTAGTATATTCAGTGTACATGTATAATGTGAAATACTAAGCACTAGTTAACAGAACCTATAGTACATGTACCTTACATGTACATTACTAAAATGTACTTGTATGCAAAGAGATTTAAGAGAACAACCTACACGATTCCACCCTGTAAAATGCCCTCCTTTGTGGTTTTACATACAATTTATTTAAACAGGATATCACCCTTACACTGGAGAAATCTTTCATTTTTCTCACAAATGAACCTTCCACATTTTTTCCACAAGACCTATAAATGTCATGAAATCAATTACATGTATCACGGATCCTTGTATGCTTGAAGCCAAACATGGTAGCCTCAATTTCTAAGGGCATTGAAAATCTGTCCAACACGCCCCCAAACGTCACATCCTCTTCCTGTTAAACCTACGCGATAACATCAAGCAAAGCGGAATTAAGTGAGAGTAAATATCCGCTATAGAATGATCTTTACCATCAGCTATCCTAGAAGCCAACAGGAAGTTAACGCTCAATCACATGGCCATTTTCTCGTTGCTATCGCTGTTTTTTTCTCCGTGGATAGTTACATGTAGGTCATTCTAGATTATATGGGCATTCACACCCTAACATATTTAATCAGAAATTAATTTTCAGAGGGTGGATTACAAGTGATACTTATCTTGGATTAACAGAAATCAGCATTGCAAAGTAATGTACAGATGTTGGATCTAAATATTAGAAGTCATAATTCAAAGCAAATACATACATGGAAATGTTATTCTCTATCTATCTCTCTCCCTCTCTCTCTCTCTCTCTCTCTCTCTCGGTTTCTTTCATTCAATAAGTACATGTATGTGTATCTCTTTCTCTTCTTTCTCTCTCTCTCTCTCTCCTTCTTTCTCTCTCTCTCTCCTTCTTTCTCTCTCCTTCTTTCTTTATCCTTCTTTCTCTCTCTCTCCCCCCCTCTTTTTTTCTAATTTTTTGCTTGTAAATCCTTAATTTAATTTACTATTGGCATCAGAAAAAAATAACAAGACAACATTTTCTATCCATGAAGTTGATACTGAAAATGAGGATAATTTAGAATGAAGGAAGTGTGAAGTCCTGTTACGTTCCTTTCAGTGTTTAGGTAAATTCCATTGATGCAATACCTTCCTTAGTGATGATGTCACAATACCAAACTTGGGTTACATTGCAATTCATTAAATGGGATTCCCCTAAATCTCACAATTCACAAGTTGCTCTGCAGTATAAATAGTACCAAGTGGATGGGTACAAATAGATTTTGTGGCTATATTTAGGACATGCAGTGAAACAAAAATAAGTTTCATTTTCAATTGTGTAGGAAATGCTTTAATGCATTCTCATTGCAAGGTCTTGTGCAATACTGTACGGTACAAAATAAAAATGGAATGTTCTAGTAGTACATACTGCAATACTGTATACTTCTCACAAACTACATGTAAGTTGTTCAAGAAAATAAAAATGAGATTGAGACAAGGACTGTAATCATACACACAAACTCAATCTGCATACATGTACATCAACATAAAAAGATAAGACCATATCTTTATATGCACTCATACAAGCATACTTGAACTTATCTTTCTACCACACAATCATTTTCCGGAATAAAAATAGAACAAAATGAATGAATATGTTTACCTCGGCTTGCAGTAGCACACAATGAAGAAGATAAAATAAGCTTTTTAGCGATGTGAATTTGCATAGTGAAGAGTAAAATTGCTGAGAGACACTGAGTTGTTATTGCTGTATGAAGTTGACTGGGAATAGAAAGATCTCTTGACTTCACTGTGCTTTATATACCACAAGCCCCTAATCACATTCATAACGTCTCACGCACACTGCATACATTGTATGCAATAATAGATCACAGCCCTGACTGACGTATACTATGCGTCACCGCATCTCAAATGAGCTGCCCTCCATATAAGGAGTAGGAAGTTCCTTATAAGGG